GAGGTATAAAATTTAGTTGCTATACGAGAAATATCATGTTGCTCTTGACAAAGCTCTTCAGTCACTGGATCTCTCAATTCAATGAGGGTTCGCTGATTTTGTCGAGATACTTGTGTCCGCTCCAAAAAGCCTGTAGATTTCTCTCCATGTTCTCTCCAAAACTTGCCAGACTTTAAAATTTCGATCTCTGCTATCGACTGTTGTAAAGACTGGATTAAGGAATTGATATGATCCAAGCCTTGAAATATCAGTCCTCTATGCTTCTGATGCCGCATTGCTTTGTTCCTCTTAGATTGCAATTTATGAAATTGCTTTTTCCTCCAGTTCAGATCTTCCTTCTGATAGGATTTCACAAAAAGCTTTACCTCTCCTTTAATCCAATCCCATTGCTGTTGCGGTTTAGCACATTGTTTGATTTCTGTAAAACGTTCCATGCATGATTCTAAATGAAGTGCTAAAGCTTGTCTGAACTCTTTGTTTCGAGCTAAGAATGGATTCGCTTTCCAAGAACCAGGTCCACGATCAGATGAGTCTTGATACTTGAATGAGAACCCTAAGAGGTCGTGGTCTGTCCACTCTGGTGACAAAAATTGTTGATTGATACTAGTGATCTGATGATGAGCACTTGAACTACAAAAAATATAATCCAAGATTCCTGAGTTGTTACCACTATGCCAAGTAATCTGCTTTTCATTCCCAAAAATATCAATGTAATAGTCATCCAGTAAATCTGTCCATTCAGGAGGTGCACACAGTAAAGTGCCATCTAAACGGCGATCTTTATATTGATAGTTGAAATCTCCCATAATAAATATTGTGTTATGTGTATTGATAATCGTGTCCCTGACAATTGGAATATCAAGGAGCTCAGTATAGAGTGCTGATCGATCAGAATGAAGCGCTGAACGACCATAGATATTTAAAATTGTTGCTATAGATGCCATAGTAGAAGAATGTTCCAAATCTCGAGTTGAGTGAATATCAGCCACTATATATCGACCATTGTCAATTCCTTCCGAGACAGGTGTAATTGTAAAGTGATGAGAGAGTGATATGATGCCGCAATGTTGAGTCCAAATGCTCGACTTGCAGTTAAAATGGGTGTTAAGTAAATCTATAATAGTAGTATCTGAAGCATGAGTTTCTTGTAACACCAGGATATCATATCCAAGTGTTCTAAGGTATCTAATGAATTGTTGTCTTTTTTTGGTATTTTCTGATTTTTTCAAGCCACGACAATCGAGAGTGGCGAGAAATACTAACAAAGAATTGGGGGGGGGGTTTACAAGTCCATTACGTTAAGGTGCAAATCAATTTCGAAAATCCAAAACGTATACGTTTTTTCTGTCATTCTACTCATCCATGCTCATCCATGCTATTCCTTAATATTTTATCAATGTCAAAATAAGAGCAAAAAAAAAGAGCCAAGGCCAAACAAAGAATGCATTTTTATTGAGTCAACAATAGGTTCACATTTATAGATAATTGCTTGTATCAGGGTTTAGCATGATCTGTAGAGGTCCTTATTCCACACTTAAATCTCAAATAATAACAATTAATCTAAATAATTCACTAATCACTGCTGTACAAGGATTTACATTAAATGAACCATTCAATCTCTAATTTGCTCAGTGTGATTGACAGGTTGTTATATAAAGTTCTCCACTTAATTTAAGACATTTTATCAGATAAGGCAATGATTCCATAAATAGATGTAAATCATTTGTTGTCAGATATTTATCCATTAAAGTTACCGTATTGAATTCTGCAAATGACATTGTGCCTTTTGAGCTGGATGTGTCTTTAATATAAATAGAACGAGTAATTAAATTAGGGCTGTCAATATATGATAATATATAGTCGTTTATGCATCATAAAATTCTCCAATACCTTGACACTCTTATGAGCAAACATTCCCCCCCCTTTTTTTTATCAAGATCACCACAGCGTAAGTGATTACGTTTTACTTTCATATTTGGGTGGAGATTTCAACAATTGAAGAACTCTTCCATTTTTGATGAAAAATTTCTGCATACCTTATTTACATCATAAGTGTCTATATTTCTACTTTTGTATGTTCTTCAACACTCTGAATAGCATACAATATCTTTATAGCGCTATCGATAACAGGTTTTGTAAGATATCTAGAGTAAAAATGCTCAAAACACAGCTTAAACATGCCAATCTTTGATGGACCATTACTCGACAATATGACTATTAAAACAACCTGTTTTTTTTTTCATTTGAACCATGTTCTTTTGAGCCAAGGAATTGAATGGTATTATTGGCTTGGCTGTTTTGTGAATTTTATTTTATTTTTTTTTTGACCATGGAGGATCCCGAGAATTCGTGAAGATAAGATAAACAGGTTTTACTATACACTACCATAGTGAAAGTTTTTTGTATCTCTTTCAAATGGCGATGTTGTAATTTCTGACAGAAAAGCCTTACTAAACGACTTTACAAAACTCGACCACTTTTGTTTTCAATCTTCCACTATGACATTTTCCGTGTGTATGATGCGTTGATACGCTTTTGGGACGCAAAATAAAAGAGGTAACGACCAAGTGTACTAATAGAAGCTTCAAAAAAGAGACAATAGTACTCTAAAATATAAATAATCGTTGAAAAACTATAAGGATTACGCTCAAAGGGTTCACAATAGCATTCAACACAGCCAAAAACTGCTGATTTTTGTTTATTTACACAGCAACCGCATCATCAATTGACCATTCTTTTACTTCTTTATGTTCCTTGACACTCTAAGCAATTTACAGTGCTATTTACTAGTTCATAGCAATCAGGCTATATAGGAGGTTTTGAACGAAAATGCTCAAAACAAGACGATCTTTGATGCATTTGAGCATTATCCATGTTTGCGAAAAATATATTCGAGTTCTGCTGTAATAGTTGAGGCTTATGTAATTTAGGAGTGTGAAATATACTTTATTATTTTCTTATTCTTTTTCTCCAAAAAAACTATTTTCTAAATGACTAAAACTCGATCCTATTTATACTTTCCTAAAAGATAGTAAACCGTAGTATTTCTAGCAAGTTCGAGTGAATATCAGTTACTAATGAGTTGCTACGCCATTCTAGTATTTTTTAGGTAATTCCTTATTGGTCAATGGCGGAGTTTCCAACCATTACATCTGCTTGGCTAAGAGTGTGACTGTGTTTGTTTTATTTTATTTTTTTATCATGAGACGGCAAAAATTTTCATTCATTTTACTTTTTTTTGCATTATTATCAGCAGGGTTTTGTTCGCGTTTTAGGACAAGGAGTTTGCGCTTTGCCTCATCAACAGAGTAGCTGCTCTTCTATCAAGATAATCTCTCTCTTTTATTAGAGAGTTTTCCATAATTTGATAGAGCGCTCCGAAAGACACTTAAACACTGCTTTCCAGTTAAAAGAGTCGGATGAGTCGTAACGATGAGTCTGACTTCCCTTAAGTTAAACCCTGGCAACTTTTATGGAGAAAACCTTAAGGAACTGGATACTTATAAAACGTTTGCTTCTACGGCTCTTGGATGCAAAATCACTCTCTTTATGCTTGGGTTGGAGAGAGAGTTTTAGATGCTTACGCTTTTTTCTTGCACGCCTTTTTTGGGGTGGTGCTCTTCATGGCCGATGCTTTGCACTTCCTTTCAGTAGGGAAAGAGCACATCTTTTTGTTTGACTTTTCTGTACTTTATTTCTCTTGGCGAATGTTGCTTGTTTGAAACAAGTATCAATGGTGTTCGATTCCCAACATTCGTCCGCTTATTTGCTGACCTTTCCCTTAACTTTTCCATAGCGAATTGTTAAAACAGATCCCGGCGTTCCTATATATGTTTAGGCGTATATATTTATGTGTTCGTCGTTTCTTATCCTTCTGTCCATACCATGGGAAGCTTCTTTTCTTTTGTTTTCTTGAGAAAGAGAATAAGGGGAACTAAGTCGATTATCAGACAGAATGGAATGTAGTATTTATTCATTGTATTTATGTACAGTGAACTTTATCTATCATGACTTAACTCCCCTTGATAGATGCAAATACTACAGTTTCATAGGTTGGTCTTTAGAAAATCAATCGTCTTGGAGTCTGTTGGTGGCCACCTTCAGTCTAGGGCATATGGTTGGTTTTATCTTTAGATGGCTATCAATTTGGTCTTAGAATCCTGATAGTGACAATCATTGAAACACTTACTCCTAGGTAACTAGAATTACAGACTACCTAGAAAATGTTTAAAGCTTTTTTTTTTTACTTGTCAAGCGTAGAAAAAAAAGGCGGAAAGCATTGGAAGGGTAGTTGTCAAGGATAAACCAAACTTGACGCGTGGCTCTGGCTATCCTTTTTTTGGGAACTCAATTGAAACTGGTTTAGGTCCTCGTCCTGGTTCCCGGTAACAATTACTCATAGTATTTGGCTAAAGTACCAGTTTTTTCTTATTTAATAAATTGTCTATGTTCACATGACGTTCCAAAAAAAAAAAAAAAAAAAAAAAAAAAAAAAAAAATACTACCATAGTGTAGATTTGAAATCAATCCTTAAATTCAGTGTCGAAATAAATCCTAACAGAATTGGTTGAGACACTCGAATACAAAATAAGAAATATGATTGCTTTATCTTCTTTTATTTAAAGTTTGCGAAAAAAAAATTTACAGGAATAAATGTTTGTATTGTCTAATAAATACCTAATTGATCTTTTGAAAAGCGAGGTCAGGAAGGGAAGAAGAGGGTAGGAATTATATTTCTTGTTTTGTATTCGAGTGTCTAAGTTATCAATTAATTTGACGTTTTTATTTTATAAAACTCGTCTTCTTTTCCTACAAATGCGCTTGCATTGATCCCATCTATGGAGCTAGAAAACAATAATAACAAATAAAAAAGTGATATTTTCTCACACCATTGGGAAACTTTATATATCAAAGGTGTCCTTTAGAACTAAAGGTAAAGTAATAAAGATACAATATTATCTACATACTTCTTTTTTTTTACCCTCTTTTTATTTCTTTGATTAATTGTTTTGTTCTTTTGTATCTTCGTTCACCAAAGGTGCAGCCAAGTTGGGTAATTCCTTTAATTCATTAGCAGAATATTGCCTTGATTCTGACTTTGTTAGTGTTGAGTAACTCTTGTTTTCTTCATCTATGCTTGTTTCTGTAATATCCGAAGGTGATGTAGCCTTGACAGATTCTCGAATACTATCATACCATTCTTCTTTTGTTTTTCCGTTCAAAAAGGCTACAATTTCTACTGTCATGTTGTCACAACCTACACCACTTGCCCCTGTGGCATCGGCCAAACAACTATCCATTAATTTCTCGCAAATCTCTTTTAGAGAAGCACGGTTGGCTATATGTTTTCGTACAAAGTTGACTACTTCTTGATTTGTCAAACAATCCCAAATACCGTCACAAGCCAACACCATAAATTCGTCCTTCTCGGTAAGTGTGTGTACTGTAATGTCTGGGTCAGCTATATGATGGACATAGGTGTAAGTCAAATGAAGTGGTTCATACTGTTTACTTTTTTACCTGTAACAGCTTGTTGTTCTGGTGGTAAATTGGATGCATTCTTGAATTCAAAATCACCCAAGGCTCTTGATAATGCCAAATTACCTGATTGTACATGTATCAATGACATCTATTCTCCTCTTCTTTGATCTTACCATTGACTCTTCCAAATTCAACATGTCCACCTGCTTTTTGTATTCTTTCTGTTTCTTTTGGATTACTTGGCTTATGATCTTGTGATAGAGCAATAGCAAGTCCATGAGCAGAAATAATTGCACGCGAATCACCAGCATTACTCACATACAGCACATTGTCTTTTGTCAATAAGGCCACAATTGCAGTACAGCCTGAAGCTTCATTTGCAAATTCAGGATCTAGTGTGTGTTTGTCAACAAAGAGAGAGAGAGAGACTTACACTAGACTGACGTTACCTTGTCGTAAATCAGAATCAATTTTAAGAAATCCCTTTCGAAGACTTTCTTTATAATTTCCATTTTTGAAATCGTCAGACTCAATGACGTTTTCTTTTAGTTTCTGACTAGTGTATTTAGCCACATTGGAGCCTAAAATAAAATAAAATTGAATAAAGGAATGTGATGAATACACATTACCTCCGTGACCATCAAAGACACCAAAAAAAGCAGCGCCGGTATCATTGTAATCTAAAATATGGGTATGTGCATCTTCCATGGCTATGCAAATAAAGTCAATAAAAGATTCTCTCTACACATGATTTTACTTATTCTCCAGCCTTGCATAGCAGAAGCACCATACATAAGGCGTTTATTTTCTCCTTCTGTTGAATGTTTTGTTGTTACAGGGGCAGAAAGTATTTGGCCCATATCGTTTCCTTTAAAAATAGTAAACACTTTAATATAAAAAGAAAAAGAGGAAAAAAGAGGAGAAAAAAAAAAGGAAAAAATAATAGCGTATAGTGTGTGAATCCCACATATTTGTTATGCATAATTCTGATGCAAGGGTCACAAAGCAAGAAGGGGGAAAATCATGAGGTCATTCTGACTAGTCTGTCAGTGATAATATGTTGCGCTTCATTCACCATTCGCTCTACAAGTTCTTGACAAGTAGGAATATCATCAATCAAGCCTAGTACTTGACCTGCTGTCCATACACCATCGTCTATGCCCGTCTTGAATACTTGTTTACCACGTACACCCGACACCAGGTCAGCAATACTGTTTATTAGCGACAAGTATATCTATCGTACTTACTCTTCAAATTTAACATTGGGGTCTTTTTCACGTAAATTCACTTGCATGGCTATTTCGTTTTTATAGATCCGTGCTGTGTTTCTAAATGGTCGATAGACCAACGTGGTCGATCTTTCATCCGCTTCCACCATTTTCTGTTTAATGAGAGGATGAACAGGTGCTTCTTGAGTACACATAAATCTAGATCCCATATTCACACCTTCTGCGCCCAACGCCAAAGCAGCAGCCAATCCACGTCCATCACCAATACCTCCTGAAGCAATAAACGGTATATCTAACACACGCGCTGATTTGGCCAATAAGATCAAAGCAGTAATATCATCTTCCCCTGGATGTCCCGCACATTCAAATCCATCCATTGAAACAGCATCCACGCCCAATCTTTGGGCAGTCAACGCATGTCGTACAGCCACACATTTATGGATCACTTTCATATTAGCTTGCTTGAACATCTTGATATACTCACCAGCTATTTTAAGATTACTAACTAAACTATGTACGATTGATACTTGCGGTTATTGCCTGCTGTTTCTACAATGCCTACACCTTCTTCAATAATGGCTTGTGCGTATTCTTTGTAAGGGGGTGGTCGAAGCGCAGGCAAGAACGTCAGGTTGACACCAAAGGGGTTGTCTGTCATGGTTCGACACCGTCTTATTTCTTTTGCAAGTGCTTCGGGGTAGGCTGAGTGAGTCCGGTCAGAATACCGAGTGCGCCTGCATTAGAAACAGCAGAAGCAAGCTCAGCAGTGCCGATATGTTGCATACCACCTAATTTAGCGTTAGACTATCACTTTTTTTTTCTCTCTCTCTCTCTCTCTATTTACCTTGAACAATAGGGTGTTGAATACCCAACAGTTTGGTGATTTTTGTAACAAGAACCATAAAGAAAAAAAGCAAAAAAAAAAAAAGTAAAAACAAAACAAAAACAAGCTGGAATTCAGTGTGCAGTTCCCACCACGGCCAAATGTTTAAGCGAAAGACAGATCAATATCTAAGCATTTAAACTTGTCTTTTTACTAAGGTGTCATGTATCCATTAGCTTGGGTAACACATGGTTATTTAACATTTTCGTATCCTAATTTTTATTTCTTTTTATTTCTTTCATGTCTTTTTATCCAACAGATACGATTGATTTACCAAACAAGCGAAATAAAGGGATCATTTCTCGAATGAAACGGTCTCTTTCAACCAATGGCAATAGACCGCATATACCAGTACCATTAAAGTAGCGTACAAAATAACAAAGCTGTGCATTCACACACACATATATATATATGATAGATTATCTTCTATGACTGTCCCTATTAGTGAGACGAGTCCATTCTCTACAACGCCTTCTACAGCCAGTCCTATGGATCGTAGTTTTAGTCCTATTCCAACACCCACCAAAAGTATATCCAACTTTTACCCAACACCCACCACACACCTTAGTTATGAGACCTTCAGTACTTCCAATCCCAATCTGTCTGTTCGTTCATTTGATAAAAGAGGCTCTCTTGTCATTGATTCTTCAAGTAATCAAGTAATTCGTGAACAACGTTGTTTTTATTCTCTCTCTCATTTTCTCTCTCTCTCTTAGATAACAAAAAGAAAAGCATGTTTGAAACAAGAGTAGAAAGAGACAAGCACCAGCTGGTTACTGGATATGCTCCTTCACCTGCCATGTATTGGTCTCGTCCAGATATGTTTGGTATGCGTCCACCGAAACTAAGAGCCCATGCAAGTGCAGAATACAATGGTAATATGTATGTTTTTGGTGGTACAAGCAAAACCTTGTGTTCGGATACACTGTATGTATTGGATTTAGGCAAGTATGTTGTAAATCAACACAACACATGTAAAAAGAGAAAAGCAACTTACGCTCAGGATCATAGATACCTTTACTTGGTCTGCGCCTCGTACGTATGGTACACCACCGCCTGCATGTCGTGCTCATTCTTTATTGGCACATCCCAAGAATGGCAAACTCTATTTGTTTGGTGGAGGAGATGGGCAACGCTATTATCATCATTTCTATATGTTGGATATAGAGACCATGACATGGTCATGTCCTAGAACAACAGGTCCAAAACCTTCAGAAAGAAGAGCGCATGCTGCTGTTATTTGGCAACAAGACATGTATGTGTTTGGTGGTGGGGATGGTGCTAAAGCACTCAATGATCTTCATAAACTAGACCTTGAGACATGGGTATGGTCTCCTGTTCAAACAACTGGTGATCAACCTGATTCAAGAGGATATCACACTGGCAATATGGTGGGCGATAAGCTTGTTGTGTTTGGTGGTAGTGATGGTAAAGAATGCTTTGGTGATATTCATGTCCTTGATCTGCCTACACGCGTATGGAAAATGGTTGATTTGGACCATACCATGCCGCGTTTATCGCATACAACCCTTCATGTAGGATCCTTTTTGTTTATACTTGCTGGACATGATGGAGCCAAATATTGTAATGAATTAGTGATGCTTAATTTAGGTAAGCCAAAAAAATCATATCAAAAAGACTAACTTCTTCTTCTTAGTCAATATGGCTTGGGAGACAAAGAAAGTGTATGGTCAGGCACCTACACCTCGCGGCTACCATACCAGTCTATTGTATGATAGTAGAATCTTCTTGTTTGGTGGGTTTGATGGCACAACATTGTCTGATGAAGTCTATGTATTGGACCTAAGTAGCTATGCTTATTTACCACAAATTCTTAATTTTTCAATTGATTCCTAAATAAACTCTCTCTCTTTTTTATATATACATATATATATATATATATGTTTCGCTTTGACTCTTTCAAGAAGAATACAGATGACCAAGGCTTTCTTCATCGTATGGCTCATTCTAAAATAGCTTCTATACCCATGCCAACTACTTCTTGGGGTATGTTGGCTTTAGCTCGCTTGCAAGATGATGAAGGTGAACTGGATGATGTCGTTCAACTCCTCTTGACCGATAAGGCTACACTGTTATTGCCTGTCTCTATCCCTTCTCATCCTTCAGCCTTGATCGACCGCGACTTTTTGTTGGATCATGTAGTCTATAAAGACCATCATCAAGTAGTGTCTTTGAGTGGCATTTATGGTGTCTTTGAAAAGTAAAGTATACGTTTATTTTTTATATCTCATCATCTACAGAGACCAATTCATTCTGTTGGGCCTATCAGACCCGCCTACGATGGATACCAGTAAAAAGTAGGTTCATATCTTATGGAAATGAATTTACTCATCGAGAGGAGAAACATAGTCTAGATATGTTTAGCTTAGACCCTGCTTCTGTTAAGACACCAGAACATCTTAAATACAATATTTTAGCGAGTCATGTTCAATTGCCCTTAAAACAAGACAAGCAAATCACTGTCATGTTGATTCAAAAGCCAGTCTCTAAAAAGGATGTGACAGAATGGCTCAGCAATAGATCTGTGGATCATAGTCCACACATAGAAGAGTAAGTAGGTCATGGTCTTTGTATGGCACTTACCTCGATTAGTTTTATTCAACAGTTTAAAAAGAACACACCTAGAACAAGAGAGGATGCTAGTACAAAACTACTTGATTTTATGGGTAGTTTACATTACCAAGATGAAGCCAAATTAGATAGCATTGAATCCTATCTCTGTACACAACTCTATGATCATTTATTTACACATCCTGATGGAGATGAAGCCATGCAAGATGAAGCACTAGAATCGCGTATAGCAGCATTAAATCTGTTAGACTTGGATTTGTCTCATTTAGGTGCCCCTATTCAACAAGAGCATATCCAGAGTGTACTTGAAGAAGCAGGCAGACAACTTCAACAACTCAATTCGTTATTAACTGCAAAAGAGAAACTAGATACACTTGTAAATACCCATCGTATTCTTGTTGAAGCAATTGAACAACCAGCATCAGCTGATGCTGATGTGTTATTGCCTGTGCTGATCTTTACCATTGTCAAGTCAAATCCAACTCATTTCTTGTCCAACCTTAAATTCATACAGCGATACAGAAGACCCAATGCATTGACAGGTCAAGCTGGCTATTGTCTGACAAATATGGTAAGATACTTCAATAGATTTTGTATTGATACCATTCAAAAAGATGGCTGCTGTTGCCTTTTTAGAGACAACCAATTTAGTAGGATTAGGACTTTCAGCTGATAAAGTGCTTAGGTTGACTAAATCGATAAATATTGGGTTTACTGACCGTTTGATAGTTTTGATTTACATGCTACAAAATCAAAAAATCAAAGTGGATTAAGACTCGTATCAGATGTAGTCGATAGTTCGTACCGTGTATTTGATGGCCTTGGTAAATTTTGGCAACGTAATGCACAAGAATCCTCTGTATTAGACAGAGTTCGTAAAGTAAGTGACACTCTGCCCTTAAAAGGCATTCATGAAGATCAAAAAAGAAACAAGGCAAGTCTCTACAGAAATACACAAAATATACTTACCATATGATAGGCAAAAGATGCTGCACCTATTCCTAAATTCCTGGCTATGAAATCTGTTGAAGAACTCAAGATTGGTGAAGTCACTGAACTCTTGGCTGATTATAAACGATTGGCAGCCATCATCAAACAGGCTGGATTAGCATAAACTGGTGTAGATTCAATAAATTTCTTTTTTTTTTTTTTTTTTTTTTTTTTTTAATTTTTATTATCGTTATGTCTGACAACGTAGCGATTGTTTTGCCCATCTTGAAGCGAGTGATAGATGAAGTTATGAATAACACAATAGATAGAGTACAAGACATGAATGATGATTCGCCTTTTGAACGATCATTGTGTGCTGCTTGGGATGTATGCACAGTACAAGACTATGCTTTGGCTATCCATAACACACAATTTCATCGAGTGCTATTAAAAGTAAGCGATCTTATGACTCTAGGGCGCTAATCAAGTTAGATTGTCACTACAACCACTAGACCAAGAACAAGGGAACTTGCTATGGGCACATTAGCCAACATGGCATGTCATTGGGACTGTGGCATAGGTCCTTCCTTATTAAATGATAGGGATATTTTGTTATTATGTCGGTCTATTCTTTGGAATGAAAATGATGCTCGAGTCTTGTTAGAGACAACAAGGTATACAGAAACAGTCATAGAAATAGCCTACTCAACCCATTAGACTCTTGAACACATTTCTATCGTGTTCGATTGATACAAGCCATCAGACAGTCATTGAGCATGATCATTTAACCGAATTTCTTTCACCAGTTCAAATGGCACCTTCTATCTTTCATCAATATACAGTCATTATATGCAACACACTCTATTCTGAACTGTTGCTGAAGAGTCTTGAAGTGACAACGCGTATTGTGGTCTATACAAATGCAATTACCAACAGTATCACAAGGCGTAGACAGCGAGCTGAAGAAACAGAAGTACTAGACAAATCAGACACACTTACACTGGTTAAATGGGGTGCTGAACGTCTAGAAGAAGAAGGAAGGGGTGTGGGTATTGGTATGGGGTTTCACCGTGGTATTGCTAAAAATGTCATGCATTTACTATGGGCCTTAATGGCTTATGGGATGGTCAGTATTCATGATTGTGGTAAGTTAATAAATGTTGTTTCTGTTGATAATAAAAATAATGATAGGTCCTGAAATGACGCATGGTCTAGGTCAATCCATGTCTCGTTTAGTGTCTTATATTCAAGAAGATGATCTTGATACAAGAACAGAAGATGAAGACATACAAAACTTGGCTCAAGCACTCAATACAAAACTATCCATGGCCAGTTAACATATATATATTATTTTATTTTATTTTATTATTATTATTATTATTGTAAATTTACACAATTGTATTATGTTCCTTTCTTCTACAAATAGATTCATCATCATCAGAGCGTTCAAAACCATTATGTAACAAGTAACCTTGAATGCTGTTCTTGTCAAGACGGACATTAACAGCCTTCTTAGAGGGAGCATCCACAGTAGAGATCATACCCATGCCTTGGTTATCGTCTTCTACCTTGAATAATTGAACACCTGTGTTTTCAGTCAGGAAATGGTCAATCTTGAGCAAAGAGTCAGCAGTGGTAGCATCATTGGGAGCAGAGGCAGTAGGGAACTTGGGAGTTGAGCTAGGCATATTTGTGATAATAATGAAAAAAAAAGCAAGCACAAGCCCTTGTTATTTATATACAATAGAAAAGAGTATATATGTGTCGACGAAATAATGCCGTCATATGGTACACTTTAGCCTTTGGGTGCTCTATTCTCCGACATTCATCAGAAACAAGCGATGGTTTCATCTTACAGAAAAAAAAAGAACTTTATTAATTGAGTACCATTCTAAATTAAGCAGAGGCAGAGGTGGTATCAGTGGTAGTTTCTGTGGTGGTAGCAGTATCAGTGGTAGTTTCTGTAGCGGTATCAGTGGTGGTTTCTGTAGCGGTATCAGTGGTGGTTTCTGTAGCAGAATCTGTAGTAGTTTCTGTGGTGGTTTCTGTAGTAACAGAAGGAGCTTCAGAACTAGAATCGGAAGCAGAAGAAGAGTCAGAGCTAGCAGAGGAAGAGTTAGAGCTAGCAGAAGAAGAGTCAGAGCTAGCAGAGGAAGAGTTAGAGCTAGCAGAGGAAGAGTTAGAGCTAGCAGAGGAAGAGCCAGAGCTAGCAGAGGAAGTATCTTCAGAATTAATGGCAGAAATAGAGGCAGCTACTTCACCCAAGTTGAAAATAGCACTTTTGAGACGGTCAATAATGGATTGTGGGTCACCAGATTCAAAAGACACTAAAAAAAAAAGTGTGTCAACTATGCGTCAATAAAGAAATCAACTTACAAATGTAAGAATTGGAAGTTGTTGTGACAACAGCAGAGTTAAGAAACAATGTGCTTGTGGAAGTAACAATAGCTTCAGGGACTTGGTCAATGAGTTGAAGTTGAGTTTGACCATTAATGACAACAGTACTGGTACCAATGATGGCACGCTTAAAGAGGCTATAAACATGTCAATTAGAGTTTCTTTTAAACTCTTTTCTTACTTGAAATGGCCAGCAGGGGTAGCAGAAACAAGGGCTGCAGAGGCAACAAGGGAAACAAGAGCAAACTTCATTGTATAATAAATTTTTCTTTTTATTTTTGATCCCATCTCTATGTCTTTTATATGTTTTGGAAGCATTCTTGAGAAGATAGAGTTAAAGTTCGTTAAATCTTTACGATTTACAATTCCTTATATTCATAAACTTTGTTTTCTTTAATCTGGAATGTTTTTTCTACTTTGGAGGGTTAAACAACACACAACGGTACAATTCAGCAACAACCCAACAGTTAAGACTATTACCAAGAAGGCGGTATTGTTGCTTTTGTGTCACATCATCAGGAAAGACAAGACGAGGCAAACATTGTGGAGGATAGAAAGGTTGTGCAGAAGAATTTGTTGTTTCATTCTTGGTCTTGTTCAACTGATAAGGCTCAATTGGGAAAGCATGTAAACGGGCAATTTCTGTAGGGGAAAGAAAGCGCAGCCCAAAAGTCAATAAGGAAGACATGTCGTCAAAATTATAGTCTGTAGAATCTAAATGTCTTGTTTGAACAAGAGATCCACTTGTTTGAAGATGATGAGATCCATACGCCTAGTTTATGTTAGACTCTCTCTCTCTCTATGCTAATGCTTTTTTTTTTTTACCTTGGTCACACAAGTTGTCGTTTTATCAGAGGGTCGTACGATATCTAAACGAAACTTGTAGAGCTTGGTAATGTATTGGTGGGGAACAAGTGTCTTTTTAGTAACATCTGGATTATCCGTCTCTAAAAACCAAGATAACTCAGGTATCGTAAATTCAGCAGGTTGTCCTGTAAAAGGCCAACTGGTGTGAATAGTGTTGTTTTTGAGATAGTCTGCGGGTTCTCTGTCGCTCTTTCTATGGGCTGTTAGATAATATCTCATTCTATGATTAGGAATCCCGAATTGCAAGGGAGTCAATAAACATTCATTGATTTCATAGCCTAGTTCGTCTAGTTGACGTACGAGTTTTTCTCTTGATTGAGAAATCTACGCTTGTTAACTCTTTTGATTGATCTGTGCTTGTATTACCTCGAAATTCTTGACATTTTCCAAGAAAATAAAAGTAGGGATCGTAGTCAATTGAGGTAAGAGATCAATCAGATGCAAAAGTCCTTGTGATCGAGCATCCTCCATATCTTTTCTATTGCCACCTTGAGTATAAGGTTGACAAGGTGGACTCAATAGCCAACAATCCGCCTTGTATTTTTCAATATCATTCACAGTCAGTCGATCAATCAATTTCTACATAAAATCAGACTATGTTCTCTATTGTTTGACGTTTTTACTTTAGAAGGCGTGATATGGAAGTTATGGGAATAGACTTTGTTAGCTACTACGTTGATATCAAAAGCACCCACGACGTCAGCATTGATCTCGGCGATCTTAAGTGCATAGTGCTGGTAAATTGTGTTATTGACTTTTTTTTCTTTTCTGTGATATTTTTGTCTATACCAAACCACCAATGCCACTAAAAAACTCCAAACAACGAGTAGGTTGTGTCATGATGAAATAACAAAGAGTTAAAAAAAGAAAGGGACTGTAAAAAAACGAAAGAAATTTTTTTCGGGTCTTTAATAGTCTGAATGTCACACAGCTTTTAGTTATGCAGAACACTTTTACCTATCTCTTTTGTAAAAATCAATATATTAAATACATACCTACTATGTAACTACTAAATAACGTTTGGTTCCATTTGGCACAGTACACACTTAATATGCTTCTTGATCCTCAATATGTGTCTTTTTCGAGCATCAAACTCATTATACAATCTCAAAACATAATCCGGATTTTCTATAAATATAAACCACCTTTCTTTTTGAATAAATTTCACAAAAGATTTTTTAGCATAAGAACACTAGTGGAGGATTGGTAGCCCGCTGTAGGCGCGACTGTCTAGCAAAATAAACAATCGTTTCCGCCTTCTAATTCTCTTCTTTTAAGTTTCCTATGTAAAAATATCACAAGTTTTGAGAAAGTCAAAAAATCGTCAATTTGCCTTTATGATCCCGGTAAAAGTTTATGTTTTTATTTGTATGGCTATGAAGACTGGGCCCTATAGGGCAAATGTCTAACCATCAGTTCAAAGAAAGAAAGGAGCAAAAAAAAACTATAAAGTTATAGAAGGTCCCATCAGTGAAATTTGGTTGAGCCTTACTTGCAGTGAGCCAGCCTCGAAAAATAAAATCAAAGGTCCACTGGTCGGCGAACATGCTCTCGCATATATTCTAAAGCACGGGCCAGTCATTGTTGGTGGATCTCCTTCGATTTTGTTGCACGCTCTTCGTCACTTGTCAAAGTTTCGAGAAGTTTGCTATCACGAAGGTGTTGAGGATCTAATGGATTAAAATCGTGGAGAGAATACCCGATATGAATGAGAACCGCAACGATTCCCTGTGCTGGGTAATGAATGTCCAAAATGCGGCTAGAAGCAGCGCCCAATTTGTGGAGCTTGTCACGCATCGTTGAAAGTCGATGTCTATATTTATCTGGAAGGTAGACATACTTAAATATAGGAGCATAGTTACCATTTTTATCGGAAAATGAGGGCGGATCATATGCAGCGGGTGCTGTGAATACTTTAGCGGCTGCTTGTCGCTGTTTTCCAATAGTCCTCTTGGGTTTTTTTGGAGGGGTTTTTTGTCTTGGACGCGGATTTAACAGAGAGCTCTTGAGCTTCCTTTGGTGTCGGATTTAGCTTCTGACCGGATGCGGCTACAGAGGCATAGTTTGAGGCTGGTGAGTCCAGCTCCCAATCCAAAGTAGCTAGTACTTCGGAGTTATCGAGAGCTGGGGTAGTAAGCATTTCAATATCTTGTTATGATTCTAAGGCTTGCTGCAATTGGGTCTCCAATTAACAAATTTTCATATTGGCGCTTGCTAGAGCAGCTTCCAATTGTTGGTTGTTACGCATAGGTTGTTCCAATTGGGAAGAGTGTCCCTGCTGCCTGTCAATTTGTGTAGAGAGCTTCATATGCTGATCGAATTGGGCAAAGTGTTTATCATTCTGTTCTAGTTTCATCTTAATTAAGTTCATCCATTATAATTGGTCTTGGTTGTTAAAGGTAGGCATTGATGCGGCATGATTCAGTTGAGAATTCACGCCTGAGGGTGTTTCCGGGGATGAATCTAGAGGAATTGAGTCAGGGACACCAGGAGTACCTAGGATGTTGGTAGTAACTTTAATCTTTAGTTTGAATGCTTTAATTTCTCTGGGCTTGATTTTATCTTCGTTTAAGAGCATATTAGATTTCGAGTGTTTTTGCTGGAAACTGGTTGGCTTTTGAGTATCAGTAGTATTCAAGTTATAAGTTTCTTATTTGGGTGAGGAGGAATGACACTTTTGTTAGCGATCGCAGGTAACAACTCGGAAGTTCTGACTTTAGGCTGATCCAACTTAGGTAGTGCGTTGTGATGAGTGTTGTTGCTGCTAGTGTTAAATGAGCTAATGTTACTTTTCTGTATGGTTTTGTCGTTTGTTGATGTTTGAATTCCCCTTTATGATACCTTTACAAATCTTCAATTTTCACTGTTTTGCGATTGATGATCGATAGAGGCAGTATTGATATAGCATATCTTAGTAAGAAATATTTCTCTAGGTTTACGAAATACATTCAAACCGTTTAGTTTGCAAAAGTACTATAGAAAAATGTACACTACAGCTCAAAAACAAAAAAAAACACGTTTTTGAATGATAGCTCAATATTTTACCAATAAGTATGCTACGTTCTTTACACCATTTGATGCGCCAACTTTTTATCTATTAACTTTGTTGATAAACTTTCTTGATAGCTCTTTGTTTTTGAACACTTTTAGTCAGCCATTTCTCTTTTTTTTTTTCAAAAAAAAATTGCGTTTATTGATTGAGCCGTGTACACTAAGAGTAATGGTCATAGTGAAGAGGCGGGTGCGATTGCGATAAAAGTAATAACAACCTGATATGGCATACAATAACTAAACTAAAATAATATAATATAATATAAAACAAAATAAGCTATATAGAATTTACAGGTTTGAATAGCATTGATCCTCTTCAATGGTCTGACGAACATTGGATCAGATGCATGCCAATATCGCTGCAGGTACAATTGGTGTCTTGTCAAAGATAGACCTCATGTGAGCAAGCCGAATTTAAGAGAGGGTGATAATGAGAATTTTGTATGGTTTGATTCCTTTCCATTGGCAGTACCAGATGTACGAGAAGTCCAGGGACAGAAGAGCCTCTTTGATATCAGAGATGGAGGTGGTAGGCCACAGGAACTCGAAGATAATTTCTTGCCATACCTTCTCTTTATATGGACAGTGAAAGAGCAGATGGTTAAATGAGTCATTTCTAGTCAAGCACACCGGGTAAAGAGGGGTCCGTCATTTCTCTTGAATTTCTAAATCCCTTCATTTTTTCGATTTTGGTTTTGACATGAGAATACTAATTTAAGCTGAGATTTTTTTTTTTGAGGGACACTTACACCAAGCTTTAAAGTATAATGGATAAAATCCTATTTGACAATACCATCCAATCCTATCTAAATATTAAAGCTATTTTAAGTGAATTTGTCTTTAAGTTTTGATATTTATTGTTATTTCTGACTTATTTTCAGTTTTTTATCTATTTCTTAATTACTTCATTTCATTAATTTCGATAAAGACTTTTTGTTCTTGCCCATTTCAATGCTAGTTTTTTTCTGTTAAAAGTCAATTGAATTACTATATACGTCTTTTTCATGTCATATGCTTGCACTTTTTTTTTTAGTGTCTCTGTCCCATACAGGTACTGTCATTCTTCTTTTCTATGCTATAAATGAATGCTATTGGTGTCTTGATGCCGACAGTATTCACATGAGTGTCCTTCAGGGATTCTTCGGAAATATACATTTAACATTGTAATTGCGATTTGTTTGATACATAAAAAATAAAAGAAAAAAAACTTCGGTTTTTACTACTTGTAATGCACTTGGACTTTTTTACTCCATTGTTTGTTTTGCCATCGTTTTTTATTGTATAGATTTGAATCAGGAAAGTGCACGAATACTTTCTCAAAATGAAACGGGGCTTTAACCAGATTTCCCTAAAAGAGTATGGGGTGACGTTTATTTGCCTTTTCCTAATTCAATAAAAAGGTAATTTTTTTTTTTTTTTTTTTTTTTTTTTGCTTTAAATCATAATCAATGTCGAGTTCAGAAACAAACATGAATCGTACTGCTATGATCTTCGGAGCCACAGGTAAATTGGCTATGATTGGAGTTTTTATTTATCTATTGTAGGTGCTGTGGGTAAACAGCTTTTGAAGGATGTGTTAGTGAATGGGAAATATACCAAAGTTATCTCGGTTGGTAGAAGATCTGTTGAATTAGAGCCCACTATTCCTCAAGATAAATTGGTAACATAAATGGTATCTTATGTATCTTATGGGCTTTTTTCTTAAAAAAAGGAACAAAAAACTGTTGACTTTGAAAACCTGGAGGCTGATCGAAGTATCTTTAAAGGTGTCTCGTAAGTAATTCTTATGAGCCAATTTCAATATTGAATGTGTATCGTTGCAGTGATGTGTACTGTTGTTTTGGTACGACGCGTGCAGATGCTGGTAGTGCCGAGAATTTTATCAAAATCGATCAAACCTATGTCTTGAATTCTGCAAAGATCATTGCTGAAGAAAACAAGCCCTCTGATTCCAAATTAGCACCTGTTCATTTTCTCTATTGTTCTTCTGCTGTAAATACGTTTTATCATGATTGAACCAATACTGATTCAATATCTGTATAGGGTTCCAACAAAGATTCCATGTTTTTGTATATCAAGACCAAAGGACAAACAGAAGAAGCACTGGCAGAAACAGGATTCGAGAAAGTGTCTATCTTTAATCCTGCCTTTTTAGAGACAGTCGAACCTCGTACACGCTTTAGAGCTATGGAACGTATTTCTTTTACTATTTTTCAACCCATCAATCGCATGTTTAACTTGCATCAGATTATTTCCGTAGCAACAGTTGGCAAGGCAATGCACAGAGTCGCTGAAGATGCCACGCTTAAGCCCAAAGATCCCAAGAACACCAAGACATCTGTTATTGGATCTTTGGTAGCTGCCTTTGCTAATTCGGATATTGAAGCTATCGGTAAACAAAATTAAATAAAACGTAATTTTTTTCTTTCTCTTTTTCCCTCCCTCCCTCCCTCCTTCTCTCTCTCTCCATCTAACACGATGAAAGACTTGGATCTACTTGCTGTAAACATAGGATTTCTGTCTTATATGTAGTTGGAACTAACACGCTATAGTTTACAGTTGAACTCGGTCAACTTTATGAAAAATCTAAAACAGCAGGCACTGTTTCCGTAACTATGAAGAGAAGTAAGTGAAACACGCCCGTCCTTAGTTAGGTTCTTTTCTGATGATGATGATATCTAGTGACAGGAAAACGTCTTATTAAAGCCTCAAAAGTCAAGAAAGAAATGCCTAAAGGGGGTGCAGCAGTTGTCAACAGTACTGAAGAGAAGGATGCCATTGAATACCCTTGCCTTGTACGTGCTGTATATAAAAAAAATAAGATTAGCACAATTGTAAAGTAGAGAAAGAAATAAGATGCATTTGTATTGAACTTGTTTTTGTTAGATTGCACCTGAGGATTTCGATCGATTCCAGAATGCTTATGGTACAATTATTAGAGCTTATATGGATACATTAAAGAAAAAGGACCGTTCAAAGAAAGTTAAGAAAGTGAATAAATAATAATATTAAAAAAGAGTAATTCAAATGCAGAATCCATGAAACTACTATCTGATTCAAATATCAATGAGAAGATAAAAATAAAAAAAAAAAGAGGTGATCATTGTTGAATAAAGTTTCGCTTGTTTTACTGGTCAGAGATAAAGAATCTGCGCTTAAATGACTGTATTGACGGTCAAGTGGGCTTAACCCTTTCTTGTTTGTCATGATGCGAAATACCTTTATGTGTTTAAACTTGTTGCATTACTCATTTAAAGGAAGATCTTACACCACATAAATCACATACGAGAAAAACTAAACTTAATCTTGAAAAGTGTAAATTGATTCAAAAAAGGAAAAATATACTTTAGTATTGTTTTCGCACGATTCCCTTTCTCAATATGCCGTGAGAAAAGAGCTTTTTTCTGTATTTTGTTCCAGAAAAATAAAAAAAAAAACTATTTTACCTCTTTCTTCTTTCTTGGGTTTATTGTAGCAATAAACCCATATATTTAAAAATGAAACTCCAGTAAATTCATCTCTGGTTGATTGGTAAATGAATGCAGAACATAATTGAGTCATGACTTTATATCCAATCAAATTGTAAAGAGAGAGCAGTAGAAATTTTTTTTTCTAAACCTTCTTTTTATGTATCCTTATTCTATTTCCCGTGTGAGAAATGATAGGCTGTATTACGTCAACTAATGCGTTTACACCAAAAAAAAAAGGAAGAAGAAGAGAGATAGAGGGTCCTTATCGGACCGGGATTCTAATTTAGATAAAGTTCTATGAAGAGCATATGACTAACTGACTAAATTTGGATACGCATTGAATGATTGGAGCGTAAATGAAATATACCCATTAAAAGCACTGCAATTTGAAACTTCGCTATGAACCAGTCAATTGTACATAAATGCAACCATTTTAGTTCATGTCTTCCCTCTTTCTTTTCTTTTTTATTAAATTTCCATCACTTTTTAATTTTTTAAAGAAAAGAAAAAATGACAATGGAATTACAAGATCTAGAGAAAAAGCAGGCAGGAGACTTTCAAGAAGGAAGTGTCACGTTTGATGCTTACAGTGGTAAATATTCGCCACTTTTTGAATTGAAGTTCTAAAAAAAATTTTATAAACAATAGAGGCAGAAATAGAATATTCCGAACAAGGCATTATTGATGTAAACCGTGATCATGCTGGTTCATCTTTCCTTGCTTATTTCAATGTCGTGTGTGTAGTAGCTGGTACTGGTACACTTGGTTTGCCTTACGCTTTAAGACAAGGTGAGTTCATTTTGACATACTATGTACTTAATATTAACATTTTATCTCTTTAGGTGGTTGGATTGGTATCTTTATCCTTTTCTTGGCATGGACTATGTCTGTTTACACTGGTATTATTCTTATTCGATGCTTATATGCCAACGGCAAACAACGTTTATCAAGTTACAAGGATGTTGCTAGAGCTTGCTTTGGTCGTGTTGGTGGCTGGATAACCTTCTTTTTCAACTCTTGGATCACATTGGGTGCTCCCGTCTTGTATATGGTCTTGGCAGGTTCTAATTTGAACGAGCTCTGTAAAGGCACTGTAGCTGAAATTGGCGCAGTAAAATGGAGCATTGTTTGTTCTGCCCTTGTCGCTATTCCCTTTATCGTTGTCAAATCTATGAAAGAAGTTGCTTTTATGTCTGCTCTAGGTGCCCTTGCTACTCTCATTGTCGTTTTCATTGTACTTGGTGTATCCATGGTTGACAAGCAAAGCAGTCCTCCTGCTCACCATGATTCTGTCATTTGGAGCGAGTTTCCTATTGCCTTAAGTACAATTTCTTTTAGCTTTGGTGGTAACCCTGTCTATCCTCATGTCGAAGCTAGTATGAAAAAGCCTAAACAATGGCCATTGGCTGTTGCCGGTGGTCTTTCTACTTGTGCTGCTTTGTATATCTTGACTGCTGTCCCTGGCTACTATGTTTATGGTGATCAAGTCAAGAGTCCTATTTACAGTTCTATCAGTGATGGTGTTCCTAAAATCATTGCTATCGTTGTCATGACCTTCCACGTCTTGACTGCTACTCCCATTTTGATTACCTCTTTTGCCTTGGATGCTGAAGAAATGCTTGGTATTACTGTCCAACGCTTTGGTGTCTGGAAAGAATTCGTGTTGCGCGCTATCCTCCGTATCTCGGTCATGGTCTTCGTTGCTGTTATCGGTGCTGTCATTCCTCACTTTGATGATTTGATGTCCTTGATTGGTTCATTTGCCAATTGTGGTTTGATCTTTATTTTCCCTGTTATCTTCTACTTCAAATTGACTGGTTTCCGTAACAAACCTATTTATGAAATTGCTTGGTGTTTCCTTATTCTCTTATTGGGTCTTGTGGGTCTCATTTTCGGTACAATTAGTTCTATTGAACAATTGATCAAGGATTTCCAATCTTAAGTACTATTAGAAAAGCTATTTTTTTGTACATATATATCTCTCTTTTCTGTACATGTATTTTCATTATTGACTTATACTGTAGCACAAATAAAGTTATAGTAGCTATACCCGAAAATTAGCCCAGTTTTTTGCCATTCGAATTCATAATTCAAAAGCCTTTTAATATACTTAAACACGCTCAGTCCTTTGTAGATGATTTGTTGAGATATTTGCTTTAATATAGTTTAGTGCTTGGTAGTACCGCCTTTGGCATCAATCACAGCTTGGTATTGGTTGGTCATATTATGTAGTAGTATGAATGTAATGAGAAGATAGTGGTATTCAACTACCTCCTAAAATTTGTGTCAACATTTTACATACACTGGTTCATGTCTGTTACTGATCTATCTCCCTTTTATTCTCTGCTCTTTCTTATAATATAATGTAAATAACAATATAAATATCTCATGCTCTGCTTAATTTCTAGAATCTAATAAAGTGTAGTAGCTATACCATTTTCAAAAAAATTGAATTGGACTCCCCTTTTTTTATTTTTATTTTTTATGCACGTTGTCGATGCATTCAAATATGATTTACCACAGGAATTTCAAGTCTACACCTTCTTTTGAAGTGACTGTATCTCTTGTTTGATCAGATACATAGGCACTTAACGTTCGTCGCCAATGAATTGTGTGTTGTTCACTGTCTCCAAAGATATAAGCCTTTCCTTCCAACCCCTCATCGCTTTCCAATCGAACAAATTCAGTAAGGATAGCACTACTTCTGTTGAACTGAAGCATGATACCCGTCTTTCTTGAAAGCCCAACAGATTCGCAATCGTCTAACGATGGTTTGGCTACTGCCATTAATGGTGCTAAGGGGATAATGCTCAATGGTTCTTTTGTATCCTATGTCCATATTGAATGAATATGCATTCCCGCACAATATGCGTACCTTAAAAGAGAAATCATATAAAGCAAGCTGATGTTCTTCCTTAACAACCCAATATCGCTTCCATGTCTACGCATATCAGTATAAATAAAACAGATGCAAATCGCTTGTCTTTACCGGATGCCCTCTTCCTCTCGTATAAATAGTCAAATAATCTCCCTGTTGACAATGCTGTTGTGAAGTAATCAATTCTTTAGGGTTAGAAACAATATCTTCCTCAACACTTTCATAAGACAAAGCAGAATGTTGACTGGTTGTATATGACCAAGGAAATCGATGAACAACAGCCGGTAAGATCTCTTCCACTTTGATATCAATCAACAATTCTATATTAAGCCAACGGTTAAACGACTTGTCTACTGGTTTGGTGAGTCGGAATCGAGAAACGCCTTGATCTAACACATCCATCTTGTTTTCAAAATTCAAACAAATGTATCCTGCAATAGGCAGTTTAGTCTCCTTTTCTGTCTTGTCGTTGGTAAGTGGCCAAATGCCCATCTTGGCTAAACCGTCTCGAAAAATGGTGTTCGTATGACGTGCAGCCACCACAAAATTGAGTGAAAAAGGTTCTTGTATTTCACTAAAAAAAAGGCTTTGAGGAAAACAAGCCATTGTCTATTTACTTACAATACGAGTGCTTCATCATAAGGCCTATCGGCACTTGCATTCTTTTCTATTTTTCGCAATACACCTCTCTTGGTTGCCATTGTCACATTGTTTAACTGAACATGTAGCTCATAATCACAATCTACGCATGAATTCAATACAGACCCTACAATCATCAAACTATCCTACCTCGAGTAGAAGCTAAATTAATAATCTGCATCACTAAATTAAATACATGAATCTCTCTTTCTCTTTTTTAAGCTCTAAACCTTACCTCTACAATACATAATGCGTTTTGGTGCAATAAACTTTCTCTTGTTGACGCTATACTTGGTTTTCTTTTCAGGGGATGCTTTGAGCTTTAATTGATTTCTATATAAACATAAAATTGAATACAACATTTTCTTCATAAAGCGCTTACTTGATAAAGGCACAATGATCTGAATCTGTACCATAGATGATATCATTGGATAATTGTGGAGGTTTTTCTTTTTCTTGTGGCCGTTTACCAGTGGTGAGATGATTCAAGTTATGGCCATAGCTTTGTGTCAATCGTAACAAGACATTTTCAGAAGCACTATGGTATTTCTGTGACACATACAATCCTAAACTTTGTACCTGAGGAGACGCAAGTAACTTTTGACCAGCTAAACCTAACCAAGTAGCAGCGCGCTTTAATTGAATTTGCCCCTTGGACGCTGCACGCGTCATTTTGATAGCTGCATGTCTTTTAAAATAACTTGTCCTGCTTTGTAATTCAAGACTAGTACTACTATAGCTACTATGGCTAGATGCTTCCTTTTGTTGTTTGGTGAGAGGCAAAGGAGGTAGGGGTCTATCATCAAAGCTTGTGTCTACAACACTACTAAGATTAGGACATGTTTGGCTTAGTTCCTGCAGCCAATCCAATTCAGTTGTATCTTGTTCAGAAAAAGACGAAATAGATAAAGAAGGAGTCGACAAACTATCATCATTATCATCAGGAGTAATAAGTTGTTCTTGTTGTTTCAACATGTTTATAAACGCTTTTTGAATAACAACTGCATTGATTTTGGATGCCTTTTTTTGATGTACAGTAGGCGTCTTTTTCTCTGCAAGTGGGCGAAGGGGAGCAATACGTTTACCATAACGCTGCGACCTGAGTCGAGTCCAGGTGCTTTTTTCTGTTCTTTGTTGATACATGTTTAAAGAATGAGAGGGGAAAAAGAAAACAGCCCATCATTCTTATGATGACACTTTATAGCAGTAATTCTCCGAAAATACATTCCTTTGTATGCCCTTTTTTTGAAAAAGTTTATTTTGAGAGATTGTCAAAGGAGTTTATGTGTGTATTAATACATTCATGCTTTATATGAGAGCGACAAGTATAAATGAGCTAAAAACAATAAGAATAATGAAAAGGTAATGAAGAGATTATTTAGAGATAGTGTTATGTTGTGGATCACAGACGATTTCGACTGCTTTCACATATGCAGTGATAGGCTCAGGATGTTGATTCCACTATGAATTTGTCAGTTGTGTCCTTATAAGTATAACTTACATCAATAGGACCGCGGGCCCATCTTGCAGTTCCTCCAGCACTACTACCGTCCCAAAGACCAATAGAGACACGCCTATGACGAAGTTAAAGAAGAGCGGAAAGATCTTACTTGGACTTACGCAGGATTGGTAGGATATTCATGAACATTACCGTGCTTGGCATTCTTTTTAGTGCTACTCTTGTTTAGTGTTCGAATGGGATCACCATTGATGGACCATACAATTTTCTCTGGAGACCTACAAATGTATCAGCATACATGTCAAGTCAATGGAATTTTACCATTCTATTGTGTAGGTATAGAAATCGTCATAGGCATTACCACCTGGAGGATTTGTTGTCTTGCCATTTTCTCCATAAACAATATGTGGTCCGTAAAAGTAATTTGTACTATTAAAATAGGAGAGGATAAATTATTTGATCGTGAAACATAGGCTCTACTCACGTCACTTGTTCATTGGGTCCGGCTAAAAATTCAAAATCAATTTCATCTCCATTATCGGCGTACAGAATGACTGCAGTGACAGCGCCAGGGACACCAGCAGATTTGATCGTCGCAGATAGTTTTCCGTATTGCATCCAGGTGGTTGCATTAAATGTAAAACCATCACCAATAGCTGAGTTATACGCAAGTTCTGAAAAAGAATAAGTTTCACAATAATTTTTTTTGGCCTACTTACTTTCGTTGGTGCCTTCCTCGGTATATGTCTTGCGGCTCACTTTTCCTTTGGGACGCATTAGTTTCATAGCAAGGCCTTCCGAACTGAATCCATGGTTTTCTGAACCACTGACCAACACCCAATCTTCAATGGACTGTGACTTAGCAAAATCGTATTTTTTATTGGTACATGAAGGTTTTTCGGCCGCTTGAATGCTTGTCAAATAAGCGAATAAGAATACACTTGTCAGTAGAAAAGATGTCAACATATTAAAGTTATTTAGAGAAACAAAAAAAAAAAAAAAAAAAAAGAAAATTGAAGCAACTATCTTCATATTTATATTTAAATTCTACAAGGGGAGATATGATATGAAAGGAGTTGTATGAAATGCTGTTTTTGTATAAAAGACAGAGGACAGGGAGAGTTTAGGAGTTTAGGAGAAGTGGAGGGGAAACCAAAGGAGGCAAAGTTGAATAATTGCACTTTAAAAGAGATGTCAGTAATGAAGCTTTCTTTTTAATTTCAATCATATCTACAGTCTTTTCTCTTTTTCTTTTAATGTATTGTTTACAGATATAGTTTATTTATAATCAAATAGTCTATTCTTGATCGACTTCAGGAACAGCCCAGTAGCTACCAACAACAGGAATTTTGCTCAAGATATCCTTCTTGATCAAAGGAACATCAGAGCCCAAGAGAACGACAGCAGTACCAGCAGCAGCACCCCAGGTGGCAAGGTTAGGAGCACTATAATATGAAAAAAGAGTTAAATAAAGGTTCAAATTAATCCACAAATTGAGCTCATATTTACACTCTAACGAACTTTTCGGGTGTAATAAAAGAGAAGTGAGGAGAGGAAACAATTCTAGAGACAGGCATCTTTCAATATAACAATCAAAAAGAGAAAAAAAGAGGAAAGAAATTCAAAAAAATATACAGCAGGCCCTTTTTCGTAAAAGATGACGTCTGTTCTGGATTTGAATACGATGATTATTTATTTTGCCCTGTTTCAATCACGGATTTGTTTAATTGAACGATTTGTAAAGGATCATTAGGACCATATCTTGATCTCCTTGAAGGCATTGTTTTTGCTCTTTTTACTCTTTGATCCTTTTGTGATATTGTTGGGGAATTCAATGCTTCTTGTAATGACTTGGGAGGATTAGGAGTGGAAGGCTTATTAGGTGTACTGTAGGTATTAATTGTGTTGTAATGAACGGGTTGGCTGTTGTGACGGTGTGGTGGAGGTGGTGGTGAGGAAGAGGATGAGGAAGATAAAGAAGAAGAAGTAGATTGGCTTTCAGCTGGAACATCTTGTTTCTTTTCTTCTTCCTTCAACACTGTAAACCAAGAAGAACGAGGCATCCTAAAGCAATGTTGATGTTCTATTAAGAATTGAACAACTCTTTGTGAACTTTTGTATTGAGCTGGAATCATGGCATGTTCAGGATTTAGTAATATACCAGGTGTAAAAACAGAAGCCAAATTAAATGTATCCATTTTTGTGATCTGTACATTCTGACTGAACAAGGACAATAGATCTAAAAGATAAAACAATAAATATTGGTGATGTTCAGGTAACTGTTCAATCAGGCTTTGAAACCGAGCCACTTTTTCTTGTTCTGTTGCCGTGTCTGACGAAATAACATCACGAAAGGGCTGATAGAGCTTATGTACGATCACAGGTTCGGGTAAATAGTTGAGAAAACGACGCAAGACATTGGCAGCATCATGCACTGAATATCCTTTCCAATCTAACTGTCTTCCATAGTCTGGCGCAGTGTTGAATATCTGTTGAAGTTGACCAATTCGCTTTGCACTAATTCAATATGAATAGAAGTATAAATAAGAAAGTCTTGATTTACCTGCCGCTCATGCGAAACACACCCTCTGTATAAAGGCCTAAAATAGAGTGTGAGATTTTTTTTTTTTTGGCTTTTATCAAAATCCACCTTGGTCCTTGAGAAAAGAACCACATTTTGCAACAATGACAGGTATAAAACCAACATATTGGATGTCATTATCTACATAAGCAATAGCAGCGCGAGCACATCGTAAGCTTTCCTCCAATGGAACACCAAATATTTGGTCGTCTAACAAAGATAAGTTTTTTATTTTCTTTTTCTTTTTGATTTACCTTGTTTTTGAGAGACAGGTTTATTACTGTTTGAATTGTGCGTGACTTTTTTCCACCAACTTTTTATTGGTGTATCTTTATTAGTTTCAATGTCCATTCTAGAAATAAGGAAAGGAAAAAAGAAAAAGAGAAAAAAAGGAAAGAGGAAAAAAAAACTTTCTTACGTGTGTGTGATTGTTGAAAAGAGAGTGAATGAACAAATGGGTGTGTGTAAAAATAGTAAACTAAAAAAAGTAAGCGGAATCTCAATGATGCCTAAAATAAAGCAAATTGCTATCCTCTCTTCTTTAACGAAACACAATGACCAGAATAATAAATAAAAGTTCCAGACCTCTTTGATGACAAGGTTTTCATTTATTATAATTCATACCCCTCCAAAGGAATATGCAAAATGCATTCTACACAATGAAATGCATATAAACAATGTCCTTTTTACTTGTGCAACTTGTTGTTTTACACCAATGATTAACTAGGGAAATATGGTTTACATCAAGCATGTAAGGGTCTTTTGCTTTCAAATTCTTTTGAAATCAAGAAAAGCGTGCACAACATAAGTATGCGTTGATTGAAAGCAAAAAAAAAAAAAAAAAAAAAAAAAAAAAAAAAAAAAAAAAAAAACCTATCTTTTTTTGTTCAGCATAGATCATGATTCATTTCACTGGATGCCAGCAATAAGATTTCCACAAGTTTGTGTCGTATGACTCTTAAAAGCTGTGAAACACACGTTCATCTCATTGTCTCTTAAACAATTGGCATATTCTAAGATGACCAATATACTTGTCATTGTTGTAAGTAAGTATATAATTCTGTTTTATTAAGCAAGTATATCGTTGTGCAACTAAATAAAAATAGTGTAACTAGTACAAATAACCCCTAGATATCAGGAATGAATAAGCATAGTTCAACAACAATAACTCACTTACCTTCGATCTTCATCTTCAATAGGTGTAGGAGGATCAGCAAATGGGTCATCATCTTCTTCAGGCTCATTCCTTTTAGAGATTTGCATATCTTCTAGATTTAACGCAAGCTTGTTGGGTGGTGGAGGTGGTGGAGCACGAATGGCTTTAGGTGGTTCTTGGTACTCAAGACGATGTGTTGCTAGCACTTGTTGATTTTGCAACCAAGCAGCTGGAATCTGGCCTACTAACATGATATCGTACATATCTAATGCTTTCAAAAGTTCCTCATTGGTAGCCAACAAAGTACCTATCCATTCTTCATCCTCCACTAAACGTGCATAGCGCACAATGCGTTTTTTGGATTCTTCACATTTATCATGGTATTCTTGCAATCGCTTATCGTGTTGAAGTTCAATTTCCCATCGATCTTCTGATGTATTGATGAGTTTCAATGCATTGACCAAGTTGTTTAAATTACTGTTGGCAACAGCAATTTCCTCCAAGATTCTGGGTTTAGCTTTTTCAAAGTTAAATACACGAGTCGTATTAGTGCCAGGTCGACTGGTAGATGCTGCTGAGCTATGGCTACGAGGTTTTGTCTGCTTTGCTGTTGGTTTAGGAGAAGAAGGGATAGTGGCAGCAGGGGCAGGAGGAGGAAAGGATCGACGTCTTTCTTCTCTAGTAGGTGAAGGAGAACGGCGGCGAGGAGGTGATGGAATAGGCGATGTGACAAGTGCTCTTGATGGTGTAATTGGTGTGGTAGGCGATTTCATTTGTGGAGAAGTAGGCGTGCCGTCACTGCCAGTACTTACTTTCGGACGAGGAGGAGGCTGTGCACGCAATCAGGATTGGTATCATATAATAAAAAAACGATACTTACAGCACGTCTTCCACTTCTACCCAATTCATATAACTCTCCAACGGCTCTCATACCAGGTTCATTTTTGTACTTAACAGCCCATGCACCTAAAAGAGAAACGAGTTCTTTTTTCACTGCAGAATTTTCACTCTAAGCACAACATAAGCAATCTTTTTTTTTGTGCATATCGACTTACAGGTGAGGTTAAAATCAATTCAAATCGTTCCTTCATTTTTTCATTCGCAAGAAATTGTCCTAGATTTCTGTGTCAGATAGATCTTTTTATAATCCTCTTTTGCCATTGACTTACTATGGAATTGTTGGTTGCTGTTTTCCATCAATAATTTAAGAACCTAATCGCAAATCAATACAAAGAAGTTAACATTTAAAGCTTACTTCTAATACGCGCAACTTTTGCTGAGTTCCGCCATGCTTGAGCTTCTTTCGTACTGTTTCAATAGCTTCTCTCGGTCCGTTTTCTTGCATTTGAATAGACTCTGTAAGTTGCTGTAAGAGGTACCAGTCAACTTCCTCGAGATTGGAAAGTCTCTCTAAACAACACAAAAAAAGTCAGCATGCTAAAGCGGCATAAACAAAAAGACAGACCAATATAAAGTGAGATAGAAGTCTTTTGAATATCGTCGCCAAAGATACCCATTTTTTTCTCTCAATAAAAAAAGAAAGAAGAAAGGATAAAAAAAGATTATCTTGAAAATGATGTCAATGAAAATAATAATGTGATACGAAAAAAAGTTTGATTCAAATTCAGTGAGTAACCAAGCGATGATTATGATTTGGTTAGTTCTTGAGATTAAGATAGTCTCTTTTTTTTTTTAGAATGGAGAGACAAGTATAGAGATTGTTTTCCGAGAGAAATATAACTGATATATGAGCAAACTGCCTATAGAAATGTTTATCTTTAAAGGGAATTGTGTTCATTACGGTCATCGAAAACTTTAAAAGCCTTCCCAGGCCAAAAGTGTGATACACATTATGTTTATGCAAGCGTTAATATCACACCAGAAAAGGAGTCGTTTTTTGCATATTTTTGCTCAAAAGTCCCTCAAAAACACCTAAGATTCATTCCATGTAGCTGCTTTCTGTTAAAGTATTCATAGAAGAACATATTCATGTAAAAAGTAGCAACTTTTAAAAAAAGTCGAAAAATGGTCGTTTGGCCATATATAATACCCTTTTGATTTTCTTAATTTTCCCAAATTCGCAATTTATGGATGCTACAATAACTTTCTATTATGATATATATTGGTAAAAAATATTCCTCTGAGGTTATGAATTATGCTCAAAATGTTGGATTTGAAAAAGTATTATTAAAGCTGTACGCCAGAATCACAAAACGTAAAAATGGTTTTTCAAGAACCATTCAAAATTCGAGTAAGCGACATACTACTTTTCTTATATTATTAGATTTTCCTGCTCAAGCTCTATTACTTTTGTCATAACTATTTCTTAATAATTCTTTGTTTTTGTGTAATTCTAGTCCATTTTTTTTATTTTTTATTTTTTAAAATGTGTTTATTGATTGAACCGCGTACACTAAGAGTAATAGTCAAAGTGAAGAGACGGGTGCAATTAAAATGAAAGTTAATAAAATAAAACGAAATATACTAAACAAAATAAACTAAACTAAAATAAAATATATAGAAAGAAAAAAAAAGTTACATGATTGAATGGCATTGATCCTCTTCAATAGTCTTTTGTTTTAAATTCAAGAATTCAGAAAAATTAAGCATATTCAAAGTCCGCACAAGGTTAAAATTTTGGCGATTCTTAACCACATCATAAAGCATTTAGTAATGAAATAAAACATTTTGACATAAAATACATGAATTAAGAGTTTATTTTCTATCATAGAAACATATGAAGAAGGCTACGTCTACTTATGATGATTTCATTTGTATTAATTGAGGATGAAATAAAGAGAAATTAAACAATATGTTAATTCTCATTTAAAACTTGACAGGTTTATTTTTGGTACAAAGAATCAATGAGTATTTATTCGTTAAAAACACTAAATCTACCGCCTTTTAAGATCAGTAAATTCTTTCTTCCATTGCATGGATCAAATTCATCTTGAGAATTATCGTCTTCCTCTTCTTCTTGTGCACTCTGATCCGCTTCTATGACACGCAATTTTTCATATTTTGTTGAGGTGAAGAATCCAGGAGGTTTAAAAGAGAGCAGAATCCGACCCTCTGCTGCCAAACGAAGGATTGTATTAGCAGCTATGATCAAGGATATCAGTTGTCATTACTTTTTTTCTGTAATAGTGTACCTCTATAAACATCAGGTCTTGCAGCCTTGGCCGTATGAAATCCCCTTTGTTCAGCAAATTCTATGATGCTCTTTTCAAGCCTTTGTTTCATGAATCAAGTCACTTACGCTCACAAATAGACCATGCTGTCCATTGGTAATCTTTCATTCTTTCAAATCCTTCTGGTGGAGTAAGTGATAATACTTTTTCTAATAGAATATGCTCTGCCTATATTTCTATAATCAGTGTCAATCCTATTAGCTATAGACGCCTTACAAGGTATCGAATAGAGCTATAAGGCTCTTGAACTTGTGCGATTGGATACATGCCAGAAAGGATCTATAAACGATATGAACAAACCTATGATATAATCAATTGTTTTACCTGTAATGCTTTTGGAATCAAAGCAGGAAACACAAGACCTGGTGAATCACAAAGACGAACATTATGCGAAATATGGATCGTTTGAAAATGCTTTGTATGGCCTGGCGTACGACTTGCACTAACAACCGCTCTTTTCATGATGCTGTTGATCAAACTACTTTTGCCTACATTAGGATGACCTACTAATCCAAGAGTAATATAGTCTTGGTGTGGTTTGATTTCTTGGCCAGTAATATCTAAAATACGGCTGAATTCATCATCTTTAACATAATTAGTCATTTTTGTCGCTATCAACTCAAGGTACCTAATCCATCCATGCTGCCTGTATCACTGCCGTTATCATCATCTAAATCGCTCTCTTGATCAGAATGATCTTGATCATACTGGGCTATAATTGATTTCCAATCTACCTCGACACCTGGCTTATCTACAATGTCTCGACATAAAGACAGTATATCTTTCACACCTTGTGCATGAAAATAACGCTTTTTAGGTCTTTTTGCTTGTTTCTTGAGGGCATCTATAAAATTTTGTATCATTTTCTTTTGAATCCAATAGATCATGCAACTTACAAGTAGCTGTATCATCAATGAGGCTGGTATCTCGAGGATAACAGCTGAATTTAGAGATACGCAGCTCTGGGAATTCTTCTTCAAAATACTTGCGCCAAGCAAACACAGTAAATTCAGAGACTAAGTCTACTTTGTTAAAGACACCAATGATTTTTCTCTTGAGTGTGTGAGTTACATAACGATACAATGAGCGAGGGAAATGCAACATAGGATTTCGAATGTCCATCACAATGATCACAATATCACTGATTTCAAGGACTCGCCACCTAAAGAAAGGAGTTATACTATGTCTCTTATGGTATTCATATACCCTACAGTTGTCGCCACACCTCAAGGTTGCGTTCAAACCAACTTAATTGTTGATTTTGACCATAGGTTTCCTCAATTGATTCGATCCATTCATTAAAGCTGTTTGTTTCTTGTTCCTCCACTTGTTCCTTGGTCATGTCATAATTCCATGTAGGTCGCTTTGGAAATTCAATGAATACATTGAATTCATTGGGTTTGATTTCCAAACATTCCTATACAACGAAATTGGTATATTTTTGATTTATTATAAAAATTACCTTGGGAAGACGTTCAAGAGGTTGCATACTCTTTAACTTTTCTGCTTCAATTTCTTGTGGACTCAATCGTTCAAATACAGACACAAGCCTATATTTTTTTTTTTTGATTAACGCGCATACTGCGGAACACGTAACTTTACTTTCTACTATTATCCTGTATCTGTTTATGCGAAAAGTCGACAGGCTTCAGGTCCGAACCATTAGAAGAAGGGACAAAGCTATCAGATAAAGAAGCCGTTTGTTTATCCACCTGTTTGCAAAGATAGTCAAAAGAACTTTCGTCTCGAAGACTTTCTATTAGCCGTAAGTTGTTAGAGTTTAATAAAAAAAAAATAAGCAAACCTTTTGCTTGTTTTCTGGCATTTCTGTTTTGTAACTGGAGCTTCTTTTGTTTCCCACTAAAGGGCTTTTTACGATGAGTTTTTGGTGGCATAAAGAAAAGAAGAAAAAATTCGTGACATTTCAATGTGACCAATCAAGTGATAAACTGGAGTAGACTTGTTGAGAATCAAAATGGCATAATTCTTTGGTCATTGATACATGTACTTGTCGTCAACAGATGATTAACACCCTTATTGTTTGATACACCCATGAGAAAGGCAGAAAAGAAATGATTTTATTAAGAGAAAAAAAAACGGGGGAATTAAACATATTGAGAAATCCAGCGGAAACCTTCACCATAACCTTGTCTCATTACAACAGAGCACATGAAAACTTCAATAGGACGAATATCGTTCAAGACGACCTTACCCTTTGTTCAAATAAAAGTAGTGAGCACCACATGCTTATCATATGAAAATCGCACATACCTTGCCAGTTGTTTGGAATAAACCTAATTCTTGTCTAAGAGTTTCTTCGCTAACAGCACCGGGTGCATCGATCTTATTACCAAGAATCAAGAAGGGAACTTTAGAAAGTTGTTCAATGGCCAAAAGAGCCTACAATCAAATTAGTAAATCATAGAAGATGTAATATCATGATTGATTTACGTCTAATTCAGCCTTTGCTTCGGAGAATCGACTATGGTCAGCACAGTCTACTAAAAAGACAATACCTCCAACTTCAGGAAAGTAGTCTCTCCATAATCTACGAGCCTGTTGATGACCACCCAAGTCATAGGTAGTAAACTTGACATTGCCGATTGAAAGTTCTTCAGAAGCTAGAAATCATATCATCTTGAGTTTCACGTGTCTTGCTACTACAGATTAAGCTACTTACTAGGGTGGAGAGTAGGTTGCAAGGTAGCCAAACGGTCGTTCTTTAACATGTGTAATAAAGTGGTCTTACCGGCATTATCAAGACCCAAGAAAAGAATCTTGGCGTTCTTGTTTAAGAGACCTACGTAAAAAAAAAGTCAGCTCTTACCATCTCCTTTGGTCTTCATCTCTATAGACTTACCTAAAGAAGATAAAACATCCCAAAACCAGTTGACGAGAAACATTATTTAGATACGTAAGATGATAAAGAAAGAAATAGAAGAAAATACAGGACGCGCAGATTTTTTTTTTACACTACCACTCTGAGCTGTACAGCGCAAATGCTGTCTCATTGGCTAATTTGAACGGGAATCGGCCTTTAAAGCAAATTCTCATTTGAAGAAACCAGGAACCATAGCAACCAATGTAGTAACTGACTCAAGATCTATAGCTTCCAGGGACGACTTCATAGCAACCGCTACCGCAAATTTACTTGACGTTGATAGATATTAATTCTCTAATGAGCAAATTAAGCTAAAGAAATAAATGGGTTTGCACAATTTAAATGGTCTGTGCTATCGTAAGCTTATGATAATCTCTTGATTCATGAACCATATCATGCTGGCTATTGTCTTGGTCGTCCGTTACACAGTAAGGTAATTCTTTGGTTTGCTCTTATACCTTTTCTTCGAAAAGAGGAGTTTAGAAACAAAAATATCATCCCTCCTTTCTCTGTATTTCTTCCACCTGCCGTGTCTCACGATGACCAGGTTTCTACTGTTTTGAATGTATTGTTAGTATGCTTTTTTTAGGCAAATAAATAAATAAATATATATATATATATATACAGAACTAGCCTGTTCAACAAGAGAGCTAAGCCTATATATATATCTGGTATTGGTCCCATATATAAGCTTCAAGTAAGAAAGAGGTACAACTGACCTTGAACGTTACTGTTCAATACAAACCATTTGTAAAGTCTAAAATCTTTCGTTTGAATTAATAATAACAATTTCTGAGTGAAAAATAATAATAAAAAAATACGTTTATTTCGTTTTTATTATCATCTTTTTCTCTCTTTCTTTTCTCACTTTTTTTCTTCCTCAGAAAAAAAATTTCACTATTTTGAGAAAAAGAACTATTTTTTTTCTCTCCTTCTTTTTCTTTTATCAAAAAGTACAAGCGTAGAAACCTGTAAGTAAAAAAAAAAGAACCTTTTATTTTATTGTTTTTTTCTGCTACAAAAGAGGCAGTGTTATGGAGAGAGAAGGGGGTGTGTGTGTGAGGGGGGGTAAAAGAAAGAGTGAAAAAGAAAAAAGAAAAAAAATTAAACACCGTTGATTGGAAAGTGTCACGTCAAGTAGTTTGGACGCGAAGATAAACACGAACCAATTAAAAAGACGGCCTCTCAATATACAAAAAGACAGAGAAAAAGAGGGAAAATAAAAAAAAACTTTTTCTAATTCTCTCTTTTTTTTCATCAATATAGGAGAAATTTCCTTTCTCTTGGAACCTTTTTTTAGTATTAGAAGAAAAGAAGATCTTGGAAAGGGAGAAAAATCTCGATTCACAAAGAAACGACTCTTAGTCACCCATATACACGATGGCTCAACCACATAGGGACGTTTATCAAAGTTTTTATGTAAAGAATTCTTATTCACCGAATAATCCTAACCAACAACAACAGCCACAACAACAACAGCAGCAATCTCAACAACAACAGCCTAATAGAATGAACTTTAATCAACAAAACTTTTCACCTGTTGATCCTAATTTTTTCTATCAACAGCAGTTTCAACAGACTCAACAACAGCCACAAGCACAAGCTCAGCAGCAGCCTTCTCCTCAAATGATTCAACAGCAGCAATTGAATTATTTGAGGGCTCAACAACAGCAAATGAACTTTGGTGCTTTAGGTGGGTTTAATGGAGGTTTTCAACAACCACAACAGCAGCAACAACCACAACCACAACAAAGGCCTCCTCCTCCTGCTCCTCAGCAAAACGTATCGCCTATGCTCATGAATTCTGCTTCACCCTTGATGAACAGACCTCCTTCAGTGCAACAACCATCTGCTGGTAATATGATGTACGCTAATCCAATGATGAACCATTTACAACAACAACAACAACAACAACAACAACAACAGCCTACACAACAACCAGCCATGAGACCTAATATGCACTTTATGAACTCATTCTCAATGCAACAACAGCAGCAACAGCAACAGCAACAGAGACCACCTAGTGGTTTCCCATTACCACAGCAGCTCCAACAAATGTCCCCACAAGCCTTACAAGCACTTCAACAGCAACAGCAGCAATTGCAACGGCAACAGCAGCTGCAGCGTCAACAGCAAATGATGATGCAACAACAAGGCTTTGATCCTCGTTTCCATCCAATGCAAGCCCACCAGCAAATGATGATGCAACAGCCCATGCACAGCCAAATTCAGTTCCAACAGCATCATCAATTCCAGCAGTACCAATTGCATCAACAACAGCAGCAGCAAAGGGCTTTGGCTGAACGTCCCAAGAGACCTGCACGAAATGCTACTAAAAAGAAGCGTGTTTATGACGTGTCTTCTGAAGAAGAAGAGGAATTTGTAAGGAAACAAACATCTATTCTACAGGAAACTAACATTGTATCCTATAGGACCTTGAGTCTGAAGAATCTGAAGCTCCACCTGATAGCGAGTTTGAGGACAGTGACAGTGAATCAAGACCTTACAAGAGGAAGAAGCAAACTGCTGCTTCCGCAGAGTCTGAGGAACCCGTCATGATTCCAATGGGTACAAAAGTATTTGAACGTATTTTGGATTATAAAAAGAACGATGAAACAGACGAGGAAGAATTGCTCATCAAATACAAAAACACCAGTTTCCTTCATGTCGAATGGGTTCCTCTTGAACAAATCGAAGCAGAACATTTAGGTAAACATCGCGTAAAGAAGTTTATGCAGAAATATTATCAAGACGGTAATCGTGGTGAAGACTTCAAGGAACACTTGAAGGTGAGTTGTGTTTACATACAAGTCACAAAATATTAATTTCTAGATTGATCGCGTCATTGATGATGGTGAATTGGAAGATCCTACTACAGGTGAAAGCAAAATCTACTATCTTGTCAAATGGAATGGTTTATTTTACGATAATGCTACATGGGAAACAGAAGAAGATGTACGTAAAGTAGATTCCATCAAGTTGGACGACTTTTTGGCTCGAAAGCAAATCCCCCCTGAAAAAATGGCTCCTCCTCCACTTCGTCCTGACCCTACCCGTTTCATTGAATATGCAGACTCGCCACCTTACAAGTACAACAATTCTTTACGTCCTTACCAATTAGAAGGTCTCAATTGGCTGAGATTCTGTTATTATACATTCAGATCATGTATCTTGGCTGATGAAATGGGCCTTGGTAAAACTGTGCAATCTGTAGCCTTTTTGAATGATATCTACACTACCATTCGTATCCGAGGTCCCTTCTTGATCATTGCTCCCTTGTCCACTATTCCTCATTGGACCCGTGCCTTTAACGCCTGGACTGATCTCAATGTCATTGATTATCGTGGCAGTACTTTAGCTCGTAATCTCATCGTTGAGACTGAATTCTACTATCAAGATGCTGAAGGAAAGCCCATTCCAAACAATTACAAGTTTGATGTGCTCATCACAACCTATGAAATGGCTTCTGCTGGTGCCATGGTACTCAAGGACATTCCCTGGCGCTGTGGTGTCTTTGACGAAGCACATCGTCTCAAGAACAAGAACTCAAAAGTATTGGAAATCCTGAAGACATTCTACATGGATCACAAGTTGCTCTTGACTGGTACACCCTTACAAAACAATTTGGGTGAGCTCTATAGTCTGTTGAATTTCATGCAACCTGATGTCTTTAACGATGAATCCCGATTCTTTGCTGAATATGGTTCCTTGAACTCTGCTCATGAAGTAGAACGGCTCCAATACCTGCTTAAACCCATCATGTTGCGACGTTTCAAGGAAGATGTCGAAAAGACCATCCCTGTCAAGGAAGAAACTGTGATTGAAGTAGAATTAACCAACCCTCAAAAGAAATGGTATCGTGCTATTCTCGAAAAGAACTTTAGCTTCTTGAAAAAGGGAGCCAAATCCAATAAGGAAATGCCTCATCTTCGTAACATCATGGTCCAACTTCGTAAATGCTGTATCCATCCTTACCTTCTGGAAGGCGCTGAGGATGTCATTATCAATGAATGTAATGCACGCAGCCACCAAGAACAATTCAACTGCCTTGTCCAATCTTCTGGTAAATTGGTGCTTATCGACAAGCTTTTAAAGAAGCTGATTCAAGGCAATCACAAGGTGTTGATCTTTTCTCAATTCACAAGTTGCCTGGACATTTTGGCTGATTATCTTCGTGGAAGAAGTTATGCTTATGAACGTATTGACGGTAGTATTCCAGGTGATCAACGTCAAGCTGCCATTGATCGTTTCTCTACTTTACCTATTGAAGAATCGTTTGTCTTTTTGTTGTGTACAAGAGCAGGTGGTGTTGGTATCAACTTGACTGTAAGTAGAATGATCATTATTGTAAATTTGATATTTATTGCCTTTGAAAGGCGGCCGATACTTGTATTATTTTCGATAGTGATTGGAATCCACAAAACGATCTTCAAGCTCAAGCTAGATGCCATCGTATTGGTCAGACAAAGCCTGTCCAAATCTATCGTTTGATTTGTGCCAACACCTATGAAAAAGACATGTTTGATCGTGCTGGTATGAAGCTCGGCCTGGATAAGGCTGTAATGGGCACCCATGATGACGGTAGTGCCAACAAGACAGCTGAACTTAACCGTAAAGAAATCGAAGATTTGTTAAAGAAGGGTGCTTATGGTGCCATGCTGGACGAGGAAGCCAGTGCCAAGTTTTGTGAAGAAGATATTGATCAAATTCTGGAACGCCGTACGACTGTCATTCGTCATGAAGGTAACGAAAAAGGTTCCGTCTTTTCCAAAGCTACTTTCTCGGCTGCAGATGAAGACAATGCAGGCGTTGATCTTGATGATCCCGATTTTTGGGAAAAGTGGGCCGCTAAAGCACAGATTGATACAAAAGATCATCCTGATGAAAACACATTGATTGTGTCCATGCCTCGTCGACGTCGTCAGGTACAACGTTTTGGCTCTCGCACATTGGATGGTTCTTACTCGTCTAATGAAAACGGCGACGATTCGGATGCTGCTTATGAGGAAGAGTTGGATACTAGATCACGTCGTGGTGGTCGTGGAGATCAAGCTCGTCCTTGGACACTTTCAGAAAAGACCAAGTATGAGCGTAAATTGATGATTTATGGTTATGGTTCTTGGGATTTGATGACTGCACATTTTCCTCGTCGTTCTGCAAAAGATTTGAAGGCTGTCACAAGAGCTTTGATGCGTAAAGTATTGCCTACTATTAAGAATGTCAAAAAAACAACAGAAGAAGACCGCAAATTGATTGAGGATATTGAGAATATCTTGATTAATGATGCTCGTGATGAAGTCAAGAAAAACGACTCTATTCCTTATGTGGGTGCTACCAAGAAGCAAATTATTGAATTCAAATCTTTCTTGAATCAAGCTTCTGAAGATTATATTGACCATATTGAAAGAAAAGGTAATTGGATATCATTCAAGTATGTGTATTTACATCAGTTTTAGGTCGTAACTTTTTGCTTCGTATTCAAATGCTTCATTTGATTCGTGACAAGATTGTTCCTACTGATTGGGAAGAAGCAAAAGCCCTGGAGATTCCTAAAGTAACTGGGTCACCTCCTGCTCCATGGTGGGGTGAGAATGAAGACCGTTGTCTTTTGCTTGGTATTTGCAAGCATGGCTATCAACAATACCTCGCTATGCGCAATGATTCTGAATTCTGCTTTTACGGAAGAAAATATGACGATAGTCAATCAGGTGGTCTAGAAGACGATGACACGCCTTCCAATGATAAGTTAGATGATGCCGACAGCAGCAGACAAGCCTCAGTTGAGCCCCCCAATAAGTCTACTACAAAGAAAGTGTATGGTAAAAAAGACGATGATAGTGACTATGATGACAAAAAGGACGGACTTTCCTCTGAAGATGAAGACGACGAATACGGAGAAAAGAAAAAAGTTTATGTCTGGCCATCCAAAGCCGACATTGGTATGCGTTTGCGCCGTATCATTGCTGCTTTCTTGAGAGAAAAGGCTAGCAACACTCGTAGACGCAAGTTGCAAGAAAAAGTACAAAAGAAAGAGACCGACCGTCAAACTCGTCAACGTCAAAAGGAATCTCGCACTGGAACCAAGTCTAGATCCAGACAAGCAGATACGTCCAGTCGATGGACCAAGAAGAACAAAAGCGATTTCCTCAAGACACTCATGTCATTTGGTGTTGAGCGTGAAGAAGATGACTTTAGATGGGATCGTTTCAAGGAAATTGCCAGTCTTGAAAAGAAATCAGATGAATCACTTACACTTCATTATAAAGAAGTGTTTGCTGCTTGTGAAGAATCTGTCAAGCGTCATGCTGCTGAAAACGATAGTAATGCCAACTCTGCTACGCCTACTGCTGTTGATGCTACTGTTGAATTAGCTGGTATTACTGGAGGAAGTGCCGATGTAGACACACCTGTTTCTTCACCCAAGGATGTCTTGGAAGCTGCTAGTCGTGAATCAAGTGTTGAACCTAACGATGCAAACGAAAATGGAGATGTTGTACCTTATGACAAGGCTAGACGTTCTTTAAAGCGCATTGACCAAATGAACACCATTCGTGAAAAAGTACTTACACATCCCGAACTTGATTTGATTTTGACCAAAGCTAGAAAAACATCTGGTTTGCCTAGGTAAGGACACTATACGATTTTTTGCACCTGTATTGACTTTTTTATATATATAGTTGGTGGGAAGTTCCTAAACATGACAAAGCATTGTTGGAAGGTATCTGCAAGCACGGCGTGGGTCGACACGACTTGATTATAGAAGATCCTGAACTACCATTCTATCATGTCAAGCAGTCGTTTATCCAAGGTACGGAAGAAGCTCAATCCCTTGAAGAAGAGGCCGATTCAAGCAAATTTGTATGGCCCAGAGATCTTGTGATTGCTCGTCGTATTGATTCCCTCTGTGATTTGGTGTTGAATCCCAAGCCTTTCACTATCCGTCAAACAAGAAAGCGCAAGACAGGCACTGATACTGTTGAAGGAAGTCCTATCAAGAAAGTTTTCAGAGAAGGGGATGGTAACCTAAGCGAAGAATATGAATATGAAGGCGATGCTGATGAAGAAGACGAGGAAGGAAATGTTCTATCTAATGCTGCAGATGACATTCCTGAACGTGAAGAGTATTATCAGCAAGCCCAATTCACTTCTCCAAGTGCTGCCATGATGAATGATGTAGTGCACCAAAACGAAGGTTATATGCCTTCTCAAGCTGTACCATGGGATCAACCCTACGGCCAGCCCTATGGGCAACCAGCACAGCCTTATGGACAACCCATAGCTCAACGTATGGGACAACCTATAGGTCAACATATAGAAGTGGAGCAAAACATGTATTCTGAAGGAGGTGATGCTGTGATAAGATCAGAACAATAACTCCTTTCTAATACTATCATCACCATGTAATATAGACTTATAAAATCCCTTCTTTTTTCAATTCTTTATCATCCTTTATCATACACACACACTCTCTCTCTCTCATTCATCAAATTGCTGTTGTTGGCTTTAATATTTCATTGTTGTTGTAGCTCTCATTGAAGTTCACTTCTTTGCCTTTCTGTTTATATTTGAATAAAGTTATGATTATATTAGTGAAACAAAGTTCAAAAGCGGTACTAGGCCCTTCATAAAGTATAACTAAAATCAGGATGTCGATCGCCTGCCAAATCAACACCGCCCGCTTTATAGATTTGGTATTGTCTTGCATCTGAATTCATCTCCATTCTTCGCTTCGTTTCTCTTGAAAGCGAATATCGAACGATACACACCAAAATAAATTGAGCAATAAACAAAGCGAGTACAATGGATTTGCTTCTAGCATAAGCTGGAGCATCTACAGCAACTTGATTAAGATAAAGATGATCAAGCAATGATATACCTTGAAACAATTGGCTGCCTGCAGCACTTCCTGTCAAGCCAAACGAAACAATAATCCCAATAGCAATCGCTCTTCTCGTGAACCCTACACTAAATCGATAATGAGTATGGGCCTACTTGTATGCGTTATCTCTATTACAAATTATTGATTGTCCAAGTTGTCACAAGGACGATTTGAGCATACGTGATGGAAATCAAAATACATGCAATAATGTAGCTATCGTATTTGTTGTAGGAAATCATGAGCTTCAGAGCAATAAGAATAGCAATGGACATAATGTTAAGTAGCAATATAAATCTTGATCTACTATGACGGTGTCCTACAACACTGTGTTCATTAACTACGTCAAAGATGTCAAGAGCTTATTACCAGATGTAAAAGATAAGACAAGAATGCTCATGATGGCAAGTATATAAGGCGGTATGGTAAGTAAGTGCCCTTGGATTGAAGGACTTATTTTCATCTGTTCAATCACTGTAGGTAATAATAGTGTTGTTCCTTGTAACACTGCTGATACCAAAATGTATAAAAGAATATAGGCAAACATCTTGGGATCTGTCAGGGTAGATCCTACTTGTTCCCAAGACCAATCGTTGTCATTGAATGCCCCACAATCTATCATCGATTGTTTTTTTTAAAAGGCGTATTGTTGGTGTTGCTTACCATCTTCTAACTTGCGAATAAGAATTTTTCTTTCTTGCTCCACTAAAAAAGGTGAGGACTTGATGTCGTTAGGAAGGTGCCATGAAGTTATGATGGCCAACACAATGCAAGGAGCTCCTTGAAAGATATAAGTCCTGGTGAGAAAAAAGAATGAGGTTTCTTTCATCAGTGTCTATGAATTTACCATTGCCATATATGCATATCACTATCATTCATATGACTCACACCATAAGCAAACAAACGGCCAAAGCCTATTGCTAAACAACGACAAGACCAAAAAATACCTAAACGTAAACCTAACTCGCTTCGTGTATACCAAAGAGAAAGATAATAAATAACGCCAGGCAGAAATGCTATTACAAAAAAGATGAACCAACACATGTTGTTTTTAGGTTCAAGTACCTGCATCACAAATATTTGAACACAGTTTGACAATGACAAGTCTATTGTAATTTGTACAAGCTGCTGTACAAATACACATCATTCCCCATATGCTTATGATTCGATAAAAAGTTTAGTTTTAGAGCATAAGGAAACCAAACAGTTTTTTACCCCATAATGATACCTAACCAATATGAAGCACGCCATCTTCTTAAAATGATGTTGGATGGTAAGTTCAATATAATAGAACAGAAATAATACATGGAGGTCGTTGTTGAAAGTTGCTTGCCATTGATATTCAAATCTCTCGCAAGGCCATTTGTATCAACAAATTCTGTGCTTGATCTATGCATCAGCATAAGTATCATTCTTTTCTTTTCTTTTTACTGCACCTATCTAAAGAACTAAAGAAATAAAAAATACATAAAGCAGGTAGGATTTGAAAATCAATTTTACTACAAAGAAACATTAGGCAAATATTGCTAAGCAATAACATACCATGCTAATGGTACTCTCCAAACGAGCGAGCTGTGCCTATTGCTACCAACTTCTTCGTTTCTCTCGATTGGCATATCAAATTGAAATGATAGAAAAAAAAAAGGGAATGAGGAATAAGATCAGTAGTTAAAGTTTCCCCATTTGATGCTGTAGACAACAAGCTCAGTCTAACAAAAGAAAATCACCCTGCATTATGTTATTGCCAAAACCGCTTTAGGTACAATTGTCTCCTTTTTTTTCTTGTTAAAACTGCATGTAGAAGATCCATACAATCTCCTTAATTACAAAGCAAATCAATCATGGAATAAACAGATTTTTTTTTTTTTTTTTACTCAAAATGATAAAGTTTTTTTTTCTGTAATCAAGAATATTCTAGTTGATCAACAAGCCATTAAAAAAAGTAGCTTTTGGACATGTATTTATTTTACTAAAAGCAAAAATGTAGCTCGCTTCACATACTTGACTCATGCATGTTGTCTTTTTCTATGTATATTTGCTGCATAACTTCTATATAAATAAAGATAGTATTGTAAGATTTGCCTATACATTATAAAAATGAACATAAAACTCTTTTTATTGAGCACAAGACACTCTCGTATCTTTCAGTTCAAGGAGAAACGAATGTTTGATTTAAGGATACACTCCGATATTGAGATGTAGTACGGTTCCTGAAAATGCGTCATTCTCTCTCTTTTCCGACATTCTTAACAAGAAAAAAAAATACATCACACCACTTGAAATAATAGACTCAGGTTTAATATTCTGACCAATAAAGAAGTTTCATCTTAAAACCATCCAAGATATGTACGTTACACGTTCACGTATACATTATAGATATATATATGTATATATATACAAGCTTTTTTTTTTATTGTTATTTATAAAATAGTATTGACAAATAAATATATATATGTAAATCTAAAAAGAATATCTTCTAGTAAGTTTAATAGGTGATTGGTTTGTATGCATAGATAATGCATTAGCGGTAATTTTTTGTGTATGCTGAGAAGAAAGTTTTCTTTTGTGTGACATGCGTTTACTATGGCTCTTTCTTCTAATTCGGATACGTTGAAAGGATCCAGGTAACTCTTTCTTAGTATTGTTGTTATTGCTGTTGTTGTTGTTGTTGTTGTTGTTGTTGTTGTTGTTGTTGTAGACTACTGTATTGTTGTTTATCGAAGGCGAAAAAATAATAGCTTTATCGACGACTAAATTGGTGATGGCAAACAAAAAAGCCCAAACAAACATACCGCCCAAGCTACTACTGTTACTTTTGTTTGTAGCAAATAAAGGAAAATCGCTGTTTGTAATGGATTCAAATACCATAGATACTACAAAATGTGGTACATGGAGTAACGGTAACAAAAGTAATGCCGACAACCGAGAGTCAAATGACAAGGCACTGTGTTTTTTGATCATGCTAATGGGTTGCTTGATCGTTTCCTTTGGCTCTGCCTCAGGCGCCAAATCTCTAGAGAGGGAATCTATCATCGCAAGAGAAGAGTCGAGTCTCTTGAATGATTCTAAAAGGACACTTTCTGTAGGATTCTGTCTTTTCACAGAACTGAGGACCATTTTGTTGCTGCTGTTGATACTAGAATTGCTCATCGTTTGGTGTGGTGTAGTGACAGATCTTCGCATACTAGACGGGTAAGATAGAGGGCGGACAGGTACTCGGCTTGTTCTTCTTTTCTGATGGTGTTGTTCAGAATGTGACGAAGAAGAGAGTTTTCTAACCATAGGAATGCCACTGGTAGGTTTATAGGTTTTTTTATCGTTTGTATGGACAGCCTCATTTGCTTCTTGAATTAATGTAGACAAGATATCTGAGATACGATCTAGTTTATCATCATCTTCTTGGTCAGAATCAGATAATAAATCTAAAGCTGAATCAGGGCGGGGAGATGTACTATAATAAAGAATATCATTTTGTTCATCGAGAGGATGGATCAACTAGTACAGAACATAAGCCTATCTACTTTTAAGATCATTTACACTACCATTTAGTTTGTTTGTTTAAGAAACAAAGAACAAAAAAAAAAAAGAGAAAAAAAAAGGATGTTTATTTGAGTATGCAAGGCGGAGTTGTAAGGAATTCTCCCTTTTTCAGGTTTGCTTTTGATGAAATTACTATAAATGATAAAAACTTTAACTTCATGACATAAAGACCACTCGTCATAACATTAAAGATGTATAGATGTGCTCCATGTAAACTCAGATAGTTTTTGACGTGTCAACACATGATATTAAAAACCAATCATCACCTTGTTTTTCTTTTTACCATCACCAAATTTGCTATCCCATTTTCTAATTTCTACCAGACTCTCCATTTCTTCACTTGAACTAGGAGGCACCATTCTGATAGCCTCCTTAAAGTGTTCCATGGTCAATACTTGGGGTATATTGGTAGCTACTTGCTGCTGAACTGCTTTTAACGCAGCTGTAACACACACATTTTTCAGGTCCGATCCCGAATAATGCTCCGTTGCTTTTGCGATTTCCACCAACGACACCTGATGTGGTTCATCTTGAAGTAATATGTTAAGAATTTCGATACGATCTTGTTGGTTCGGTAAATCGACTAATATTAGTGTCAGTTCCATGCGGGCATTTAAATTCATCATTACCCAAGATACGTCGTGGCATACGTCTCAAGACTGCATCATCTAAATCAAATGGTCTGTTGGTTGCAGCCATGACGATAACTCCTTGGTTATTGCTTGACAGTCCATCCCATTCGACCATGAACTGGTTGATAATTTCTCGGTGTGATTTTGAGGAATAGTCTGAACCTCGCTTGTTCATCAAACTGTCTACTTCATCAATAAAGATGACACAGGGGGATAGTTTTCGTGCAAGTGAAAATATAGCCTACATATGTATTGACTAAACTATGCTGTTACACATCATTTTTGTGTATTACCTTCACATTTTTCTCCCCTTGACCAACATACATATCATATCTATACGAGACAAATAAGGAAAAAAAAAAGAAAAAAATATATCTTTACACATCACTTGCTTGAATATCCAACATTCGACTTCCACTTTCTTTGGCTACTGCTTTTGCCAGCATAGTCTGATTTAAAAATGAGTCTAGTGTATACATTCCATCTTATATATTTTACCTTTCCTGTACCAGGTGGACCAAACAATAATACACCAGGAATAAAGTTCTTTTTCAAAATACCCTTGTTAAACAAGTCTGGTCTAATCAAAGGCAATGAAATCAAGGTCTGAAGCGTCTCAGTCGTACTGGCAGGAGCACGCACTTGTTTAAAAGAGCCTTCTACTTGAGCTTATTACAGCATACAATGAATACAATCACATCAACACATCAGTACTTACATGGATTGACTATTCTCGTCAGTAATTTTTTTTCATATTCATTGCATGTCTTTTTCAGATATTCCATATCATGATTGAGTTTCTTTTCATTATTTAACTGCGCTACTTGGTCTATAATTTCATTGGCCTTGACAAAGTCTTCTACTTCTATTTTGGTTTTGTTCTGGTATAAAGCATGACCAATCGCTGTCATCACACGACGGTCTACTTGGTCAGGATGCCAGACTGATTTGGATAAATTGAGTGTCATCAGTCCTTCTAACAGTCCTTGGTGTTCTAAATGTACATTCTTTTGACGATAGACACCCACCAGTTGTTTTGCATTGATTTCGGCATGATAAGAAGCTTGATCACTTTTCAACATAGATTTCCATTGCTTTATATGGTCTTGATTCTGCAGGGATGGTAGTACACGTATCGTACGCAAATTAGGAATGACTGGAATAGTGTCTTCTTGACCATAAGAAGCCATGATCATGATAGCATGGTCCTTTTGTTTTAAGCTTTCAACAGCTGTGGCAAGTGATTTCAGCATGATACGCGTAAAAGCATCTTGCATGGAACCATAGTCTCTTAAATACACTATCTTGGGTTCATTGTTCTCTGTCAAGAGTTGTTTAAACATGGCTGTGTATTTTTGTGATATTTGATAGAGTGTTGCTTTGGTCAATCGATGGATGTGTTTGGATCCAGTATCGATATCGTCTAAATCAATTTCAATCCCGTTGTCAAAAGTAAACTTGTTTGGTTGGATATTGATCTTCAGTTTATCGTGATTCCTGTCTTCTTCTTCTTGTTCATGCTCACTATCGTCTTTTAGGTAAATTTCATAGTTGTCTCCTTTAGACAGATCTTCTACTTCTTCTTCTTCTTCTTCGCTTGGTTGAGAAAGAGCTAAAATCACATTCGAGTCAGCATCCATAGAAGATAGAATAGGCAATACAGTAGCCACTATAGACAATCAGTACAGCCATAATGCAGTTTTCTTGATGTTTACCATCTCGACTAAAGTTCTTTTGAGCTAGAAATACAAAATCATAAGGATCCAATGTCAGTAAATTAGCCTTATTTTTAGCAGCTAATTGATGTACAACATGGTCCAGCAAGTAAATCGCACCAGGACTAGACCCACTCATGGCAATATGGTCTGAATGGCTCAAGGAAGCCATGGATCCCTTAGGGATCAATCCTGATCTTACGCTCAACTCGAGTTCCTGTAATACATAACTTGGTAAAAATGAAGTATATTTCTCGGGCAATGATGTCAGTAAGTGATGGGGTTTATAATTGACTGTCTTGAATGATTCTAAAGGTATAAGAAGATAGACTCTGTTTATGCAAGTTGCCTTACCTGGTAAAATAGCTATTGTCTTGTTGCGTTTGATTTTAGATCGATGACGGCCTAATGTAGGTTTGATATCAGGCTGGGGGATCCTTAATGAGGTAGATGTATGGATCCATCTCAGGCCAATGCGATCTGGTAATCGACTCCAACGAAACATAAAGACAAAGAAAGCATGGAACCCACTTCTTATTGTGACGGTCGCTTGCATGTTTTCGGTCTCAGCCATCATGCCTATCTCTATTTTTTCTTTTTCTTTTTTTTCTTGTATGGATACTCAATTTGCTTATGAAACACTTGCTCATATCTTTTTCTATTTAAAACAAGACCAAAAGACGCTTTGTCAACTCAGCTTAACTTGTAACAAGTTTCGTCAATTGAGTCTACCTCTCTTGTTTAAACATCCTCATTTTACCTCACTGGATCAGCTAAGTTCATTTGCTGGATTTCTTACCGAGATCAATGGTGCATTGGTACGGTCTATTGATTTACACATGGTACCTCATCGATGGGATGCTACACAACTGACGCAAATCTTGTATCAAATCACACCCAAGACACCTCATTTAGAACTACTCGATCTTGGTTTATGTACATTACTGTAAGTGGGATACTCAAGCATTGTTGTGCTTATCCTCAACCAGAACGGACAAAGCATTAGACCGTATCACACGTCCTTTACATGAACTACGCATCTTGTCTATAGATCGATGTGAATTAATAGGCGATGAGTCTATTCGTTTTATAGTAAATCATTGCCCTGACCTCGAAGAGCTCCATTTAGGATCCACTCGGATAACAGACAATGGATTGAATGTGATGGCTGATGGATTATATGGATTGACTCATTTGTATATGCCCTCATGTCAACACATCACTGAAAAAGGTCTGAATCACATCATGTCAAGCTGTAAACAACTACACCATTTAGATATCAAGGATTGTTATAATGTAGTAGGGGAATTTAGACAACAGCAACAACATGATGATGATGCATGGACAGATGAAGAATAAAAAGTATATATATATATATATTAACAAGCGCAGTAATCATTGGAAGGGTTTTTGTCTTCCGTCATGGACACAGTTGAATTAGGTGCTGCGTCTTTTCGCCATAAAGAAGGGGTTTCAATAATCTAACAAAAGGTATGAGATAAAAGGAGTTTCTATTTTTTTTTTTTTTTTTACTTGCCTTCTCAACCAATTCTTCAAATGCTTGCTTCACACCTACTTTTGTCTTTGCACTACATTCAACAAACAGAGTAGATAGTTTACGAGCAAACTGAGCACCTTCTTCATAACTGACCACTCGAGCGGATGCCTTGTCTACTTTGTTCCCTACAATCATCTTTACCACATCAGGACTAGAACAATACGTATTGACTTCATTCCACCAAGTACTTAATGCATCGAATGTATCTCGATTACTGACATCATAGACTAATCACAGGTTTATATTGATCCCTTTGTACCAAGTGGCATGACTTACCTAAAATCACACCTTGAGCACCTCGATAATAAGAGGAAGTCAAGGTTCTGAATCGTTCTTGTCCTGCTGTATCCTGTAGACTGTTAAGATTGCTATTTCCTATATGACCACTTACCCAAATAGTTAACTTGTACATTGTCCCATTCACTTCCATCATGCTCACTTTGAAATCAACACCTAGTATTCTATTAAGTCTCTTGTTGTCTCTCTTTTGAACTTACCAATAGTAGCAGACACTTCTTCTTGAGGTAAAAAAGTGTCATCTGTAAAACGCAAGAGTAAAGAACTTTTGCCTACATTTGAGTTGCCAATCAATAGTAATTTAAGTGTTGGTATTTGTTGAGACATGTTTGAAAAAGAGATAAAATAAGAAAAAAAAAAAAAAAAGGATTACACCATCATTGGGTCAAGGCATATTTTTTTTTTATATCATACACACGTGATTTATGCGCGTTTGACTCTTACCTTTTTTAATCACACTTGTAAAATAGTGGCTTATTTATGCTGCCTGGTCATACACTCTACATCAAGTCATTGTACAAGAGGATCTTGGTCGAAGCCTCTTATTTCTTTGATGATAGAACAAGGCAAGTAGATGTACACCATGATCATATAGAATAACATGGGCTGTAGATTGTTTATTCAAACAAGAACAAAAAAGTCATTTCGAAACTATAGAGATTGTCAAGATCTAGAGAGAATCAAATACAAGATCAAGGAAGCAAGAAAAGTAATAAGGACATACATGTAATATGTTATCTCATATTCTATATAGCGTCTTCATCGACTTGAAAGAGCCAACAGAGGCAATCAAAAAGATGCCCTCAAAGTCCTTGAAGAAGCCTATGGTCGAACAGGCAAGACACGGCATGCACTTCTCTATGTAAGTCTGTAGTACCATTTCTGTTATCGCTCATGTCCTATCTAGCCTTATTTACACTGTTATGGACCGTTGGATGGTGCTCAACCCACACCACTTGTACCCCATGTGCCTCGTACTGCCCCACCACCACCCCTCTGTCCTGCTTTACGTGTCTTGGTCACGCACCATTTGAATAAGCGACTTGAACCCATCTTGCCTGAGCCTCAATTCAAGCCACTGCATCCAGGCAGAAAAGCCAATTTACTCTGGCGATATCGGTCCATGCTATTAAGTCGCATTCAACTTCCTTTACCGTTTGAGATCTTGGTGGAAATCGAGTCTAAGGCAGGTGCTTCTGTCACACATCCCTTAGCAGCTGCTGTTCGTGGGACAGGTGGACCTATCTGGGCATTCTATCAATGCCTCAAGCATGATATGGTCATGTCTCATTTAGATCCTCATGTCAAGTTACCACCACCACTTTCTTCTCAACTCAGACGTACTCAACCATTAACAAGTTCTCCTTATTCAACACATACACCCTTGCTTATTGAACCCATGGAGCCCTTGTTAAAAGAACCTGTTGAGTATGATGCAAGAAAAAGAAAAAGACTCTATCGAAAACTATTGCGTCAAATACCTCTGATCACAAAATTTGAGCCAAATGAACTATGGAAACAAGGCATGCAGTACCAAGTCTCTGCTTCTTTTTGGGTACCAAAAGCAGTGAATGAAATATTAAAAGACATTCCAACCCAACAAGTGATAGACAGTACCATTAAAAAGAAAAGAAAATAAAGTAGCAAATATCCTATATATATGTATATATACATTGTGTTTAGCTATGACCAATCTTGATACTATTGATGGCATCTTCAATCAACCTAACATCTCCATCTTCATATCCATGTACAATACGTCTGACATTAGGACCAGACAATTGATTTCCAAATGTAGGTAATCCAAAGGCACTTGCTAGCCCACTTGCTTGAGATGACATAGGTGAACTGGCTAAAAGAGCAGCATGCAGTAGTTCTACTTGAGCCATTAATTCTTGAGATTCAATTTGCAGGCAAAGATAGTTTAATTCAGGCATGACGCCTTCATTGATCATTTCTTCTGCATAAGAGTTGCGTGGAGAAGGCTCAACGGGTGGTGTTAATTCTGATATCTTGTTGGTTCTGTCTACAATTCGAAGGAAGACATCTACTACTTTAAGGCAAATGGGTTCAGGCAAACGAGGATAATGCAATAAGCGAGACAGCAATTGAATCATGTTTGTATAGTTGCGCAATAAAGCACTATAGACATGAATATCAAGATAACAACAACTTTACTTACCAAATACAGTCATTGTCTGCCAAAGTAGTGATATTAGAAAGAACCCAAAGCGATTCTTTAACAATACGCCATTCTTCAGTAGATTCAGGATTACTTGCATTGATAGAGGCAACCCATTTATGTGTATCTTGATGGTATATGTGACCAGGTATATGTAGATGTGCCATTACATATTGCATAATGTTTTCATTATGAACCACCTTGCGTACAATTTGCTCATGTCCAGCAGCCAAATTAGAGATGGTCAACATGGCATTTCGGCGTAATTGATGATGTGTATCAGGGCTTAAATACCACCAAATATTGTTGAGTAAGTCTGCATTCAACAAGACTTCAATAAACTCATTGGGTCCTGAAGAAAAGTTACTGATTGTCTGCAAAACAGACAAAACAGCTTGAGGAGGTTGATTTCTACTTGTATTAATACAATGCTTACACCTATTTTTTTTTTTTTTTACCTTAACAAATTCACTAATCTTGGGCATAAACCAGGATCCAATACTAATGTCTTGTAGAATGGATCATAGTTATACATATTGCTAAATATTCTTGATAATCCCCAGCTATAAAGAATGAGTCATGATGGAGATACAGGCTAACTTACCATGCTTCAGTCCAGATCTCTTTGTTTTCAAAACAAATACATTGTGAAAAAGCATTAAAAGAAGCCAGATACTGCTCCCAATGCTCTACAGTTCGAAATCCACCTCGACAGATGTTAGCCAAAGACCAAGTTAAATCTTTGATATCATCTGTATCATTTCTACTATGACAGACAATTTGACCTTGTTCGTTTTTTGTAATCACATCTTGATTGATGGCTGATTTAAGCTTCTTGGCAATCGTTTCACATTTCCTTGAAAGTGCAGCAGCAATATCACCAATTAAATGATCTTGAGCCATAGATTCTCTATAGCGAGGGGATTCAATAGACACATTGGCTAATGCCCAAGCCGTCTTTTTCGGTAAGTAGAGTGAGACACAGTCAACTTACTTGAGATTTCACACGATAATTCTCAGAGGATCGAAAGCAATGAATCAAAGCATCAATAATACCAGTATCAATCAAAAGAGCAGCATGTTCAGTGGCACCATACTATGACAAACATAAGTTATTTAGGCCAAATAACATCTCCTTGTCGCTTACAGCTAAATTAGTCACTGTCCAGGCTGTTTCATACTAGAAACAGTGATTAAATACAGAAAGAGAACCCTTTTTTTTTTACCTTGAGTTCATCATAGCCAGGTGTTTCGAGAATCGTCCTGAATCGATTTTGAAGACCAAGATCAAAAACATTTTGAATACGCTCCAAAGAAACACTCTGTGTTAGATATCTTCTAATATTCTTCATGGCATGATAACAACTGTTGTAATCAGAAGAGAACTCAAGTGTGTCCCTGTATTCATACAACTATGCTATGTCAAATGACGTTTTATTTATTTCAATCATGACTTACATTGTCATGTTGGATCTCTCTATATACTTGCTCAGCTTGATCAAGCGATACATTGGCGAACTTTTGATTCAATTCACCAAAGATCTCATCAGGCTCAAACTCATTGACTACCATTCTGTAAAGAAAGAAAAATACTTTTTTTTTTTTAATTCAGCAAAAAGAAAATAAATTCAAATCCAGTGTAGAAAAAAAAAAAAACTATATGCAACTAGAAACAACAACGTTTGCCTACCTCCAAACTCAAAATAGAATGAATAGTTATCACCCTCGATGATTGATATAACCCTTTCATATATCCTCATTGGTAAACAAGTTGACTGACCTGTCTTTTTATTTCGCTCAATCAAATCTAAAGTAGACATACTGAGTTTACCGAGACAATTCTGTCGCTTTTTTTTTTTTTTTTTTTTTTTGGCTGTAAAGGGATGATCGTCCCAATCTGCTGGATCAAGATCAAATCAAGATTTCAAATAGAGCAGTAGGTAAGCCAAGGTTATGGTTCAATGAATGTACTATAACTTAAAGGAAATAAAGTTACGACAGATCAACTTAAAATTTATGCTTGGTATCGCTTTCTTTTTCAAGTGCCTTTCTCCAGTAGAAGAAGCCTTTTGTATCAATATTATTCACAGAGATTGTCTTATCATTCATTCACGATTTGTTTCTGTTGAAATATAAATTGACAGAATAGGTTTATTCTAAGAAGGTTCTTGCTTTAAATGATGATTGTTGACTTATTTATTATTTAGGATTGCAAATTGTACTAGTAAAGGAATTTTTGTCATCGTCAAATTCAAGGCAAGAATTATATATTGTCTACATTCTTTGTATCATACTAAATCATATAAAATGAAGCAAAATCAAATATAAATTTTCTCTATTCTGCATTCTATTCAGGTCTGAAGAAATGAAGTTCCTTGCTCTTTCTACTATCGTTGCTATTGCTACTTGTGCTGTTGCTACCCCTGCTGGTCATATGGAGTACGCTTTTTAAATTTTATTTGTTATAATATGTTATTTATTCTTTTTTATAGTTTGGCCAAGCGTGCTATTGTTGAGACCAGAACCACTGTTATCAATGGTCAAACTCAACTCCAAGTAATTGACGTTGTTCCTGCAACTTTCTTAACTGTCACCAGCACTCCTGTCGTAACTGTCACTAGCACTAGCAGCTCCAACTCTTACATCTGTAAGCACATCTATAACTATTTATTATGCTCACTTTATTGTAGTTACTTTTGATAATGAAGACCCAGAATCTATCATTTCTAGACTTAGAAATGCTATCTTCAACTCGGACAGTCTTTTGGATGGCACTGCCAGTTCCAGCTCTGACTCTTCCTCAAGCTCTGAATCTTCCAGCGCCGAGTCCTCCTCAAGCTCTTCTGCTTCCAGTTCTGACTCTGCTTCAAACTTCTCTGCTTCCAGTTCTGACTCTGCTTCCAGTTCTGATTCTGCTTCCAGCTCTTCTGCTTCCAGCTCTTCTGCTTCTAGTTCTGACTCTGCTTCCAGTTCTGACTCTGCTTCCAGTTCTGATTCTGCTTCTGCTTCCAGTTCTTCTGCTTCAAGCTCTTCTGCTTCTAGTTCTGACTCTGCTTCCAGTTCTGACTCTGCTTCCAGTTCTGACTCTGCTTCCAGTTCTGATTCTGCTTCTGCTTCCAGTTCTTCTGCTTCCAGTTCTTCTGCTTCAAGCTCTTCTGCTTCAAGCTCTTCTGCTTCAAGCTCTTCTGCTTCAAGCTCTTCTGCTTCAAGCTCTTCTGCTTCCAGCTCTGATACTGCTACCACCGCCGCTGCTGCATTTGCTGGTGTTACTGGTGTCGCTTTCTAATTTATACCAAAAGCGTCTATTGATCTTTGTCTGTCATGCAAATCAAATTATTACTTTCAATAAACAATATCGTATGAATTCATACCTCTAAGCTGAAACCTTATTTTTTGTCTTCTTTTTTTTGTAAAAGTCTTATCATTCCAAAGAATGTTTGTCTGCCAAAATCAACCAGACATAAACAGTACGATACATCCAAACATGTAGGAATAAAATAAATATCCTATATGTTTACATAGATGAATGATAAGCACACAAATTGTTTACATTGACAGCTGTTTTAAAAAAACATAGTTTACATTTAATAAAACATAGTTTACATTTAATAAAACATAGTTCATTTTTTAACCCTAATTTTAAGTAAAACTAATGCAACACCTTACGGAAGCTGTCAAACTAAGATCATAAAAAATTTACACCTACAAGAGATTTTTATCTCATCGTTAACTAGCATATTATCAAAATTGTGATGTTCACTAGAAAAGGTGTTGTTTATTGCCTAGAAGAATGAATTCGGCTCATTGCTATTTCGTCTGAACTTGACATTCCTTAAACTAGACAAAGTGTATATAAACTCAACCCTAGATCGCCCTGTCAGAGCATTATCCATCTCTTCTATCGAATGAAGCTTCTCTCTCTTTCCACTGTTATTGCCCTTGCTACATGCGTCGCTGCTACTCCTGCTGGTCATATGAGGTAACGTTTTGTTTGCTATTAAAACCTTGTTTTCTTATCGCTCTTGATAGTTTGGCTAAGCGTGTTGTCACTGAAACCCGAACTACTGTCATTAATGGTCAAACTCAATTTCAAGTGATTGATGTCGTCCCAGAAACAATTGTTACCTCCACTTTCACCCTTACTAGTTCTGTTAATACCAGATTTGTTACTGTGACCTCAAATTCATACATCTGTAAGTAAACACACACACACACACACACACACACACACACAAATAATATGTCTGTGCTCACACTTTACAGTTACTTTCCCCGGTGGTGATCCTGGATCCATTATCAGTCAATTGAGAAGTGCCATTGGTGCTTCTGATAACCTTATCAATGCTAACCCTACCTTGTCTTCTGCTTCATCTGCCTTGTCCTCTGCTTCATCTGCCTTGTCTTCAGCCTCTTCTGCTGCCTCTTCAGCTTCTTCAGCAAGCGATTCTTCTGCTCTCTCTTCTGCCCTCTCCGCTGCCTCCTCTGCTTCTTCTGCTGCCTCTTCTGCTTCTTCTGCTATTTCTTCTGCCGGTGGTGGTGTCATCGATGTCTCTGCTTCCGTCGGTACTGGTGGTGTTGATGCCGGTGTCTCTGTCTCTAGCTTAATCGATGTTGGTGTCTCTGCTGGTACTGGTGGTGTTGATGTCAGTGCTGATGTAGGCAGTATTATCAGTGCTGATGTCTCTGTTGGTACTGGTGGTGCTGATGTCGGTGTCGGTGTCAGCAGCTTGCTCAGTGCTGATGTCTCTATTGGTACTGGTGGTGTGGATGTCAGTGCCGGTGTGGGTAACCTTATCAGTGCTGATGTCTCTGTTGGTACTGGTGGTGTTGATGCTGGTGTTGGTGTCAGCAGTCTTGCTAGTATTGATGCTTCTATTGGTACTGGTGGTGTTGGTATCACTCTTGGTGCTGGTTCTCTTGGTACTGTCGGTGTTTCTGTTGGCACTGGAGGTATTGATATCAACGCTGGTAGTACTGGCGGCAACCTTCTCAGTGACATTGTCAGTGGCGCTACCGGTATTCTTGGTGGTGCTACCAGTGCTATTGGTGGTATTCTTGGTGGACTTGGTATCTAAGGACAATCATGAGAAGCACTCTTCTTTTTTCTTATTCATCTATATATATCCTTTAATTTATTCGAATGAATGCATACCAATAATAAAGCATTTCTTGTTACAAACAATCGATTGTCTTGTTAGTTATATAGGAAACAATCAAGGCACTTTGTGTGTTGGATCAATCCCTATACTTCAAAAAAAAAAAAAACTCTAAATGATACTCCAACTCTATGTTTCGTATGTGAAAAAGTAAGTTTACTTTTTATTATTACTATTATTATCATTGTGATTTTAAATAAAACGGCTCTATTCATCCTTATGATAAGCGTTGAATTTTTTTTTAATGGATAAATAATACTAAAGCGCAGCTCTATATTTCTCGGGGAAACTCGTTCAGAAATGTACCTGCAGGCTGGTCCTAAAATAACTTTTTGTAGCCTCAAGTTCAAAAACTGTAAACAGCTTGATTCTGGCGCTTTTCAAACACAGATCAAATCAGTTCTTATCGGAGATTGAAGTAGTCATTTGTAAAAGATATTGATTCATGAGTTACACATATGATACTTTCTAAAAAAAGATAACAAAAACATAGAGAAAGAAGGCATCCTCTCTTTCTTTTATTCATAAAAAGAAAATAAAGGAATGGTCTCTACTAAAACAAGTCACAGAAAGTGATATTTGTGTATGTCTGAGCATAGAAAATAACTACATCTATGTGGTGTATCCTCAAAAAAAAAAAAAAAAATGATACAACCTCTTTTTTTTTTAATTTTCTCCTTTTTTTTTTCTTCTTTCTTTTTCTTTTTATATTCGGGAATTTCTTTATTATAAACAATGTCTGCTGAAATTAGAAGAAAGTTAGTTATTGTTGGTGACGGTGCTTGTGGTAAAACTTGTTTGTTGATTGTCTTTTCAAAAGGCACTTTCCCAGAGGTAAAGAAAAAAAAAAGAGGTCAAGATGCAAACAAAAGAAGACTCATCTCCTTTTAGTTTTATGTCCCTACTGTGTTTGAAAACTATGTTGCTGATGTTGAAGTCGATGGCAAGCACGTTGAGTTGGCTTTATGGGATACAGCAGGTAAGAGAAGAAAGACTAGAGCTTATCTTGTTTTTACTTACAAGTCTTTTTTATATATAGGTCAAGAAGACTATGATCGTCTTCGTCCTCTCTCTTACCCAGATTCACACGTTATTCTAATCTGCTTTGCTGTAGATTCACCTGATTCCTTGGAAAACGTTCAAGAAAAGGTAAGAGTAGACACTGTCTATAACCATGACTGACACCCTTTGTATAGTGGATTTCTGAAGTCCTTCACTTTTGTCAAGGTCTTCCTATCGTTTTGGTCGGTTGTAAGAAGGATTTGCGTAATGACCCTGCTACTATTGAAGAATTGAGAAAGAACTCTCAAAGACCCGTTACTTATGAAGAAGGTGCTGCTGTTGCTCAAAAGATTAGCGCATACAAGTATCTTGAATGTTCTGCAAAATCAGGAGACGGTGTTCGTGAAGTATTTGAACAAGCAACCCGTGCTGCTTTGATGGTAAACAAGAAGAAGAAGAAGTCTGGCTGTACTGTTTTGTAAAGAAATATATATATCATAATAATAAACTACATTCAACATATATAAAAGAGAGAAAGAGAAAAAGAGAGAGAGAGAGAGAGAGAGAGAGAGTATTTTACTGCTATTTCTTTACAACCTACACGTGTTTCCCTCTTTGCTCTCTTCTATTATTTCAATAAGCCTTGTTTTCACATGAAAAAACCAATTTAACCAAGATAAGAAACTCGAACGCCAATTGTAAACAAACAAAAAAGAAAAGCTTATTTCATCACACACGTAATAAAGATACGCCTTTTTTTTCTACTTTTTTTTTTTTTTTTTACTTTCTTACTTTCAAGTGACCATAAAGCAAGTAGACTATCTTCTAAGAATAAAAAGACTTACTGTTCTATATAGTGATTGAACCTGTTTCTGCAGAGATATCCACTCAAGAATCGGTAAGTGAATTCATATCAACTGCATGATATTCACTCTATTTTAAAAAAGGGTGTTCAAAAACATCTCAAGTTCTGGGATAAGAAAGAAAAAGGCTATATTACCCCATTAGACACAATTTCAGGTGAGAAAGAGCTTGCAAAGTTAGTATCACTCATTATCACCATCATCATCATGATAACAGGTTTCATGACGTTGGGTTACAGCATGTTATTCAGTGTTGCTATTGGCACTATGGTCAGTGTCTTTCTTTCACTCTCTACTCAGTCTGGTTGGATACCTGATCCCTTATGTCGTTCCAATGTTAATAAGATAAGGGAAGCTACCACGGCAAATTCAGGTGCTTTTGATGAACAAGGCATGTTTGTGTCTGACAAGTTTGAAGAGTTATTTCATCGACATGCTCAATCAGACAAGTCTGGTAATACCATCACGTTAATTGAATTTATCAACATGACCAAGGAACAAGAACAATTAGGAATGAACCTTAAAGCTTGGTATGTTATAACATATATCAGCCATAGGACTCACTTTAGAAAAAAGGGCTACTGGTATCATTGAATTGTGTACTGCTTATTTCTTTGTTGGTCATCAAGGTACACTTTCAAAGCAAGATGTGCGTGCAGCTTACGATGTAATATTGTTTTGTTTTGTTTTGTTTGTGTGTTTGTGTGTTTACCATCTATAGGGCTCTTTGTTCTATCGCCTCAAAGATACAAATCGACTCATGATACAGGACAAAGATAATAGCCTTCATGGCACTTATCTCTCTCAACCTGCTCATCCCTTGAGTAAAAAAGCATGGGAGACGCGCTTCAAAAGTTTATCTGATTCCGTTCAGGCCAGATCAACACTTGTCCTTTCAGACACTCGGGTCAATCAATGGGTATCTTTTGTTCAAGACAACATGCTTTCTCGCCTGACAAAATCGCGTCCTGTGCTTCGTGGTGTAAGTACGCCCAAGACACCCGCATATCGCACACAAAAGACCATTGATGATCCTACCACACTATTTCCTGAAGGACTGACCGGTGTTGCAAAAGAAACACACACCAGTAGTATAGATAACAACTATTTGAGTTCTCTTTTAAGTCAAGATCCTTTAAAAGAAACCCATCCTATGATCACTGGTGTCCAGACTCTTTTAGATCAAGATATTTTACTCGGTGTGTATCATACAAAAGCTCAGGCTTCTTCTTCTTCAATAGACTATGCTCCTTCCTTGACAAAATCCATCTCTACTTCTTCTAATGAATCTCATTCGGAACCCTTAATGACAAGCTTCCTTCGTGAAGATGATACACACCTTGACTTGTTGACAGAAGGTACAGGTCTGACAGGTGTTCAAGTGGAGAAACCTGTATCGGATGCATTGATTCAACCTGAAGTTGCTGTGGTTGAACACCCTAAGGCCAACATCACCCCTCCTCCTGAAGACGAACCAATGATGGAGAAACCAATGGAGAAACCAATGGAGAAACCAGTGATGGAGAAACCAGTACCTCCTACACCTATTCAGACAGACAGCCAAAAGAGAAAGACGAATAAAAAGGTAAAGAACATGTCTCCTGTTGAGCCACAAAAATTAAGTGATACACCTATTAACGCTTCTTGGGCTATTGCTAAATAGTTTAAATAAAAGAAAAAAAAAAAGTTTATTTTTTAACATGTCGAGGATGTAAGAAATGAGTTAAAAACTAATAAAAATATCAACATCAAGATTCACAACCATATAAGCACTTACTTTTTTCTTGCTAGGTGTTGATGGTGTCTTTTCTTGAATGACCATCATTTGGTTTCGTCTTAATTTACCTGGTGTACCAATTTGTCCTAGTTTTTCTACCATTCTTCCAAAGAAATGAGTCGATTTTGAAGAAGGCAACAGGCCTGCTGCTACCATCGAATTGGTGGACATATCCACAGAAGGCGGACCCGTAGCTGACTTGATAGAACTCGAACGATGAATGGAAGGATGCCGTTGAGCCAATCGAAGCATCATAGACTCTGTATTGTTGCCAATCGAAGGTCTTCTGCTACTACAAGCACTTGGACAACTCTCACTAAAACTTGTGGAAGGGGAATGAAAGACAGGCGACATCATGTCTTGAGGTAAAGCTGTCTTGATTAATGAGATGGTTGAATTGGGTGTTGTGCTGGGTATCATTTTTCGCTTTTTAACATAGTTCGATCCATGTCGATGCATACTGTTGGCTCTGGCTGTCAGGATGGGTGTGGTACAGACATCGTCAAATTTGGTATCGACTGATTTACAGCGTGTATGGTATTGGTTGAATTTGCGTTGTGTCCATTTCTCAGAAACACTGTTGGAGAAGAAGTCGCGCAGGTCGCCTATGCTGGATTGAGATCGAAGGCCTGGTGAGCGAGTGACATGGTCGATAGGATGCGATAAGTCGATCATGGAGAACTCTTGCGTTGAAAAGACAGGGTGAGAAGAGCGGTGGCTTGAACGAGACGATTGTTTGTTAAATATAGCAGACTGAGAGAAACTGGTGGATCCATTTGGCATAGGAAACTCAATAGGATCCATGGGTTTCTGCTTTTGTTGGTCAAAGCTAGAGACAAACAATTGCTCTAATAGGTATTCATTGGAATCGACACTGTTGGCATAAAGCCGCTTTGATTCTTGAATGGCGCTTGAGAGAGCGTCCATCCAGATAGTCTTCTCGAGTTCACATAGGGCACTTAATTCAAGTGTACTGTCATCACTGTGCAATAGCCACGAATAAGCCATTGAACCTAATAACTGAGTCAATAAACCACACTAATGTATCTCACCTTCAAGATGAGGTATATCTTCAATATCAAATTTACGTAAAGGAAACCAATAACGAGGTTCATATTGCTTGTGTTTTTTTGCTTTTGCCATAATCATATAATGGTCAAAGAGAGCACAACCAATACGCTTTGGTTTGTTGTCTATCATAGATCGTACTTCCAGAGTACCTATTAAAGTACAGACACCCAAGGTACTGAACCATCGTTTTGGAAGACACCAGTCAGAATCCAGACGGGACAAGAACAAGGCTGTCTTTCGCTTGGCTTCCATTTTAGACTTTTCGTTATTAATTTTGGTGGCAATGGCATGAACGATATTCTGTGCTTTAGACAAAATCTCGTATTCCTCAGTATCTTTTTGTGTTGCTTTTGTGATACTCTGTAACAAGAGACGGTAGCGAAAGATTCTCTGAAATGGAGTGATCATATAATCATCAAATTTAAGTCGACTGAACCCAAACGATACACGGTGAAAGGTGTGAAGGCGCTCAATCAGATTTGAGAATTCAAGGTTGGTCTGGAGTAGTTCATTGTAGACAGAAGCTGCATGATCTTGTCGTACACAGTAGTCGAGGTAAATATCAAATTTAGGTGCCCATTCAACAAAGCAAGTGGCTATTTGTTTTAAATTGCCCTTGTAGAAAATGCCATTCTTTTCTGCCTCTTGTTCTCCATGGGCATCCATCAATGCTTCTGTAAACTTTTCTTGAAATACATAGATATCCATGGCATTGCGTACAAGAATATCTATTTCTTCAGGTGTAATGCATGTGGCTTGTTGAATAATAGCAAAGAAATGCTAGTCATGTATAAGTTTAGCTACTTGGACGATATGGACTTACTGTACAAAGAATACCGAGATCACGACTATAGGTTTCTTCTGTCTCCATCAATTCTTTAATGGCATTTAATCGTTTAATGGATCTTCTTTGTTCTAATGATTTGATTTCATTCATTTGCTTTTCTAAGGGTGTATCCACACTGTCTTCTTCGATAGATAATGCCTCTTCCATGGTAATAAATCGAGCTTTTGGATTGATTTCAGGTGCGGGTAAATGCCGAGGCTCCTTTTCTTCTTCGGGGATTATTTCTTGACTGGGTTGAATGACCAGTTTCTCTTCACATGTCGTTGTGAGATCATCCAATGAAGTGCGATGGCTATAGTACTCTAACGTAGACATGTCTGGTATGCTATGTCTATGCTTATGTTTCTTGGTCGAAGAAGGTGACCTGAGTAAATCAGAGACTGGGTTTCTTTCTGCGGGCACGATAATGGATGATCCAGGCGTGGCTGAATTTGAATGTGTGTCTATGGAAACGGCTTTACTGATCAATGTCAAATCACCAGTGGATTGGCGTAAAGATGGATCATTAAATAAGGAAGAAGAGTCGGAATTTATCTCGCTTGAATCAGAAATGTAGTCTCTGTACACAATTCCAGTTGAATTGAGTTTATGGTTTAATCCTACTTTTTCGCTCGTCTCTGAAGGATCAGTGTCTTTTTCCGGAGATATTTTGGTATCCAAATGCTCAGTATCTATCAGTGTATCTACCATGAGCTAAAGAGAAATAAAAGAAGAAAGAAAGCAAAAAAAAGTTCCTTTAATTTCCTTCATGTCGTTGATCTGCCAACTGCTATCTATAAAAGGCAAAAAAGTTAACAATTTTCTTAAAGGGGCAGTGTTTTTTTAGGTCCCCGACTGTTGTATCCTCCTCCCCGCTCCCCTAAAAAAAATTGACATCGATTTACTTATACCCCTCGCCTCTCAAGAAGGAGGCTGGAAATACAAGTAAAGAATTATGATTTGCTTATGTACAAACATTTTAAAATAATCCGGCCCATCAATATTCATGATTTTGAAAGTGCTTTGCGTTATTGTCTTTTACAAGAAACACGAGAATTAGATACCAACAATGACACGTCTACTACTTCATCTATTGTAAATATTATTAGTAACCTAGAATCCAAGCTACGCTCTTTCAAGCATAACATTAGACAACTTACAGATAAAGAAATTGTAAACGTCGCTGAAAATGCTTCCAACATCAGTAGCATTTTAGAAATCCAATTTTACCAGACTACGCAGATAAATAAAGCGTTGATAGTCCGACGTGTCGAACTGTCGCTTCAAATGTCTGAATATGAGTAAATCGCTTTCTTAAAAAAAAAAAAAAAGTTAACGTCACCTTTTTAATGGCTGAGTGAAATGATTGGGCGGAGAAGACCAAGGGTTCTTTTTTTTTTGTGTGTGTATATTTCTTTATTCTTACAATGATTCAACAAGGCGTTTTTGGTGTTGCCAACTTTGCTGTCACTACTGCCTCTGCCAAGTCAAGTAGTGAAGCCACAACTCGTGCTTTGGCTCTTTATAGACAATGGCAAAAATCAGTAAGTACATTGATCCATTAACCATTGATTGACCCCATTCTAGGTTCCTGAAATGATGAAGCTTCATGAAATCAACATGCCTCCCTCAGCTATTCGGGCCAAGATTCGTGAAGAATTCGAAAAGCATCGTCATGTCGAACAACTTGAAGTGCGTGATATTTTGTATGCAAAAGGTCAAATGGAATACCAAGAAGTGATGAATGTCTGGAAGCAAAACAACCATATCATGAACTATTTTGCTGAAGAGGAAGCACCACCAAAGCCAACTACCTTTTTAGAAAAGTTTTATGAAGGCAGATCTTAAATAATAAAAAAAAACTTCTTTTTTATATGTTTATTAAATCTAGAGAGCAATCATATCCCAACCAGCAGTGATTCGATTCAGCCCTTGTAGTTGCAATAGACTCGCTTTTAGTTCTTGACGAGAGAGGTAATGTTTAGGTGATTCTAGACTAGTGACAGAAAGACGCTTTATCCATGGAAATAAGGCGATATCTTGAAGTAATGATTTGAATAGTGGCACATGGGATTTATCCAGAGTTAATTTTAGCTCAATGAGGTTAGGAAACATTTGTTTAAACTGTCTCCAAAAGTCTTGTTCTGGACCAGTCAATGCGATATGTAAGGAATGTACAGCGGGAAATAAGGCGTGTCTGAGTAGGTGGGAAGGGAATGAAGGGATATCAAGGATTTTGAGTGTTGATTGGGATGGGTACAGTGTCCTCAAAAGGAATTCTGTCAATATGGGCTGTTGATCTTGAATAGTATCCCCATCATGCATTGAATCACGAATACTGATATGGGATAGACTTGTTTGAGGAAAATGACTCAGTGTGTTGAATAGGTCTGTATGAGATAGGAATGGTATCATGACAATCAATGCATTCATTGTCTTTTCTGATTGTTGTCTCTCAAGAATACGACATACCATATGAGGTGTGTCTACTATGGCCTGTAATCGTCTGGTGCAGAGTGTGGAGTGTCTGAGTGCATAAATAAGGTAATCTGAGGATGATTGTTTGTTCTGTAACACAGTGACAGTTTGTTTCCAATTGAATCGATCACCCACAATAGTAGCATAATAGGTGCATGTTCTATAGCCAAGTGAGTTATTGATACTGTCTTGTGTCCACTTACTGTGCTAATGGGCCTAAATCAAGGTGATTGTCTTGTTTGATATAGTCTAAAATCAACAATTGTAGTTCAAAAGGTAAAAGAAGCATGGAGGAATATAAAGAAGAAAACTAGTCTTTATATAAGGAGAATCGGAAGTATTCTACTCGTGCTTGTCATATATGTATAAATAAATAGAAGGGGTATACATGATCTCCTGTATAGTCCAAATCTTTATTACATCTATTTCATCGTGCGAAATTAGACATTGATTGACCAATCACAAGAGAAGAGATGCAACAGTCACTGATCTCGACATATCAAAAACCCTAAACCGAGAACTGAAATCTCTTTCTTTTTTTTTCTTCGTTATTATGTCGAATATGATTAGTGATGAATTAAGTACTCCTCGAGTAGCAACACCTGTAGAGAATGATGGCATGAGTTGGCCAAGTAAGTTTATAAGAGGAGATAGTATCAAGGTGACTGAAATGATCTAAAAGGTTTGGGTGCTCGTGAACGTCGAGATGAAACTCCCCCACAAAGAGAAGAAAGAGAAAAGAAACTGGCTGAGGCTGTCAAGACCATTCTGACCTGTATTGGCGAAGATCCCGAAAGAGAAGGCTTATTAAAAACCCCGGAAAGATATGCAAAAGCATTGATGTTTTTTACGCAAGGCTATGAAAGAAACATCCATGGTAATTATGTCTATGGATATCGATAGGGTTATTTACTCCGTTCTATATTTAGAGGTCATCAATGATGCAGTTTTTGAAGAAGGTAAAGTCATGCATGTTAGACGGGTGATTTAAGTGTGCTTAGATCATGACGAAATGGTGCTTGTGAAAGATGTGGATGTCTTTTCTCTATGTGAGCATCATATGGTTCCCTTTATGGGCAAGATTAGTATTGCTTATATCCCTAACCGCCGAGTCGTTGGACTTAGTAAATTGGCTCGTATTGCAGAAATGTTTGCTAGAAGGTAGAACGTATTGATTTATGAGCAATGACACTGAATATGAGATATTAGATTACAAGTTCAGGAACGCATGACAAAACAAATAGCTACTGCACTCATGGAAATCCTTCAACCTCAGGGTGTTGCTGTTGTCATGGAATGCTCACATTTGTGCATGTGTTCAAGGTAAGTGTTTATGAAATTGTGGGAAATAGTTGACTGATTTGTTTCCCACCCTTGTTCCATTCAGAGGTGTTCAGGTAACACACAAAAGTATACATATATATATGTAAGTTTTACTCATCTTATTGTATTAGAAACCTGGTAGTGCCACTATTACAAGTTGTATGTTGGGAGTGTTCAGAAGTAGTCCACGAACAAGAGAAGAGTTCCTTAATTTGATTAGACGATAGCATATATACACCAATACACCCTCTATTTATATATACACTTTTTTTTTATTATTGTTACTAAGAAAGTTTGCCGGAAAGTACAGCTGCTTTACAGAGCTGAAGTGCTGTCAAATAATCATAGTTGGCTTCTTCGACATAAGGCACTAATTGTGCTCGGTCTAGATGAGGTAAAATGTGATGTAGTTCTGTCAATACCTTTTCAAAGGTTTCGTTTTGATCAGTCTATCATAAAAAGATCAATAGGTATACAATGAGAGTAGTTGTTACCTTTTCTATTGACTTGGATCTACTATATGATCTTAGTGATGTCTTTCTACCCAAGGTAGATAATAATCGACCAGGAGCACTCTTTTTTAATTTGCTTGCTGTTATACTGCCACCATTGGCAGATTCTGAAGATGAAACGCTGCTTGAATCTTTAAACTACACAAGAAAATAAGTCAGAAAAAAGAAAGTTTAAATGCTCTTATTTACTTCCGTAGAACCAGAGGGTTGACGTGGACGGCTAGGTGTATCAATATGTTCATAAGGTATTTGTTTCTGTGTTGTACTGGTGGTGGTTGTGTTTGCTGAGAATTGCTGATTCGGTAATAGAGCATGTGCTGCTGAAATAACATCTGTCAATTGTTCTTCTTGAATAGACGTAGGTGAGCTCACAAAATCAGCCGATTTTTTGCTTGATAAACTAAGAATGGATGTGTTAGTAGGTACAGTAAATCCAAGTTGATCTGTGGAAGCTGTGGTCCAGATCATAAAGTCTTCACTGGCTCCTTTATGTTTTCTAGATGAAAGTGGATGGAGAAGTGATCGTTTAATAGTGGGTCTTCGGATCGGCTGAACAAGTCTTGAGTTTTCTTTTGCGGGCTCTGTTCTCTGTCGTTTGATCCATTTCTTCATACCACTGTCCGCATTGATACAGTGTTGGAAAGCAAGTTGATAGGCTTTTAAGCGATCCTTAGACACTGGCATTTTCATGGTATGGTAGAGAGTCAAAGGATGATGGGGAGGCCCATGACGATAACTAATAGTCAAGCATTCGGCTAGGCGAGTAGGTAATTCCTCTATTGTTTTCGGCTTAAGGGCTTCTTGTTGTTCTCTTAGTTTCTGGATCTTGAGTTCTTTTGCTTTCTGTTCCAATAAATCCGAGAGACCCTCAGTATCATTGCCTTTTTCTTCAAAAATAGTTTGAAAAGTAACAAGAGAAGTCAACAAGTCATCGCCTGTGCCTTCTTCTTTCCATGAGATTTGGTAATTATCTTGTTGTGGTGTGGTCGAGGATCGTTTAGGCTGATTGCCGTTTGTGTTTGTCTTGTGTTCATCAAGACGATAGATACTGTCTTGAGCTGAATAGACTGGATTGGGCATATGCTTCTCGTAGGATTTTAAAGTAGGTGTCTTTCGAACTGTACTTGATCTTTTGGGTTTGTTCTGTTCGTTAGGGATCGTTTGTGGTTTTGCGTTGTCCATAGCAGGTGATGAATTTTGAGTAGGTGTGTTTTGAGAAACAGGATGGGTCTGTTTTATAGTGTCTTGAGAAGCAATATATGATTTCTTGTCTATCTGTTCTGCCTCTTTTATGTTCTTAAGAGGTGTGTAGAAATTTGTGATTGGTTTGGCTGTGTCTCTACCCACACCTGCTCTTCTTCTTTGTCGTTGGCACTTGTAACATGCACAGGATGCATTGTTGGTACATGTTTTACTTGAGGCAGGCTGTGTAGTAGAAGAAAGAATTGATTGAAGGTAAGAATCACTTGTGTTTGTCGCACTAAAAAAAAACAACATTAGTCTTGTGCGATATTAAAAAAAAAGGACTTGCCTTGTATCGAGCTTGGGCAAAAGTTCATGTGGGATGGCGTCTATTTCAATTTTGATCGATTCATCTTGCACAGGGTTTTGTAGGTTTACTAAACAACATTTAGTCTATTTTAGATGTTTTCAAGAGACTTACAGTCTACTTTATTTTCAAAATGAAATTTCTGGACCCAGTCTAGAATACATGTTAGTTTCTTGTATGCGATCGTGTTCTGGATTACCTTGAGTCAAGACTTTTATATCGGAACCAACAGTTGCCATATGAAATGATAGGTTTTAGAGTTGAAATAAAGGAGTGTGTTTGAATAGCCCTAAAAATATAAAAAAAGAAAAAGAAAAACGAGAGAGTGTTCCTTCAATAAGCATTATTTAGACATTAGAATTGAGGTAACACAAACCAACGTTGTGAAATTGCATTCAGGCTGCTATCTAAAAAGGGCAATCTAGTTTATTCTGATTTACCCTTTTTAAAGAAAGCAACCACTTTATATGAAAGAGATTTTCATCTATGAAACCATCTGCAGCTGTTATTGAAAGACAACTTGCATGCCCTTCAAGCCTTTGTGAGGGTGTTTCTATTGTTCTGGTAGCAACAACGAAAGGCTTTCGTATGGTTAGACTCGGTCGTGTCAATTGAAAACCTAATAAACTGCATTTAATTTTAATTTCATTTTCATTTTACCCTGGATGAAGACCAGGCACCACATAGGTTACATTGCTCATATCTGTACTTCCTGATAATCGTTGTTCTTCCCAAGCACGAGAAGAAAAAGTGACGCCTTCGGTCTTTATACGCTCAATGTGATTGTCGACAAGAACATCATTCACAATCCTAAGCCAGTAAAATAGAAAAATAAAAAAAAATAAAAATAAAAATAAACTTGATCCCAAGGAGCTCAAGTGATTTTATAAACCAGTGGCTACACTAGCAGCACAAAAACGGTTTTCCACCTTAGTTTTAAACTCATTTCAATTGTCGTGCTGCTGCTATAGTCAAATCTATGGGATTTGGTACCTTTTGAAAGGGAGTAAGTGAACGCCACAAAACATCAAGCGTTGATTCAGATATGCTTACTTTGTTTTTCTTTTACGCAGTGATTTAGCAGTACAATTCAGTTACAATCAAACATTACCATAATGACAACCAATAAAATATTTCTTTTGAGTAAACGCGCTTTTTTTTTTCTCCTTCTTCTTTTTACCAAAGCTTAAACAGCATGCACTATATTTCTAGCAAACTTTCATACTTTATTTCTACCACAGAAGATTTTTTTTACAGCATTTCATTGACATTAATGGAGTTACCTGTTCACTTGATGCTAAAAGCGTTAATGAGCTGAAATCAAAAATTACAAAAACATTCATTACACAAATCAAAAAAATACAAGCTTGATCTCAGCCAAGAAGATATCAAGTTTATGTCAAAAGTATCGTATAAAGCATGGTCCTTATTATTTGAATCTGTAAATTCTAAGAGCAATATAAATTGTGACCATCTACTCATAATCTTAATAGGGAAAGAAGTATCAGATCAACAAAGATCGTTACCTTTTGTTTGAAGAAGCTCGCAAAGCATTTCGTGGTGAAGCTATTATTAGATTATCAGAAGATCCTGTTGAAGAAGACAATGATAGCTTCAAAAAAATACTCAATCAAAATTCAGTTCAGCTCTTGAATAGATTCGATTCACTTATCCAACAAGAAAAAAGACTGCTAAAACATTGTCTTTCTCATATTATTAATTTGAGTAATCCTGAATTAGCAGCGCTGTTTCAGCAACAAATGCCACAATTGTACAGTCATGTGCAAAATTACATTAACATTCCAATGTAGTACAAAACTTGTCCGAAGAGGAAGTGACCTACGAAACTGTCAAGAATGAGCTGAAGATTACTGGTTCACTTAGCACGTCCCTAACCTTGAATGATGAGATTTCTTTTTTAGAACAGATGAAACAGACATTCAACGCTATTTTTATCAACATGGCTAGTTCAAGAAAGAGAAAGAGACATGCTGAATGCACTAATGTTGACAAGGCAACAAATTTGCTGGATTTAGTAATTGGAGCAGACGACCTGTATACTGAGCCTGGAGAGACAACTAGCAACGCAACTAAAATGGTTCGTGTTGCTAATGAGCACTTCTCTGGCTGGTCTTCTGGTTCAACCAGTTCGACTAGTAATTTGGGCGGCCGAAAAACTGATATTTTGCTCATGGGCAATGATGAAATCTCAAAAATAAATGGCCAAAGTAGAAGGAAAATATTTGTCTCTTTAACCAAAGACAAATGGCACTAAACATCAACTGAAAATGTCTCAAAAGATGTCATCAAGCGATTGGCATAAAGAAATAGAACTTCATCAAAAAAAGGCCAAGGCTTAGAGAGGATTTTACTGAAACAGTTGATGATTTGACACTTAAAATGACCACAAAAACCATAAAAGTCACTAAGGGGCATATTGTTACAGGCGGCTGCAATTTTACTACATAGATCTTCCTCTGCCACCAATCGATCATGCTTCATTTTTCAATTAACGATGGCCCAGAACTGTTTAATTAGATCTAGCTCAAGCGAGTAAGACAGCAAGTACAAGACCATGCATCCTTTGTCTTCAATCTTGCGAGCTATAGCTTATAATTTACCAATATAAACATTATCAAAATCTAGAAAATATTCTTTTATAATCATATTCATATCCATTATGAATCCTTCCATTCCATAGACCATCCATGTCTTGTTTGTAAGCTCTCTATTGAATTTCTCACTTCAACCTCAGAAACAGGCTTCTTAGTTATTATAAGCATTGCATTTCTCAAGTGATTGTTGAGTTAAGACCTTAATATAACAGAGTCTTCAAATTTCCTCGCAAAACTCCCTATGATGTCACCTAACACTGGCTGCGGTCCGTTGTTGAGAAAAACATTGTTGCACTCGTTGTGTGCAGCCGTAAATGAGCTTTTGGGAATTTAATCTCACAAAGTCCAAAGAAATAACCAATTTGTTATCAACATTGGGTTTCAATGTTTGAATACAAACAAATAAACTGTTTGTATTGATCAAAGATATATTTTTATAGGGTCAATAAGGCTCATTGACGTTGAAGCAATGAAGTTCAAGTGCTGGGTAATAAATAATAGAAGAGCTGTAGATTTGGTATCTGTATTACTTTAAGGCTTTATTTACTGAGAAACGGCTATTTCACTGAACCTGTCATGATAAAAATAAAACCAAGAAATCTCAAAAAAGGTACTAAACACATAAAGATCGTGTTTATTAAGCTACAGTACACTATTGGTGTCATTTGCGACACTAAAAATCAATATGTTCAAAATGGTCAAAAGGTCAAAATTTTTGAAGGGTATTATCCAGGACCTGCTTTTCATACTCCGCTATTCTGGCTTCTTTTGAGCTTTATGACACAACGGCTAAAGCTATTGTCATGATTCAATGCTTAAAATATGCGCCAAAAGCTCTAGTTTTTGTTGGTTGCTTTTATGTGCGCATCATGTCAGGAGAAAGATGAGATAGGTTTGAGAACCCCTAAAAAGTATTTTGTAGTGTGTCTTTATGTTTTGCTAGTAGAGTTGCTGTATTCTTTGCATCAATAAAGTTGAAAAACAAAGAACTACAACTTTTGTTAAGACCTCAAGATGAAACAACTGCGTTTTTAGTCATTTTCAACAAATGCTTATTTTTGGATGGCTACACGAAATTTGAAATACTTCGACTTTCACTCTCCGATAAAGGCTGCTTGTATAGGTGTGGTGCCTTTCATGGACTCTAGATGCATAAAAACAAAGAGATAACAAAGAAGTGTAGTAATGAAAGACATAAATGCAGCAGATAGGCAACCAGCTATTTATAAATAATGGTACAAATCATGCCAAGATGGTGTGCAAATGTTTGGCAAAAGCAAAACAGGGCTTAAACATGCCAATCTTTGATGTTCCATTACTCGACAACCTGACTATCAAACCGGTCCGTTTTTTTATTTTTATTTTTTTGACCATGGAGGATCACGAGAGCTCGTGAAGATGAAAAAGACAAAATTTTTTGAAATGGCCCAATGTAGGTCTGATCTAGCCATCCTTATCAAACAGGATTTCTCAATGACAGATTTATTAACAATAATGGAATGTTGGTGCATCTGATACTACAACAAGCAAGATACCAAAACCATCCTGTTATCGGCTTACTTCTTGATCAAGAGAAGGCGTATGATCGAGTTCATGCCGGATATCTGACTCAGGTGCTACGTGCTTTTGGCTTTCCCTTTTCACTGATTGATAGCATTAGTAGTCTGTTTTTTTTTTTTTTTTGATAACTCAGTCTATATTAATGTTAATAAATTCTTCACGGAACCAGTCAATCAGAAGCGAGGTCTACGTCAGGGTGACCCTCTTTCACCAATACTGTTCAATCTTGCTTTGGAGCCACTATTATTGTCTATGCTTCAAGTTCCATTGTACCAAGGTTATTCTTCTTCGAACTCCTCAAGCAACCAACAGATCAAATGCCCAGCATATGTGGACGACATCTGTGTCTTTGTTCACGACCAAAATGACTTTGTACGCCTTCAGACTCACTTGAACAATTACGCTAAGGTCTCTAATGCAATTTTCAATCAGCACAAGACCGAAGCATCTTCACTGAGTGGTGGTACTGTGTCTTCCTGGTCAACACTGTTAAGGCAACGCCGAATTGACACCTACTATTCCGAATCTTCACCAACTATCCTGAGGTATTTAGGTTTCTACATGTCTTATACTAGTACGCAAAGAAATTTTGTTCAGGATATGCTATTTAACAAAGTGCAAACACTGATTTGCGTTTTCTCACAACGACGCTTGTCTCTTCGAGGAGGTCAAATGATTGCAAACACTCTCATCCTGTCCCAACTATGGTTCTGTCTGCGGCTTTTCCACCCGACACAAGCATTTTTAGACCAGATACGGCGGTTGATATACAAGTTTGTCTGGCAAGAGAAATATCCCAAGGTATCTTTCAATCAATTATGTCTTCCCCGCCTACAGGGTGGCATTGGTCTTCTAAATCCTGCGCGCCAACACTTAATACTCCAAATGAAATGGCTTTTTGCTCTTCTTGATCGAAACCAAGGTAATACGCTGCTGAAGAGTGCTTTAAGCCATCATCTACTGTTTATGTCTACCAGCTCCTCCTTTCCTACTCTGCCTTTTTTTTTCCCCGGTCTTGCGAAAACATGATATCTGCCATCAGTTCTCTATCATTCCTGTCATATTTCAAGCATTTGACCATTTTGGGATTAACTTTAACCTACAGCGAGTACCTATCCAAACATTGCTGCATTTTCTTTTAACTAGGATGTTCTCTGACCTGCCCTCTGGCCATTGGCTCTATCGACATACAGAATTGCCTGCAATGATCTTCTTCAAGTTTGATGAAAACACGCACTGGCTACGTTTACAAGTACGCACAGAGTATTCCAAGTTTCCCCTCTTATGCCGTTCGCTGTACAACGATATACTGATTCGACATTGCGTGCAGTTACAAACCTTTATGATTCCTTATATCTATAATGAAGTGGAGCAAGTAAATGTTGAAGGAAACGATCAATCATTAGTGAGCCAATTGCATGACTCTCCTCTCTGGTTGGATCAGACCTACATTGGGCCATTTCAAAAAATTTTGTCTTTTTCATCTTCACGAGCTCTCGTGATCCTCCATGGTCAAAAAAATAAAAATAAAAAAACGGACCGGTTTGATAGTCAGGTTGTCGAGTAATGGAACATCAAAGATTGGCATGTTTAAGCCCTGTTTTGCTTTTGCCAAACATTTGCACACCATCTTGGCATGATTTGTACCATTATTTATAAATAGCTGGTTGCCTATCTGCTGCATTTATGTCTTTCATTACTACACTTCTTTGTTATCTCTTTGTTTTTATGCATCTAGAGTCCATGAAAGGCACCACACCTATACAAGCAGCCTTTATCGGAGAGTGAAAGTCGAAGTATTTCAAATTTCGTGTAGCCATCCAAAAATAAGCATTTGTTGAAAATGACTAAAAACGCAGTTGTTTCATCTTGAGGTCTTAACAAAAGTTGTAGTTCTTTGTTTTTCAACTTTATTGATGCAAAGAATACAGCAACTCTACTAGCAAAACATAAAGACACACTACAAAATACTTTTTAGGGGTTCTCAAACCTATCTCATCTTTCTCCTGACATGATGCGCACATAAAAGCAACCAACAAAAACTAGAGCTTTTGGCGCATATTTTAAGCATTGAATCATGACAATAGCTTTAGCCGTTGTGTCATAAAGCTCAAAAGAAGCCAGAATAGCGGAGTATGAAAAGCAGGTCCTGGATAATACCCTTCAAAAATTTTGACCTTTTGACCATTTTGAACATATTGATTTTTAGTGTCGCAAATGACACCAATAGTGTACTGTAGCCTAATAGAAATTATACAGATGTATTTTGGGTATTAAAGCCACTAGAAACTGTAGTTTCCTTGTGATATGAAGCCAGTGAAAAGCATGGCTTCGATTTCCACCTTAGCAAGAGTGATACAAGAAAAGACCTGCAGCTGTGTTGTATAGAATCCATCTTTTACCAATATGGGCTTAGAACTCCTTTCTCTTTTCTGAACTAGACCATATGCACAAGAAATAATATGCAACTCAAAGAAAAAACGGGCTGGATTTTTTGTATCATGCTCAAAACTTCTAGTCTACAGTCAAGAATATTTGAAGATATCAGAAAAGGTCATAAAACGGTCGTTTGGTGTCTTTATATGTTACAGATGTTCATAAAAAGATGTAGACTTAAGAAGTTATTCAACAACACATTTTATCTTTTTACTCCTTGATATACAAAAGGGGATTTTCTGCCAAGCTTCTTTGAATCAGTCTAAGCGGGTAATATATAATGACAGCATCACATATTTCTGTTTTAAAATGTTTAAACATGAGTTCTTTAGTCTAGTTCCAGTCGTCAATGACCTTTGTGTGACTAGATCAGTTCTGCTCAAATGAATCAAACACGATAATTATAATAGTGACACAAAGATCATCACTATTGATGTGCAAAGAAGATCGTCTAGAAAAAAGCATGTATATTTACTAAAATTAGGTATGCAAAACAATGTTTTTTTTTCTCATTTGTAAAGATACCATAGATAACAAGTGTTTATTTTGAGAATACAGTGACAAACTCCTTCTATTGTCATTGTTATACACGTCTGTAGCAAATCCGAAACTCAATATAAAACTACTTACAAGCCCAAAGAGATCTTTTTGCTAATTGTAAAGAAGAAAACTTGATTTGGTCATAATATCCTAAATTAGGATATTTTAATTAGTCTGTGCGAAAATCTTTACCCGAATAACGGAGTTCTTTGTGAGTAAAGGGCTTTTATTGTTAAGAATACAAGCCATTGGAGAGCACAAATCTCTTTGTTGAGGCCATTACACAACTGTTATATTGATTTGTTCTATATAGTGTGATTAAAAGCTAAAAGAGATGAATAGCATGTTGACTGGACTTTACAAGAGGATCGCTCACCCAGATAGATAATAAGAGCAAAGAAATTCGTTTTACATTGTTTATCTATTTATAGAATGACGGTATTACTTATTTTTATGAAGGAAATAAAACGTCTGTATCTCTTTTATCGACAAGTAAATGAGTCTGGGAATGTTCTGAAAAAATAGGCTTGAAGGCATCCTCTTTGGCTGTTTTTTTCTCTTTTGATTGTATTCAATATCCTACTTTTAGTGTTCAAGAAATTAGTCTAATTTGTATAAATTATCATCAAATATATACAAAAAACATGATTTTTATTTCCTGTTTTTAATACACAATAAAAAACATAAATGATAGTCCTCTTATGTTTCATGTTTATTATATAAGAGATGTTTATCTCAAACCTTTTCAGAAAAAAAAGATAGACATCTTGCGCCCGGCTATAACAATTCATTTGGGTATGTCAAGCATGATTCAACAAAGTAATAAGGATCTAAAAACTCAAAAGTGCGGTACTGTGTAACATGTACTATTTTGTCAGAAAATGTTTCTATTTTATTATGTAACAGAATGGGCTTGGTCCTTGCAGAACTTTTTTTTTTCCTAGAAGGCTTAAAAAGCATTCACAAAGAAGTGCAAGTAAATGCTTACACTTTTTACGCTAGAAAGCCTTTACTGAATAATGTAGATATCCTATTGCGAGTTAATCTTATTAAAAGTCCATGGTCCGTTTCTTTTTTATTTTTATCTATAAAGTTATTTTCTATTTTTGTTTTTCGCCTAATTTGGTTATTTTACATCGGAGTGTGCTGTCGCCAAGAAGTGAATAAGTTTGACAAGTATAAATAAACCGGGAGAAAATTTTATTATAAATACCCTCAGTTTCCTGGTTATTTATTTTACAAACATAGAAAAATGCAACTCAAAACATTCACTGTATCTATTGCAATTGCTAAATTAGCTGCTCTTGTCTCTGCCGACGTTTCTGCTAGCAACTATTACAATTCCTTGACATCTCAGATCAACCCCAAGAACATCTCTATTCCATCCCTTACTCAAACCAGTAGTCATGATGTCACAGCCGAATGTACTTACTACGTTCCAGATACTTCCCTGATCACAATTAACAATACCGAATTCCCTACCATTTGGCAAAAGGCTACCACTAATGGTATGAACACCTCTGCTGAATTCACTTCCTTATACAACTCCATTGATTGGACCAAGGCTCCTAACATTTCTGTTCGTACTTTTACCTCTGCTGGTGGTCTTGATACTACTGGTTATAGTGCCTCTACTGATCCCGATTGTTGGTGGTCAGCCTCTACTTGTACTATCCCCAAACACGATGGTATCAATGCTGATATCTACAGGTGTGACGAACCTGAGACCTGGGGTTTGACTTACGATGATGGGCCCAACTGCTCTCACAACGCCTTCTATGATTACCTTCAAGAAAAGAGCTTGAAGGCCTCCATGTTCTACATTGGTTCTAATGTGCTTGACTGGCCCTACGGTGCTATGCGTGGTGTCAAGGATGGCCACCATATTGCTTCTCACACCTGGTCTCACCCTTACATGACCACCTTGACTAACAAGGAAGTTCTTGCTGAATTGTACTTTACTCAAAAGGCCATCAAGCTCGCTACTGGCTTGACTCCTCGTTACTGGCGTCCTCCTTATGGTGATGTTGATGACCGTGTTCGTTGGATTGCTTCTCAATTGGGTCTTACTGCTATTATCTGGAACTTGGATACTGATGATTGGGAAGCTGGTACTGGTACTACTACTGTCCAAGATGTCGAACAAACCTATCAAAACTTTGTCAATATGGGCACCAACGGTACATTTGCTAACAGCGGTAATATTGTCTTGACTCATGAAATCAACAATACTACTATGTCTATGGCTCTTGACTACTTGCCCAAGATTACTGCTGCTTACAAGCAAGTCATCGATGTTGCTACTTGTGCCAACATCTCTCACCCTTACTTTGAAGACTTTGAGTGGACCAATGTCTTGAACGGTACTAACAGCAGCTCTTCTGCCTCTTCTGCTGCTGCTAGCGGTAATGCTGTCAGTGGCGCTAGTTCTGTTGTTCCTAGCGTTGCCTTAGTTGGTGCCTTTGCACTTGCCTTGCTCTTCTAAGTTTTGCATCTTTATATATTCATATTTAATTGACAAATAGACCATTCATTATTCCAATAAAAATCTTGTATACAATCTCATTCAATTTCTTTTTTATTGTTCATGTCTTGGCTTTAATTTTAAATTTGATCACTATTCACAAAAGAGTTGTGCTTGGCAAGAGAGATCAATATGTGTACATTTGGATCAAAAAAGACATGATTACCAATTAATATCAAAAAACGAAGCCCGGAGTTTCCTCTTCAGGCATGCCAACACAGCCGAATTTTTTTTTGAACAACCGCAATCCTTACAAAAGTCTGGAAAGCTCCAGCAGACGATGAATCCTCCTCTTTTATTGTCTCTATAACAGCCATGGTAATATACACACACATCCATCCATCCATCCAACAGGTATACTAATCTGTCTATCTTCTTCTAGTCGCACAGGTATAGTCTGTCGTTTAGATTTAAAAAATCGATCCAGCTCGAGATACTTGACATGCTCAATGCAAGCATCGAGAATGGATCTTGAGTAATGATCCTTTACTAACCTTTTCTTTTTCTTTTTCTTTCTCCTTTGTGAACTAATAGAAAGTATGAGGGTAAGTTTCTCTTGCATAATCATATGAACATTAAACTAAATGGATCCCCATAGCTCCCCGTCACGGTCACTTGGGTTTCGGCCCTCGTAAGAGAACCAGATCTCACCGTGGTCGCGTTAAGGCTTTCCCTAAGGATGACTCCAAGAAGCCTGTCCACTTGACCGCCTTCATGGGTTACAAGGCTGGTATGACCCACATTGTCCGTGATCTCGAACGTCCTGGTTCCAAGATGCACAAGAAGGAAATCGTTGAAGCCGTCACTGTCATCGAAGCTCCCGCTATGGTTGTTGTCGGTGTTGTTGGTTACGTCGAAACTCCTCGTGGTCTCCGTACCCTCACTACTGTCTGGGCTGAACACCTTTCTGAAGAAGCCAAGCGTCGTTTCTACAAGAACTGGTACCGTTCCAAGAAGAAGGCCTTCACCAAGTATGCTCAAAAGTATGCTGAAGGTGCCAAGGACATCACCCGTGAACTTGAACGTATCAAGAAGTACTGTTCCGTTGTTCGTGTCATTGCTCACACTCAAATCTCCAAGGCTAAGTTGAACCAACGTAAGGCTCACTTGATGGAAATCCAATTGAACGGTGGTTCCATTGCTGACAAGGTTGACTTTGCTCGTGAACACTTTGAAAAGGAAGTCACTGTTGGCTCTGTCTTTGAACAAGATGAAATGATCGATATCATCGCTACCACCAAGGGTCACGGTTTCGAAGGTGTCACTCACCGTTGGGGTACCAAGAAGCTTCCTCGTAAGACTCACCGTGGTCTCCGTAAGGTTGCCTGTATTGGTGCCTGGCACCCTAGCAGAGTCATGTACTCTGTTGCTCGTGCTGGTCAACGTGGTTACCACCGTCGTACTGAAATCAACAAGAAGATTTACCGTATTGCCAAGGGTACTGATGCCAAGTCTGGTACTACTGAATACGATTTGACTGAAAAGTCCATTACTCCTATGGGTGGTTTCCCTCACTATGGTGAAGTCAACGAAGACTTCGTTATGATCAAGGGTTGTTGTGCTGGTTCCAAGAAGCGTGTCATCACTCTTCGTAAGTCCCTCACTGTCCACACCAAGCGTTCTGCTTTGGAAAAGGTCACTCTCAAGTTCATCGATACCTCTTCCAAGTTCGGTCACGGTCGTTTCCAAACCCCTGCCGAAAAGCACCAATTCATGGGTACTCTCAAGAAGGATATCTAAGTTTAATAAAACAAAAAGCTTTCGTGTTTCATCCAAGTTTATTTATGCGTGTATATATATGTGTGTGTGTGTATTTTTTCAAGTTTAGATCAGTGAAAATCATGCATATAAAAAAAAGTCAGACTATTTTTCTCTCTTTTTTTTCTCTTTATCAAAATAATAATCTTTGTCTTGTTAGAATCGTTTATAGACTTAGATAATGGCACAAAGTGATAAAAGCAAACAAAATAGATGGCAAATCACTCCACTTTCTCCACCACTTGGGGAAAAGGATCAACATATTGTTCCATTTGGACCTTCCCAGTTGCCAAGTTCTTTTCAGCCCTCCTCTATCTGGAGTCAGCCAGCTCCTTGGTATCCAGAGATACCTCAAAGAAGTCGTTCTTCTTCTATGATTCCTTTGCTTCCTCCTATGTCTGCTTCGTTTTTGGACCATAATACACCTGAAGACTATTTTAGTCATCATCCTGTGTCTGTTAATAAATCACCATTTCCATCTCCACTGTTCCCCCTTTCCTCTTCAACAAAGAACAATTCTATTTGGTCTTTTGATTATTCTTCTGTCGTACACAACCGAGATGAAGAACAAAGACGCCATTCTATTGCAGTCACACAACATATTAGGCCTCCCACCCCACCATTACAACAAAATCAACAGCAGCAAATAGACGAATACTTTAGTCCTACCACAGCCTGTATGGATGTTCAATATTTAGGCAAAGGAATACCCTTAAACGATCTTCCAGAAGACCAAACTGTATACCAAGTTGAATTTAAAGCAAAATACCGCTCCGATTATGCCTATGTCCAACAAGATGCTAACCTGTCTTTTTGTCTAAATGATATGGTGATTGTTGAAGCAGACAGAGGTTATGATTTGGGAAAAGTAATTGGTTTGCTGGATAAACATTCAACTCCTGTGGACCAAATCAAGCGTATATTTCGTCATGCTAATTCGGCTGAATTAACCACTTATGAGCAAAAAGAGCAAGATGAGCAAAAGGCACTGGCTACTTGCCAATCAAAAATCAAGCAGAAGAATCTAAACATGGAAGTGGTTGATGCTGAATATCAATGGTAAATAGTTGCTACTCTTTATACATTTGCTTACTTTATATATAGGGATAGACGAAAATTGACTTTTTACTTTAAAGCAACCGAAAGAATTGATTTTCGTGAGTTAGTTAGAGAATTGTTCAAGATATACAAGACACGTATCTGGATGTGTGCTTACACTGATAAATCCAGTGAAAATATTATGTAATAAAGAGTGTATTTGAAAAACCGCACTATTTTCTTTCTTTTTGTTTCTTTTTTATGTCAAAACACGAACAAGATAAAGAACGCTTAAAAGAGTGTCTAACAAAAGCACACCAGCTTGTTGGAGAAAAAGTTGAAATAAAACAAGAAGGTTTATAATCGTCTTATGAGTAAACTTGTTAACTTACAATCTACAAAAGGATCGATCGAAGAAACACTTTTAGATCGACTAGAAAAACTACAACTTACAGTAGACAAAGATCCGAGAAAAGCATTTGTAGATCAATGTCTTCAGGTCTTGTTAGATACTCAACGTACCTTATTAGACGTTTGTGTCTCGGGAGGTAGTGCTTTTTTTTTTTTTTTGCTTTTTTTCTTTTTTTTTTTTGCATAAAATTATAACACTCTGTTTAGAGAATCAAAGTGATCGAGATTATTTGGGTGTACGTGATTTTCGATTGATTCATACATTGCTTCAAGTAATTATTTCTTGGGGATTCTATCCTTGCTTCTTACCCGGTGTGGGTGTTCCTTTGTCGAAGCGAGTAAAATCTGGTTATACAAATCATGGTTTGTTTCTAAAGACTAGAGAGAAAAGAAAAAGCTAATACTTGTTAGAATTGCTTTCTAAAACTGAAAGTGATCAAGATAAAAACGATCAAGTGTCAACAAATACCTTGTATTCTCTCCTCGACTTAGTGACGCCCTTGGTAGACTTAATCGCTCATAGTGAAAAAATACCAAGCAGCCAAACATATACAACAGTGGCTTCTATTTTGATGAACAGGCATTTACCTGATCTATATGCAGCTTTGTTAGAATTAGCCTATGTGCCTGCTTCAGCGCTTCAACAAGAGCCAGAACAAATCACACAAGCTCATTCATCTACACCTCTGACACCTGGAAGCATGTTTACGAGTGTTAAAAAGCAACAAATTGGCCTGAAAAGAGAAGAGCGAGACAAATGCGCTCGTATGTTTGTTTGGCTCTTTGATCGTTCCGACTTGGCTCGAGCTATGGAGTCTTTAATGTCACTTTTAGGCACTTCGCCTCTGCATCCTGTACCCAATTGGCTACGTACCATTTGTGGACGGTTCTTGTCCCGCATCTTGCTGAAGCCAAATGGTGTGTCAATTGTGTTGGAATTCACAATAGGTCATGTTGAGCAACGTATGCGTTTACTATCGATGATCATGTCTTGGCTAATACCTTTACTTTTTTTTTACAGTACAATTAGCACAATTAGAAAGTATATCTAAACTAATATTGTCCGTACCTCAACAGATGACATCGATTGAAAGCTATTATGCTATCATCACCCCTCAATTACTTGAACTGCTTGAAAAAGAGCCCTTGAATTCACCTACTTGTCAGGCTGTTACGTTTATCATTGGTCGTATTATTGCAAAGCATGCGAGTCTAGCAAAAACATATATTGTAGATAAAATTGTTGGCCCTTTGCTCACGGCTTGGAACAAAGATGCGTACTCTGATGACAGTATTGCACTTGATGAAGAACAACTGTCTATCTTGTTATACACACTTCATCGTGTCATGATTGGTGGAGAGCCTTCACCCGATGTTATTCAAACCTTTTTGTCTTCTTCTGTAGCCTGCTTGTATCATCTGTATGAATTTACGGTACAATCAAAATCTGGTCTAAAAGAAACAGTGTTGGACTTGATGTCCACTTATTTCCGTATCACAACCACATCAGATGCCATTCGTGAACTCAAGCATATTTTACTTGATCCTTTTGATCTCAGTGGTGCTCGAGTAGCCTATTTTGCACCCGGTCCTACGGGTGGTGTCGTGTTGCGATTAAGAAAGTAAGTGGTAGTCGATAACCTATCAACTGCTCAAATGTCAATTAGAATCCCCAAACCATTAGCTGGTAATGAACTTCCCGTGAATACAAGTGTGCTTGTTGATTTCTTACAAAAAAGTGATGATGCCGATCTATGTGGTGATTTCTTTGTCTTCTTGCTGAATGAATATTCTTCCATACAGGCTAGAAAACCAGATCCAAAAGTGTAAGTACGTTTGTTGTCTACAGTAATTAATAGGCTAGTGTCTTGTTAATTCTACATCTCATTATGGGAATGTTGGACACATTGGGTCCTACTATTTTGGCCAAGCCAACCCAAATTCTTTCATTTGCAAACAATATTGTACAAGATCATGTGGACAGACTAACGACAGCTAAAAAAGAGACAGAGAACAAGAAATCCAAGTTTCCCGATATTACCAACATCGTAAGCCAAGAGGATATTGAAGCATTGGAAGATGCAGAGCAATTTTCAGCCGAGGATGAATTTGAGTCTTTGATTTTAGCCATCAATTTACTTCGAGCAGTAATGCATGGTAAGGTTACATTCATGCAACTCTATTTATGACTAAACTCACCTCTCTTCCCAAAGAAAACGAAGAGTTATCAGATCAAGCAGTTCAGCTACTACAAGCATCAATTGAACCCTTAAAGAAATTAGAAAGACATTCATTTGAGCCTGTACAAGAATCTGTACAAGAAGTTCTGCTGGCTATCACTTCTTATCTATCAGCACAAACAATGTCTAGCATGAATTCTTCAAGTGGCAATTCATTGGAAGAATCCAAAGAAAAATACAGACAGGCCATGAAATCACTTCAGGACGATTTGTTGCCTATTCGTGCACATGGCATGGGCATGTTGAAAGAAATGGCATTGGCCAAGGATCCACTTGTGTCTCAGGGTAAAGGTTTAGAACAGTTGCTCGATATTTTTATTCGGTTGGTCCAAGATGAAGACAGTTACATATACTTGAATGCCGTCAAGGGATTATCAGCCATGACAGATGCTTATGGCAATGATATCATTCGAAAACTAGGTGCCTTTTACAGTGACGACAAACAAAAACTGGATAATCGTCTCAGAGTAGGGGAAGCCTTGTTGCAAACAGTACAACGATGTGGAGATGCATTAGGAAAATATGGTAACTATATCAAGAAATTTTCTTTTTTCTAAATAACAAATTTAGTGCATACATTAATACCACCCCTGGAGACGGTTTTGGCCAAAAGACAAGAAGATAGTCATTTACGTGTGTCTGCACTATCCATCCTAAGTATGGCATGCCAAACATGCCCTGTTGCACTTTCTGCACAAATGAGTGAGCTGATTGACTGGGTTCTCAACATTTTGGAAATCGAAAAGACAGCAGAAGTTAGACGAGGTAAGTCACTCAAAAAGACCACATTATTTTGACGCATTGATAGCTGCTACTGTCTTGATTTTGTCTTTGTTTAGAGGTTTAGCCTCACACACCTTATATGAATATCCAGCTGAAAGCTTGAAAAGAACTTATCGTACTCTAAGGTACATTGAAGAAACAGATACTGATGAACTAGCTCGATACCAAGCAAGAGTGGCTTTGAGTGATCTAGATGCCATTATGCGTGACGAGTTATTCAAGCATCAGACTCCTAAAAATACTGTTAGATTCAAATAAAAGTTTATTCTGCTTTATAAGAAACAATTAGATCAAATTAAAAAGAAATTTCTTCTGTTCATGCCCCTCAGAGAATGCATGATATTTTAGAGGCAGAAAGAGCCAAACATAAAAAATAAAAACAGCTTGTCGGCTTTAAAAAGTGACCATCTTTATGTCAATATATTAATTTTGAGACAATAGTAGAGAACTTTTTTTTCTCCTATTGACACTACGAATAAGTCATTTTGTGTACCTTGATTCTGATATGTAATGGATTGTTAAAAAGAATGCGCATTGACAATCATAAAATTAAATCTCCTCAAAATGGCTTACAAATAAATTATGCGGTCACTTAAAGAGGGAGGGTTTACCTTTATTATTAATAAGATGAGTGATGCTTACACGAGAAAAACTAAGGAGTTATTTGCAGAGTTTGAAAACAGTAGGTATCATACGGAGCCGTATTAAAACAAATCCTCTTCAAAGAAATAATTGTGGAGGTATAAGTGAGAAACGAACTTAAGTAAGCAGCAATCGATGGTTCGATTTGATTCCCTTTTTTAAGGTCGTTGCTATGGAGCACAAGTACACTTATTAAGTAATAAAAAAAGGAGAATTCTGAACAATACAGTGACCTTAAAAACTGACTATTGTATGACAATACCATGTAATAGGTGCTGTTATAACTGTACAACATAAATCCGCCTTTTTTTATATCAGATGAGGAACATTTACCACGTTTTCAAGTGCACAATAAAGATTGAACATATTCAGCATTTGATCTTTCTGGAGTTTCGGTGTTTGGTTGCTAGGAAATCATTAGAAAGCAATACTGTTTCGACGAATGCTATTGATATGCGATTCTAGCGCAACTTGAAAAAAAATCATGTCCAAAAACAAAGGGTGTACAGATCAAGAATCCTATATAAATGGAACAATAAATCTCTTTTTCCCCTTAATTCATTCATCCTATTCTTATTTTCTATAAAATGCCTGTTGATTGGGTTTATGCTTCTGGTTCTACTTGGATATCTTTTGATACAGCAGCGCAAGTAGTCATTGAATCTTTATGGCAAAGAGGTGATTCTGCAACTTGGATTACATGTTCCAATTTTCCTGGCCCTGTGTACATTGATACACACGATATGGTAGTTCTATATGGATCTTATTCCTATACTATTGCAAGAAGATCCTATTAAGTTTAGAATCAAGTGAGAGAACATCAGTAACAAAACAATAAGAGCATCATCATACAAAGCGTCATTCCTTTCAAGACACCATTTTATGCCATTAATGTTATATGTTTGAAATTATGCAAGCAAATTTTGTCTTTCAATGCATTTTTTTTTTTTTATGTATATGCTGTCAATTTTTTTTATGGAAATTAAAATTCTTACATAATATTATGCTTAAATACTTTTTTTTTTCTCGTATTGCTGACTAAGTCTTTTACAGATATCACATTATAGAGACAGCATATTTGCAGTCAAGTAGAATAATCTTGAAAACAATTTGAAAAGCGGAGATACAACTCCATGACAGCAGACAAGAAAATGACAAATCCTTTAATAATCGCCCACCAAGCATTATAAATATGTTTAATTGAATATTGATGTTACACAATAAGAAAAAGAGAGAAATGCATGGCCAAAAAAGTAGACTCTTTTGCCCAAAGACATCATCGTATACCCACCTTTTCAAATGTGAATCTCTGTGCCTTTAGCTTGATAATTTTGTCCATCTGTTCGTTTTCCATAGTATTCTAATGAATCTCCATTTATGGATACTTATCAAAGGTGATGTAATTTATGATGTCATGAATTTAGTAAAGGTCTTTGTAGTTTCTAAAAATTTAGAAATAATCCCTTCGCCGTACCATAACGAATAAAAAGGATTCAGAGCCTAAGAACGATAACTTTGTGCCTGAATTTTTTATTTGGCTCTGCATAGAGTCTTCTATGGCATGAAATGATGTTCTCGAGAGCAAGTAGAATATGCATTTATAACAGTATATTTTAAGCAAATGTATACAATTCTTTCTCGGGTATCCTTAGTCAATCAATGCTACAAATATACTTGTTAAATCTATTAAGGCACTTTGAAACCATATCATTCTTAGTACTTGAAGTAGCTTTACATCCAAAGAACTAATTTCACTCATCCTGTTTAATTTGATTCATTTGGAAAAGATAAATTTAGATAATTATTGCACAATGAATAACTAAATATATCGCTTTGCGTACTAAAAAGAGAGAGAAAACTAGCTATTCAAAAGCTTAGGACTGTCTCCCTGACCCCTTTTCTTTTCGTATCACGCGTAGTAGTTTAAACTCAAAAGACGCGTTGTCGGTTTTTTGATTTCAGACGCGTTTCAATAGTTTTAATCACTCCATAGACAATACAATCACTAATCTCCATATAAAGCACTTGTGCACAAATATGTTTATGCATATACAATCCATTGCCCTCTGATAAACTGTGCTTTTTGTTGCACTTTCCTATAGCATTGTACATCAATTTTTTTAGGTCAACAGTCACGCGTTTTAATGAAAGGGAACTCGATCAAAGTTATTTTCCCCTTTCTTTCTCTCTCTTTTTTTCATATCTATCAACACTAAAAATGAGTTCAGGATCTGAAAGCGACTTCCAAGACGACTATGAAGACGACTATGAAGACGACTCTGGAGAAGAGTTTGTTCCTGTTACAAAAGTATAAGGAAACAATATAATATTATTCAAGTGTCTCATATTTTGTGCTTTAGAAACGTAAGGGAGCTGAAGGCAAAGAAGTAGCTGTACCCAAGAAGAAGACGACGACGACTGTCAAAGCACCTACTGCACGTAAAACCAAAGCAGCACCCAAAGATAGTGACGGCGACGACGACGACGAAGGCGGAAGACCTAAAAAGGCACCTGCTAAGAAAGCTGCCCCCAAGAAAGCTGCTCCACCCAAAAAGAAGGCAAAGGATGGTAGTCTTGATAGCTTTCTTAATCAAACTACAGACAAGTCTGAAGATGTTGATAAGGACGCAGAGATGGAAGAAGCTCCTGCACCTAAACCTCAAAAGAACATCAAATACGACGAAAACAAGACAATTGAAGAAATTTATCAAAAGAAGACTCAACTTGAACATATTTTGCTTCGTCCCGATACTTATATTGGTACTACTGAGGCTGAAGAACAAGAAATGTGGGTATTTGATACTGAAGAAGATATGATCAAGAGAAAGAAGATCAAATATGTTCCTGGTCTTTATAAAATTGTGGATGAAATTCTTGTTAATGCAGCTGACAACAAGGTAAAAGCTAATCTATAAAATAGTAGGAATTGACATAGTTTTTGTTAGATTCGTGACCCTGAAATGAACACTCTTAAAGTTGTTATTGATCGTGAACAAAACTTGATTTCGATCCATAACAATGGCCGTGGTATTCCAATTACCGAGCACAAGGATGAAAAGGTCTATGTGCCTGAATTGATTTTTGGTCATCTTTTGACATCCTCTAACTATGATGATAATCAAAAGAAAGTAACTGGTGGACGTAACGGTTATGGTGCCAAACTCTGTAACATCTTTAGTACTGAGTTCATTGTCGAGACTGCCGATAAAGAGCGTGAAAGTAAATACAAGCAAATCTTTAAGAACAACATGTCTGTGATTGGGAAGCCTAAAATTACTGCTAATTCTAAAAAAGAAGAATATACACGTATCACTTTCAAGCCTGACCTTTCTAAATTCAACATGACAGAAATGGACGCTGATTTTGAAGCATTGATCAAGAAGCGTGTTTATGACTTAGCAGGTTGTTTAGAAGGTGTCAATGTGTTCCTGAATGGTACCAAGATTCCTGTCAAAGGATTCAACAAGTATTGTGATTTGTATACCAAATCAATGGAAATTCGTAATGCTGAAGGCAAGAAACCTATTATCTCTGATACAAATGACAACCCTCGTTGGCAAGTTAACTTTGCTGTCAGTGATGGCCAGTTTAACCAGGTAAAGTAAGGTAGTCGTGCTGTATCTCTTTGCTGACATTATTTCGATAGATCAGTTTTGTCAACAGTATCTGTACAGCAAAGGGTGGTACTCATGTTAACTATGTTGCAGATCAAATTGTGAAGGCCATTATGCCTGAGGTTCAGAAAAAGGCCTCCAACAAGAACATCAAGCCCTTCCAGATCAAGAACCATATGTGCCTCTTCGTCAACTGTTTAATTGAAAACCCATCTTTTGATTCGCAAACCAAGGAGAACATGACTTTGCGCGTCAGCCACTTTGGCTCTACTTACAAACTGGGTGACAAATTCCTTAAAGAAATCCTTAAGTCTGGCATTATTGATAACATTGTCAAATGGGTCAAGTTCAAAGAAGATATGCAAATGACCAAGGCAGACACAGGTAAAATGGTTCGTAATCTCAAGATTCCTAAACTTGAAGATGCCAATTTGGCTGGTATTAAGCCTCATAACAAGAGTTGTACCTTGATTTTGACTGAAGGTGATTCAGCCAAAGCACTTGTCCTTAGTGGTCTCTCTGTCGTAGGTCGTGATAAGTTTGGTGTGTTCCCTCTCCGTGGTAAGGTATTGAACGTGCGTGATGCTACCAATACCCAAATCATGAACAACGCAGAAATTACCAATATCAAGGCCATTCTTGGTTTAAAGCACGGCAAGACTTATACTAGTGTGGATGAACTACGTTATGGTCGACTAATGTTGATGACTGATCAAGATCATGATGGTTCTCATATCAAGGGTCTTTTGATCAACTTTATTGATAGTATGTTTCCCTCTCTGTTGGATATTCCTGGTTTCTTGTTGGAATTCATTACACCCATTATCCGTTGTAAGCACAAGCGCACTAAACAAGAAATCAGTTTCTACACTATCCCTGAATACGAAACTTGGGCCGAACAAAACAATCGCAACAAAGAATGGGAACCTAAATACTTTAAGGGTTTAGGTACTTCTGATAAAGCAGATGCTCGTAGATATTTTAGCTCTCTTGATGTCCACAGAAAGGAATTCGAAGTTGTTTCTAAAGAAGAACGTGAGCTTGTCGACATGGCTTTTAATAAGAAGAGAGCTATTGATCGTAAGAACTGGCTTGCTGGCTATGAACCAGGTATCTTTATTGACCATAACGTGAATAAGATCAAGATCAGTGATTTCGTAAACCGTGAGTTGATGTTGTTTAGTATGGCTGATAACATTCGTTCTATCCCCTCTGTCGTGGATGGTTTTAAGCCTGGTCAACGTAAAGTATTCTATGGTTCTGTCAAGCGAGGAAAGAACTCTGAAATCAAGGTAGCTCAATTGGCTAATTATGTTGCTGGTGTGACTCAATACCACCATGGTGAAGCTAGTATTTCTTCTATTGTGATCAACATGGCTCAAGACTTTGTTGGTAGTAATAACATCAACTTGCTAGTTCCTTCAGGTCAATTCGGTACTCGTCATGAAGGTGGTAAATCGGCTGCTAGTCCTCGTTACCTTTTCACTCGTTTGACCAAGATCGCTCGTAAAATTTATCATCCAGATGATGATGAGCTTTTAGACTATTTGATTGAAGAAAGTAAGCCTATTGAACCCAAATGGTATCTTCCTATTCTTCCTATGGTTCTTGTCAATGGTGCTGATGGTATTGGTACTGGTTGGAGTACTAACATTCCCAACTACAATCCTAAAGACATTGCTGAAAACCTTTTGCGCTTGATGAAAGATGAAGAAATTGTGCCCATGAAGCCTTGGTTCAGAGGATTCAAGGGTGAGATTATCTCAGCTGGTCCGGGCAAATTCACTTGTAATGGTATTGCAGAAGTGACTAGTGAAGGACATATCAAGGTTTCTGAATTGCCTGTTCGTCTATGGACTGAATCTTTCAAGGATAATTTGGATGTGATGCGTGATCCCAAGGACAAGAAGCCAGATATCAATATTCTTGTAAGTCTCTTTAAACTATTAGACCTTTCTCATCATGTTGTATAGGATTACACCAACAACTCTACTGATATGTCTGTTGAATTCACTATTGAAGTCGATGAAAACAACTTGAAGAAGGCTGAAGATATGAGTTTACTGAAGGCTTTCAAGATTACCAACTCTGTGAATACAACCAACATTGTATGCTTCGATCAATACGGCAAAATCAAAAAATATGAATCAGCTGAAGATATTTTGAAGGAATTTTATGCTCTACGTTTAGAATACTACATAAAGAGAAAGGTAAATATAAATTATGCCCTGATAAAATACTGATTTTTGTTTAGGAATACTTGATCAGTGTTCTTCAAGATGAGTATGAACGTCTTGACAATAAGGCTAAATTCATTCAACTCGTTATCGACAAGAAGCTTCAATATGTGAATCGAAAGGAAGAAGATGTTATTAGCGATATGGAAAAGCATGGTTTGAAGAAGATTTATCCTCGCAAGAAGAATGTGTTGATTGTGGATGATGAAGCTCCTCAGGAAGAAGCAGAAGGAACTGGATATGAATACCTCTTTAGTATCAATGTTCGTGGTTTTACAGCTCAAAAGGTTGCTGAGTTACTGTCTCAAAAGGAGAAGAAGTATGAGCAACTTCAAGATGTTCAAGGCACACCTCCCAAGACATTCTGGCGTCGTGACCTTGAGGCTCTTTTGGAAGAGTGGGAAAATCTCTTAAAGGAAGACGAGGAACTTGCTCTGTCAGCTAAACCTCTTGCTTCAAGTAATAAGAAGAGAAAGAGAGTTAGCAAGCCCAAAGTCAAAGCTGAAGCTCGATCTGAAGAAAAAGTAGACCTTTAATTTTATGTTAAAGTACCCCCCCCCTCCCAATAATAAACTTGATGTTTGCATGAATAGAATTCTATTTTTTCCCTTGGCCAAGTTAGACTGGTTAAAATGAATTAACGATCCGATCAAACAGGTGTCCAATGAATGATGGAATTACTGGATTTGCCTTTTTTAATTTCGGAAAAACAATCTTGTATTCCTTGTACCTTTAGATCATAAAACAAAAAGGCAAATGATTTGAAAATAGAATGACAAATAGCGTAGTGCAATTCCTTCTTCTTGGGTTTTGAATCAACAAGGAATCATTACTCGTTTTGGCAGGATAACGATGCAAACCATAAAAACGAATCGGAGATGCGTACACAACGTCGCTTGAGATTGGTTACGAGTCAGGAAATAGAAAAAAATAAAAAGTCTCCCCTTTTTTTTGTTTTCTTTCTTTTTACTTTATTCACAGCATGTCCTTCACTTCTAAATTTACTGAACGATTCGATATTGATACTTCAGATGAATTCTTTAGAGAATCGTCTGGTTCTCCTGTTCGAGCCAAATCTCTGGTTTATTCCTCTACAGACTTGAATACATCGAATGACTCTAATTTAAGCACAAGACCATTATCAATGCCTTCCCTTGCCACAAGCAAGCCCATTCCCATCCCTAGCAAGAAGTCAAGATATGTTCTTGATGATGCTGATATCAGCCTTTCTCCCTCTGAAAAAGTCCATGATTCGTTGTCCAATATCTTCAAGCAGTTTGTCAGCACTATATCAAGGAAAAGAAACTCTTCTGTGACATCATCTATCAGCAGAGCAGTGTCAACAGAGTATTAATAGAGCATATTACTGTATTTGTATTATATTGTATCATAACATCAATGTTTATATTTTGTATACCACATGGAATAAATTACACAAATTAATAATAATGATATGTATTATTTGATTTATTTTAAATGTCTACAGTATTTTTAATAGAATAATCTACAAGGAGAAGGGAGAAAGTATGTATGGAGAGGGATATTTAAATATGAAACTTATTGAGGGTTGGCACCGTTGTTGTTGGTGTTGTTGTTATCGGAAGCGCCTTCGTTTTGTTGAGCACGGTTCTTGTAAACCATTTCAAAGAGCTTCAAAGAGCTAGATTGAAGGTCATCAATCTTGGCCTTGAGTTCTTCGGGGTTAACACCAGCATCACCGGATTGAGCCTTCAAGGCTTCACCACGGAGAGCAGTGATCTTTTCCTTAAGCTTTTCAGCTTCAGCCTTATCAAGTTGTTCCTTGAAATCATCCATGGCCTTTTCAGTTTCAGACATAACAGAGTCAGCACGGTTGGCCATTTCAATAGTTTCACGGCGAGCACGATCAGCTTCAGCGTTGGCTTCGGCTTGTTGAATCATGTTTTCAATTTCATCATTGCTCAAACCAGAAGAAGCAGCAATAGTCACTAATAAAAGGTCAATATATCATTCGATCACACACTTTCCTTTTTAAATCACTTACTGGATTGATCACGGTTAGTGGCCTTATCCTTGGCACTGACGTTGACAATACCATCGGCATCAATATCGAATTCGACTTGAATTTGAGGAACACCCTTAGGAGCAGGAGGAATACCAGTCAAGTTGAAGTCACCCAAAAGCTTGTTGTCACGGCAGAGTTCACGTTCACCTTGGAAGACACGAACGGAAACTTGAGTTTGACCATCAGCAGCAGTGGAGAAGACTTGAGACTTCTTGGTAGGAATAGTGGTGTTACGGTTAATCAAACGAGTGAAGACACCACCAAGGGTTTCAATACCCAAGGAAAGAGGAGTGACATCGAGCAACAAGATGTCAGTAACACTGCCGGCCAAGACACCACCTTGAATGGCAGCACCAATAGCAACAGCTTCATCGGGGTTAACAGACTTGGAGGGTTCTCTACCAAAGACGTTCTTGACAGTTTCAACAACCTTGGGCATACGAGACATACCACCGACTAAGATGACATCATTGACATCCTTGTTAGCAATACCAGCATCCTTCATGGCCTTTTCACAAGGAGAAACAGTACGTTGAATGAGGTCACCAACAAGACCTTCGTACTTGGCACGGGTCAACTTGGAGTTGATGTGCTTGGGACCAGTAGCATCAGCAGTGATGTAAGGCAAGTTGATGTCAGTGGAGACAGTAGAGGACAATTCGATCTTGGCCTTTTCACAAGCTTCACGAATACGTTGAATGGCCATACGGTCAGAAGAAAGATCAATACCAGATTCATCCTTGAATTCCTTGACAACGTAGCGAACGAGGTGAGAGTCGAAATCTTCACCACCGAGAGCGGTATCACCGTTAGTAGACTTGACTTCAAAGACACCGTTTTGGATTTCAAGGATGGAGATATCGAAGGTACCACCACCCAAATCGTAAACAGCGATGGTGGAGTCGCCAGACTTGTCGAGACCATAAGCCAAAGCAGCGGCAGTAGGTTCGTTGATGACACGCATAACTTCAAGACCAGCAATCTTACCAGCATCCTTGGTAGCTTGACGTTGAGCATCGTTGAAGTAAGCAGGGACAGTGATGACAGCATGCTTGACCTTCTTGCTGAGGTAACCTTCAGCAGTTTCCTTCATCTTACCCAAAACAAAAGCACCAATTTGAGAAGGAGAGTACTTCTTACCGTTGGCTTCAACCCAAGCATCGCCGTTGCTGTGAGGAACAATCTTGTAAGAAACAGCAGGAATATCAGCTTGAACAGCAGGATCCTTGAATTGACGACCGATCAAACGCTTAGTAGCATAGACGGTGTTTTGAGAGTTGACTACAGCCTAAACAATAAAGTTAGACAACATGGTTCTTTTACGTAGTCGCTTTTTTTTTTTTTTTTTTTTTTTTTTACCTGACGCTTAGCAGCTTGACCAACCAACAATTCACCATCCTTGGTGAAAGCAACAACGGAAGGAGTGGTACGAGTACCTTCAGCGTTTTCAATAACTCTGGGGTTCTTGCCTTCCATAATGGAGACACATGAGTTAGTAGTACCCAAATCAATACCAATGACAGGACCATTGACACCTGAGCTGTAAGCACGGGAAGCAGTGGAGAGAACACCAGTCTATTAAAATTGTTATCAGATTATTGCATACATGCAATGCACATTTAACTTACGTTACGTGTCAAAGTAGGATAGAGACGTTGATGGGCAACCTTTGCTAAGTTGTACATTTTGGAATAAAGAAAAAGTTGAGAAAGAAAAAAAAAGAAAAAAAGAATTAAGCGAGCCTTTATAATGCCAGGTACCTTACAAAAAAAATCTTTGCCGGGGTTGACTTTAGAAACGAGTCTAATTTTTCTTCCTCCCGATTCTTTTTTGAAATACGAAAAAAAAAAAGCGGATAATCTCTTTTGCTGCGAAACAATGATGTATTCTTTTTAGTATGAAATCTACTAGACTATTATGTAGTCATGTTAAATAAATCGAATATTATATACTGACAAACAAGAATAAAAAAGTTATTGTTACATGGTTGCATTAAGATAGTCTAGAAAAGGCAAGAAAAAAAATATTGCTAGCACATTCTACACACCCTAACGAACAGCGGACCTAAAAAACAAGTGAATCATTTCAAGTCAAACGGATCCTGATCGCAGTAATAGGAAAGACAAACTGAAGTTTCCATTTTTTTTTTGTTTTTATTAATCTTGAATTTAGATGTATTTTATTTCTTTCGTCTTTTTCTATTGTATAAACATTACGTTGTCCCAGTAAAAAGCATAGACCCTTACAATCGATAGAAATGTTATGCAAAATTAACCAGACTTTGCTGAGTTTACATCAAGAACAAAAATGATGAATTCTCTATATGCCAGTTACCTTTTTCTCAATCGATTAAGTCAAAGTTTATCTAGTACTGCAGTACAAGAGAAATGCATATTGATCAGCATTTTATAGAAAGACATGAAAAAAACAAGATTGTCCAGTCTTAACAGAGAAACATTATCTTTTTTGAAAAACATCTTTTGCTGGACAAGCTCAATCAATGGTAAGACAATCGAGTCTTTGTTAGAATAAAATGAACATTAAATTTTTCCCACGTTAGAGTCCCTGAGATTAATTGGTAAAGAAATTGTATTTCTGTGAAAAAAAAATGTACAATAATAAGAATAATATAAAACAAATAATTTAAAGGTCTGCAGCAGCAAGCAAATCAACAAAGCGGGTAACCATGTGTTGCATATCAGTGGATCTCTTAGCACTGGTTTCCAAGACTTCAGCATGGTTAGCAATTGTCTTTTCAGTATCGACTTCATGATCAACTTCATTAGACAATCCCATCTCTCTCAAAACTTCTAATTTGGCGTCTTTGCCTCTAGCAGTAATGACTGCGTTTGTAATCAAACTGATACCCAATACCTTAATACCTGCATGACGAGCAACGACTACTTCAGGAATGGTAGACATACCAACAACATCGGCACCAATCGAAGCCAAATAACGGGCTTCAACACGAGTCTCGAAACTAGGACCAGTCACCATACAGTATACACCTTCACGGATATCATTTTGATCAATACCGACTTCAAAGGCAGCCTTGAAAGCTAATTTACGAAGAGCATAGGTATAGGCATCAGACACGGCAGGAAAACGAGTACCGAAGCTTTCAAAGTTGGGACCCATTAACGCATTGTTACCTACCATACCAGGGAGAGAAAGATGATCGTTAATGATCATCAAATCACCCACCTTGTGTTGAGGTTGAAGACCACCACAAGCATTGGTCACCACAAGGTATTTGATACCCAAAAGTGCCATCACACGAACAGGCAAGGTGACTTGAAGCATAGAATAGCCTTCATAAAAGTGGAAGCGACCAACCATGAAGACAGTAGGTGTACGTGATTCACCCAAGTGACCAAAAACAAGCTTACCGACATGCCCAGCAACTAATATGCGTCTCAATAAATAACCAATAACGAACGGACCTTTACTTACCTGTACTGGAGACAAAGCCAGGAATATCTGAGTATGAGAATTCGACCTTTGTCCTTTCGTCCAAAGTGTCCACTAAACCACCTAGACCTGAACCGCAAATGACACCGAGATCAATATTTTGAAAGTCTTGTGGCAAGTTGGCACGAAGATAATTAGCACTAGACTTGTAGGTTGCTTCGGTAATAGTGGCCATAATATATAAAAAACAAAAACAGATTGAAGAAAAAAAAGAAAGAACTCAGGGAAAAATGGTTTTAAATAGGATTTAAACGACGGTGTTTTTCGGTACCTCAAACTCTTTTGTCACTTGCAACACCGTTGGTCTGATTTTCATTAGTCGTTTAAACAAAACTAGATAGAATTTCCCTTTTGATTTGGCCTGAGTGACCTAAGGAGCTGAGGAATATGCCTTTCATTTAGTGATTACAAGCAACATATATTCAGGAATTCAAGATCAGCATATCTTGAAGGAAAAAAATAGCGTCTATCTTTGAGCAAGTGATATCAAAAAAACCAATCGAATTCTTAGAGCGAAGTTCAACGCACTACAAATATCACGTGAATTTAACTTAGTGACACATTGCAGAAGAGAGAAAAATGCAATGTCTTTTATGGGCCTAATGAATATAATGGCATATTGTCTTGAGAATGAATTCATTTTTCTATGTGCGCATATTCACTTGATGCAGAGCCGCTATATCCAATTGTAAAATAGCATTGACTGATATTATGCATTGAAGAAATCTATGAGAACGCTACTTACACCAAAGAATAAGAATATGGTTTTCTCAACTTTACTTGCAATGTTGTTAATAGACCTGTTGTACTTTTTAAACGATGAGATGTATCGTAATAGGGTCTACAGTTCTTGTTAATACGCCTTTGTAGCCTTTCTTTATGTTTTATGTACTTTTGACCGTATTTATGGGTTCAAACACCGTAAACAAAACATTTTCGAAATTCCAAGATATTTTCTCACAAGTATTGTCTTTTTTTTTTTTGTTCTTGTGAAGAAATATGACACCAGAAGAACATACTGTTACGGCACTTGAATATATCGAAAAGCAAGAACAACTTGAAAAAGAAGCACAATCAACTTTACCAGGAAAATTCGAAAAATGTACCTTTTCCTTGGGTTATATTCGACAGCCCTTGTATGCGTGCAAGACGTGTTCAGTTGACACTGAGCAAGAGCCAGCAGGCATGTGCTACAGTTGCTCTATTGCTTGTCACTCAAGCCACGAGTTATTTGAACTGTTCCCAAAACGCAACTTTCGTTGCGATTGTGGTCTGCCCGGCAAGTTTAACGAACATGCCTGCGCACTCACTATTCCAGCTAAAAAAATCATCAGAGCAAACGATAAAAACACATACAATCATAATTTCCAGGGACGATATTGCAGGTAACGAAGTATTGCTCATACTGGTGATTGAATCTTACATTATCAGATGTGATCAACATTACGATCCTGAAAAAGAGGAAGCTGTCATGTATCAAGTAAGTACATTTCATGATGCGTTTTATTCATTCTTTTTTCAGTGTGTTGCTTGTGAAGATTGGTTTCATGAAAGGTGCATTGGCAATGTAAGAACTATGTTTAACTATGTTTTTTGACATAGATCAAAATAGATTCCCGAAGCAATTGAAGATTTTGAGTGCTATGTCTGTCGAGATTGTACAAAAAAGTACCCTTTTTTGATGCATGCATCTGATAAGCGATTTAGCTATGGATTATCAGAAGGACAAGAGAGTATTTATTTATGGGTTTTGCCATCTGATAAAATCAAAGACGACAAGAAAGTCGAAGCTGAAACCGACAAGATCAAAGACGATAAAGAAGTTGGAGTCGACAGCATCAAAAGCGATAAAAAAGTGGAAGTTGAGGATAACAATTCCAAAGAAGATAAAGAAATTGAAGTTGAGGATGAAAATATAGAAAATGCACTTATTGGTGAAAAAAGAAAGTTACAAGACAGTCAGGATCCTATCATTCCGAATACATTCAAGAAACAAAAGATAGATCAGTCAGAAGAATGTCAAAATGGTAAAGACTTTTCAATAGTTTGACAGTAACAAATCATAGTTGATTTGACATTATTGCCTCCCCATGATCATATTGAGTTATTCTTACAAGATAATTGGCGTCAAGGCTTATGTAAATGCCAAAAGGTATTTGTTTTTATCATTCTACTTGTTGACTAAAAATGCTATTAGTGTGCAGAAACATACAAGCAAAACAATGTTGAGTTCCTATTGGCAGAAGAAAAGACATATGAGCCTGAGGAAGACGAAGATGCTGGAAAATCACTATTGGAAGTAGGCATGGAACAACTTCAGCGTATTGATCGAGTCCAAGCATTAGAAAGTCTAATGGCATACAAGACATTAGCAGATGATATCAAGACGTACCTTGAATCTTTTAAAGACACGGGAAAAACTGTAACAAAGGAAGATATTGAGGCATTCTTTGCTGTAAGTAATGTGTATGGTTTGTTTAAATCATTGATTGTGCTGTAGAAGAAACGTCAGGAAAGAGAAGAACATTAGTACAATTCGGGGTAGAAAGTGTATTTTATGCACTGATTAAAATAACACATATTAAAGCGTTCTTTACCTTGTTATAGTTCTTTTATTACTATGGCTTCCTTGTATTTTGTGTCTTTTCACTCTTTTTTCCCCTGTCATTCAAAGAACAACAAAGGCTGGATATCCATCTCAATTTTTGGTTGCTAAGCAAAAGGTTCTCAAAAAAACACGGTTGTTAAATAAAGACGCGTCTCAATTAACAGACTGCTTTTTTCGTGACCGACATAAGCCTTTTTAAGATGGGAGTTCTATTAAAGTTTTTATCTCTCTCCCTCTCTCTCTCTTTTTTTTTTCTTTAGTCTATGCACTATGGAAGTCTTGCGATCTAATTTTGAAGAAAAGCTTCCTGTTATTGAACAAGCTATGCTTGAAGCAGACTTTATTGCGATTGACACTGAGTTCACTGGTAGCTTATTGGATCTATGACTGTCTTTGCTGATCGATCTCATAGGTCTTACTACGCCTGATATTCAGTTTCAAAATATAGATGATATCGAAACACGGTACTCGAAACTCAAGAGCTGTGTTCAAGAATTCACAATCATCCAATACGGTGTATGCGCATTTAAACGCAACCCAGAAACAGGCGACTTTATGGCAAAACCTTTCAATTTCTATATTTTCGGTGCAGATACCAACGAAGTATACAGTCGACGTATTTTCTCTGCAACACCCAGTAGTTTGTCATTTTTGCGATCGAACAAGTTTGATTTTAACAAATTGATTGAAGAAGGCATTCCATTCTATAATTTTACTGAAGAGAATTCCATGTTTCAATCCAATCAAGGCACAAGTGTGTTGAATAGACGCACTTTAATCAAAGGTAGCAAACGACATGAGTAATCATAAGACTAAAACTAGCCTTATAGAATCCACATTGACAAAGTCTGGCAAAAGCTTTTTAGAATACAATAGAAACTGCATAAAAAAGTGGTTACAAAGCAATACAGAGACACCCTTAGTGGTTCAGGTCAATAGTAACTTCTATAAGCGACTTATTTATCAAGAAGCGCAAGATGCTAAGTACAATGGATTTTTACAAGCAAGTCAAAGAGATAGTAAACATATTGAAATTACTCGCATCAAAGAAGAAGACAAACGAAAGAAGGCCGCTAATGTAAATAGCACTTGATATAAGCCCAAAGAACTAAAACTGTCCTATAGGCGCCCAAACTCAACTTTCGTGCAGTGATAGAATTGATCAAGAAGGCCAATTGTCCAGTAGTAGCACATAATGCAGCTTTTGATATTCTTCATACCGTGGACCAATTCTGGCAATATTTACCCAATCATATTGAAGAATTTAAGAAGGTTGCAAATGATATGTGGCCTAATATTGTAGATACCAAGTATTTAGCAGAATACCATCCTAGTTTGAGAGTGAGTAGACCTACCTATTGTTTGATACTCATCACTTCTAGTCATGCTTTAATACGTCTGTCTTGGGCTCATTGTATAATACTGTATATGAAGAATTAAAAGAAGCTGGACAGCAAGTTGGTAATTTATCAGAAGTGATGTATTCTCTTCTAACATTTTATAGTAATGGAACAAGGATTTGAAAGATATGTTGGCGCAGAGAATGAAGTAGCACATGAAGCAGGTTATGATGCTTATATGACTGGTGTTATTTACCTTGCATTTATGGCATTTATTCGTGAAAAAAGAGGTAATTAAGTACTATAAAACATAAAGATATTCAATATTTAATATAGAAGAAGACGAAAACAAAGCAGAAAAGAGAAAAAGAGATTCTTTTGAAGAAGTAGCTAAGGTAAATACACACAAGAAGTTTAAAGAAGATGATGATGAGGAAGAAAATAAAAAGGAAGAAGAGGATGAAGAAGAGGGTGAAGAAGAGGATGAAGAAGAGGATGAAGAAGAAGAGTCTTCAGAAGAAGGAGAGCAAAGTGCTTCAGACTCTGATGAATCTGATGTTGAAGTTTTGGCCAAGAAGAAATCAAGCCTGTTTATGGATAAATCAGTTACACCTTATTATGGTCGAATCTTTTTAATGCGTAGTGATGTTCCATACATTAACTTAAAAGGAGAAGAAACAATTGAAGTCCTTTCCTATCCAAACAAATTCTATCTTCACAATATCCCTCCTGGTCTTACTAACAGTGCTATTGAACGACTTTACCCTACTATTCAGCCTACTGCTATTTCCTGGGTGAATGACAGCAATGCCTGGCTTATTCTTAAAGACGAATCAAAGATTCCGTTTGTCAAACTAGGCATATTAGGTCTTTCTGTCGTACAAAGCTTTTTACCTGGATGTTCTCGTCAAGTAGAAGGTGAAGCATATGGGATCACAAAACAAGCTGGACAGATGGAATTACTTTCTCACGAACAATGGCAGGCATTGTATGGGCCCAAAAAGACAGTTAATTACAATAACACGGCATCTGTCTTATTAGCTAATGGATTGTCAGCCAAAACTAATGATGACAATGCAGTGCCAAAAGGCGGATCAAGTTATGATGGTAAGCTATCCCTCTATTTAAACACATTTATTTACTCTTTTTCTTTTTAACAAGATTTAGACATTCCATTGCCTCCTAGTTTCACTGCTTCATTAAAGAGAAATAGAGAAGATGGTGATGATGACATAAATCAACCTCAGACAAAGAACGCAAAGAAAGCTTGTTGATGTCATTTTTCAATAAATATGTAAAAATAACGTAATGTCAATGAGACGCGCTGCATTAAAAAGTGCATTCTGGGTTTCATTTCACTAAATCATATTTACGTCAATCATCTTTAAAATGTTATATATAGGACGTGTTTTAAAGACTTTATCATTAAACTCAATTAAATTCAAAATGTCCAACACTCCCATTACCAAGAAAGACGCTTCCAATATCCAATCCATGGCTGCCCATGAAGGTCAAGATACTGGCAAGGGTTCCACCGCTGCTGCTGCTCAAAGTTTTGGCGATAAGAACTTCGAAGCTGCCAAGGAAGCTACTAGCAAAGGCTTTAGTACCCAATCTAATTACGATGAAGATACTACCAAGCCAGATACTCCTATGAAGAACTAAGAATCTTAAAAAGCAATCATTTGCGTGTAGATATTAAAACAATAAACTTGTGTATATTCATTATGTTTTAACAAACACATCTAAAATCATGTTTGACAAGTGTTCATCACTAATACAGATGTTGAGTTTTTGTTTTTCTAAAAAAAAAAAAAGGCGCGTTTCCTTTCAAATATTACAGATCACTATTGAGAAAAATACACAGAAAACATAAAAAAAAAGGCTAAACGATAAAAGGTTCAGTAGCAGCTTTTATTTATATTCTATCAATATAAGGTTATGAAGAAAACAGAATTCAGAATATCTTTACCAAGTTATTAGACATGTTGTTGCTTTCTTTTTATTTGAATTGTACAATGCTCATGTACTTTATTTTTACTTTTAAGTTTATTTTCTCCATTTCTGGCATTTTTTTCAGCGGAGACAGCTGCTGCCAAGAGAAACCAATTAATGAATTTGTGTACCTACTTTGAGTATAAATACATCTACATAAACTCATCTTGACTGTCTATAGCACTCTACATTCCTTTATCATTCAAAATGCAGTTCAAGATCCTTACAATCTCAATTGCCATTGCAGAGTTAGCAACCCTTGCTTGTGCAAGCACTAGTGATATTAAAATTACCAACTATTATGATTCCTTTACTTCTCAAATTGATCCCACAAACATTACTGTTCCTTCCATCAAGCAAACTACTAGTGATAATCCTACTACTGAATGTACTTACTACGATCCTGAAACTTCTTTGATTAACATCAACAATTCCGAGTTTCCTACTGTCTGGGATGTTGCTACTTCCAACGGTATGAGCAAGTCAGCTGAATTCCTCTCTCTCTACCATTCAATCGATTGGACTAAGGCTCCCAAAATCTCTGTCCGTACTACTGACTCTGATGGTGGCTTGGATAGCTCTAAATATGACTATGATACTGATCCTGATTGTTGGTGGTCTGCTACTACTTGTACTATTCCCAAACTTTCTGATGTCAATGCTGATATCTACAAGTGTGATGAGCCCGAGACCTGGGGTTTGACTTACGATGATGGGCCCAACTGCTCTCACAACGCCTTCTATGATTTCCTTCAAGAAAAGAGCTTGAAGGCTACTATGTTCTATATTGGCTCCAATGTGCTTGACTGGCCCTACGGTGCTATGCGTGGTATCAAGGATGGTCACCATATCGCTTCTCACACCTGGTCTCACCCTTACATGACAACCCTGACTAACAAGGAAGTTCTTGCTGAATTGTACTTCACTCAAAAGGCCATCAAGCTCGCTACTGGCTTGACTCCTCGTTACTGGCGTCCTCCTTATGGTGATGTTGATGACCGTGTTCGTTGGATTGCTTCTCAATTGGGCATGACTGCCGTTATCTGGAACTTGGATACTGACGATTGGGCTGCCGGTGATACTACTACTGTCGAAGCCGTTGAAAAGACCTATCAAGATTACGTTGATATGGGCAGCAACGGCACATTTGCTAATAGTGGTAACATTGTTTTGACTCATGAAATCAACAACACTACCATGTCTTTGGCCCTTGAATACTTGCCCAAGATTCAGTCAAGCTACAAACAAGTCCTTAATGTTGCTACTTGTGCCAACATCTCTTATCCTTATTTTGAAGACCATGAATGGACCGATGTCTTGAACGCTTCCTCTTCAAGTTCTGATGGTACCACTACCGTCAGCTTAAGCTTGTCAACTGCTACTGCCGCTGCTGCCCGTGTTAATGTGGCTACCAGTGATGCTACCTCAGTTGCTCCTAAGCTTGGTTTGGTTGCGGCCTTCGCTGCTGCCATGTTATTTTAAATTAAAAAAGAAATAACTTTTACTTTATGATTTCTTTTCGTTACATGTTAATCAGTTTGCTTTCTTTACTATTTCAATTCATCAAAAAACAAAGCCATCTCTGAATAAGCCTTAATCTGTTCCCAAATAAAGAAATAAGGGCTTAATGTTTACTATTTTGTCCAATCGCTCTAGAAACGTCTTAGAATAGACAGATTTTATTCTGGGATTTATCAGGTTGTCCCAAGTGCTATAAATAAACCTTGCTATGATTACAAATTAGATGTCGTACAAGTCTAAGTATGTTTCTGGTGTCATTTCAAATTAGACACCACGCGTTTGCTGAGAAACAAGAAAGCCACCTCTTATCTCACTCTTTGTTTAAACAGCCTGCTTACTTTGAAATATGCTCATTCCGTCTTCGAACAAAGAAAAATCACAAAGAATAATCAAACAAGTTTACACAATGAATTATTGTTTTATTTTCTTTGCCATATTAAATTAGTTTCCTACTCTGCAAGATACATCGAACTACAAGTAACACATAATCACAAAATAAAGCTGTGCATAAAAAGAAAACCAATCAGTTCGAAAAGCCGTGAGAAGTTGATTAAATCAAAAAAGATATTTTTGTGTCCAAAACATCAGGTCTAATGCGATTGAAGATAATAAACAAAGCGGCTTTAGTTGTAAACAAACTCAAGTTTAGCTTCTCGCTGAACTGAAGCATCATCATTAAAGACAATTTCTTTTTATTACCCTTTTAAAGAAGAAACCGGATTTTTCATTGATCTAACAAATTCCGATATGCCCGATAATGAAGAGCCTCAACAGCATTAAAGACTTTGTGATACTTATGCATTTTTTAAAAAACGATATTATATGTTTAACGAACATCAGCCTTATGCATCCATGTTTTTGTATCTAAATAGAGTGAGATTTTTTTAGCAGAAGCAGGTTACTAAGAAAAGGAAAAAATTGTTTTTGAAAAGAGCGTTATTTTACTAAAAATAGGCAAAAAAATAGACAAACGCTAGTGTGAAACGTAACATCTTCATTCCCTTGTTATGTGGCCCATGGCTGGAAAGATGCATTATATCACAGCCATCAAGCCTTGATGAAGGCTTAGATTTTACGCGTTTTTTTTCTTATTTCCAAACATGTCTAGAATTGATAATACAATGCCTATAGACATTTAATCGTTCATTATATGTAAACACGGATCTTAGTTGTGCATATAATAAGAAAAAGAAAAGGGACTTTGCACAACGTAATTGCCGGGAAATTTATTAATAGCACACATGGAAACTTATTTATGGGCACAATGATTTTCTGAAGAAATGTGTTGATCATCGCATCATTTGCAATATCCTGGATAATCTGCGCCCACCCTCGCTTAATTAAGTTTCAAGACGGTACCTGACAAAGTAAATAATAAAACTATAACACTAATTCGTTAGGGATACGTACGTTTTCTACAAACATATCCCTCCGTTTTTAATATTATTGTTTTCCATGTTAGTGATATTTACCATCTATAATCACTTTTCTCTATTTTTGGACTATTCTTTTTGTTGTAACATAGCGGAGTCGCAGTTTGCCAAGAAGGCAAGTGTAACTCAAAACACTATTGTGCAGTTAATATAAATACCACGATTGATACGATTGTTTTTTTTTATTCGACATTTTCTTAAAAAAATGAATATCAAGACATTGACTATCTCTGTAGCTATTGCTAAGCTCATTGCTTTTGCTTCAGCTGACGCCTCCAACTACTACCAATCACTTCAATCGCAAATTGACCCTACAAACATCACCGTTCCTTCTATTGAACAAACAACTAGTCTCGACCCTACTGTTGAATGCTCTGATTATACTCCTGATGCTTCCTTGATCAAGATCAATCGCTCTGAATTCCCTGACGGTTGGGAAAAAGCTTCTGCCAAGTTCATGAGCTCTTCTGCTGAATTCACTGACTTGTACAATTCCATTGACTGGAGCAAAGCCCCCAACATCTCTGTTCGTAAGACCAAATCAGACGGTGACTTGGATGACTCTGGCTATGACTATGATACTGATCCTGATTGTTGGTGGTCTGCTACTACTTGTACTATTCCCAAACTTTCTGATGTCAATGCTGATATCTACCAGTGTGATGAGCCCGAGACCTGGGGTTTGACTTATGATGATGGGCCCAACTGCTCTCACAACGCCTTGTATGACTACCTTCAAGAACAAAAATTAAAGGCTACTATGTTCTATATTGGATCCAATGTGCTTGACTGGCCCTACGGTGCTTTGCGTGGTGCTGTTGACGGTCATCATATTGCTTCTCACACCTGGTCTCACCCTTACATGACAACCCTGACTAACAAGGAAGTTCTTGCTGAATTGTACTTCACTCAAAAGGCCATCAAGCTCGCTACTGGCTTGACTCCTCGTTACTGGCGTCCTCCTTATGGTGATGTTGATGACCGTGTTCGTTGGATTGCTTCTCAATTGGGCATGACTGCCGTTATCTGGAACTTGGATACTGACGATTGGGCTGCCGATGATGGTTCTACTCCTGAAGCTGTTGAAAAGACTTATCAAGAATTTGTTGATATGGGCAGCAACGGCACATTTGCTACTGGTGGTAACATTGTTTTGACTCATGAAATCGATAACCTCACTATGTCTTTGGCCCTTGAATACTTGCCCAAGATTCAGTCAAGCTACAAACAAGTCCTTGATGTTGCTACTTGTGCTAACATCACTAATCCTTACTTTGAAAACTACCAATGGCCCAGTGGCTTGAACAGCACAATAAACAACACAACCACTACCAATACAACAACAGAAACGTCAGGTGCCTCTACTCTTGTTGCTGCTACTACTACTTTGGTTACTGAGGCTAGCAATGCCGCCACCAGCTCTGACTCTTCTGCCACTGCTTTTTCTCAAGTCCAAGCTATCGCTAATGGCGCCAGTTTGACTACCCCTAGCATTGCTTTGGTTTTTGGCATTCTTGCTTCTATGATTTTCTAAGCATTTTGTAGATATAACATTTTGTAATTTATTTAATAAAGATATTAGACTTTATTTTCTAACAGCATTAATCAATAGTTTCATTTTTAGGATGAATTAATGAGTTCAAAGTATTTTTAAGTCTTTCCGGTTTTTTGGGAGGCTTCATTTTTTGGCTATCTAGTGTTGGTTTGTTTTTATCAACTGTTTGCAGCAACAGCAAGTACTTTTTATGCACATCTTGTCATGGAGAACATTTCTTTTCTTTTATATCATCTTATTTGCCGTACGTATTTTGTAGTTAAAAATGGCTGAAAGAAGAGAGTGCACGACAATGGAAAATAGGAAAGGAGAGGGAAAGACAATAAAAACTGTCAGAAGAACAAGAGTCTTTGGTAACATGATGCTAACTGAGCTACATGATCCGATCACATACATTGCAAAAGCGGGAAGTGTCTCCCCTATGGATACAGATCCGATGGGTCCTCCGAACTTTACACAAGGCAAAAAAAAAAAAAAAGTAATTTAGTGGAAGAGACGGGGAAAATATCTTTAGCAGCTACTGAATTGGAACTGAGCGAGGAAATGTCATCCATTATAGTTCGAGACCTAAAAATTTCGAGACCTAAAAAGTTCGAGACCTAAAAAGTTCGTGAACGGGCAATAAAAAAAGAGACAGAAAACAAGTTCCTTATCTTGACAGGGAGAGCGTAGGTTATCAGTGAAAATTCATAATTCTAACGATCAAAGTAAGGATATTATTTCGCATTGTAAAGCATCAAGGAACGACTTCCAAAGACGTTGAACCGGAGATTGAAGGGATTGAGGACAGTCACGTCTAACATTGTTTTTCTGCTTTTTTTTACAAGCTGTAGTCGCTTTTTCTCTTCTTCTTTTACACAGTCAATATAAACATGGTAGACCTGAATGAAACGATTGATAACGACTTGAGCAAAAACGTACAGGATTGCTCAGTTTCGAAAAAGAAGAAGAAATCCAACAAGAAAAAATCCAATGGACCCGCTCCACCTCCTCTTGATCCTTTTTACGAGCAAGCTTTCACTTCATACCCCGTCAAGCTAAATAACACAAGAGCAAAAGGACGTCATGTTACTGCCTCTGAAAATTTAGAGGCTGGTGTTGGATTATGTCAAGAACAAGCGTCAGCTTTTGTAGTTCGATCCGAGTTCCTTGATCAACAGTGTCACGTTTGTCTTACTGATTTGAGTCAAAAGATGATGTGTTCCGACTGTCAAAAAGTATTTTATTGTTCTCAGGAATGCTTAGAAAAAAACAATGACTTGCATGTTTTGGTCTGTAGTGCTTTTGCACAAGTGGATGCTATTGGAAGAGCCACCGATGTCGACTCAGATTTGCTTCGCCTAATGACACTGTTGATGGCACAAAAATATTTGGATACACAAAAAACCAACAACCATGAAGATCCCAAACCAACACCTTATTGGTGTGTCGAAGAACTTATTAGTCATAAGGAGGATACCAATCCTGCTTTTATCAAGGTATTGGCGGAAGCAGGTAAGTGACCTTTTTTGTTCTTTAGCAATTGTTGACGCCTGGTAAATTAGCTTCTAGACTTTTGATGGAAATGCAGGAAAATATGCATATATCTGTGGACGATATGGTTACACTTGCATGCAGGTAAATAAGCAAAAAAAGGCAAAAAAAGGCAAAAAAAAGGCAAAAAAAAGTATTCATGCATCTATAGAATCAATTCAAATGCTCATGGTCTGGGCGATAATCAATCTAGAAACACTGATGTTGCTCTTGGCTTATTTCCATTAGGCGCTATGTTCTTTAACCATGGCTGCAATCCCAATACTGCCTTTGTTGGTATGCCCAATGGTCAATTAGCTTTCAGAACAATAAGACCAGTCAGCAAAGACGAAGAATTGGTTGTAAGCTATATTGACTTATATTCTGACCGAGATGAGCGTAGACAAGATTTGCTTGCTTCAAAACATTTCTGGTGTAAATGCAAGCGCTGTGCTAGTCCAATAGAAAAATCAGTGGATCGCTTCTTACAGGGTGTTGACTGCAAAGAATGCCAAAAAGATGTTTATGTTATTCCTGCAACACCAGTAGAACACTTGACCAAAGGATCAAAGAGCTTATATTTAGAAAAGGGAACATTCAAATGCGCTCAATGTGCTCATGAAATTTCTGCTGATGCTGTACGAGACACTCTCGATAGTGCTAACAAGACATACATGTTGGGTATGACAGCTATACGACAAGAACGTAATTATAGAAAAGGATCAGAAAAACTAGAAGTGTTGACCAAGAGTACCAACAATGGATTACATACATTGAATTCCTTTAAACTGAATTCTTTCATCCCACTTATGAATTGCAAGCGCCATAATGGTGACTTAAAAGGCGCAATTGAAGTGAACAAATCTATCCTCAACTTGATGGAGCAATACGCAGAAAAAGGACTACCCGCCAATACATCTGAGATTTCTGATTACTGGCAAAATTTAGGTGAATTGTGTGAAAAGATGAAAGAAACACAAGGTCGCAGCGCTGTGCTAGAAAAAAAATGGGCAAAAGAAGCCAAAGCCGCCTTTTCGAATGCCTTAAAGATTCGTTCTGTTGTGTTTGGTAAAGATCATCCTAAAACCATGCTTATCCAAAAACGTATGGAATCTATCTAAATATGCATATTTGTTGCATTCCTTTCCTGAACCTTCTCTTGGAGTGTCAAACTTGAGATTTTTTTTATTTATATTATGTGCAATAAATATACGATATGTGTAGATGTACGAGGATGAAATAAATAAACATTATGGTATGATAGCGAGTTGAATTAAAGCAAGAGATCGATGAGTTGAAGAATAACTATTTAAACATAAGTCAATAATGAACAAGAGGCATTGTCAAAACTCACCACCACCAAACAATGCAAAGGCAAAAACGCCAACAGCTACATAAGAGAAGTTACTCTTCTTAACGTGCTTAGATTTCTACGCAAACATTAGCGCTTGTTTCCTTTCTTTTTGTTTTATTATCTTACCTCGGCAGCTTTGGTGGCTACAACACCATTCTTGGAACGCTTGTTATAAATTTGGTTTTTTTGACGAAGAGCAGGAGTAGTGGCCTATTGCATTTTATGAGCAATTTTATGGCATACAATAAGTACATTACCATTTCAATACAAGTTGAAGCAAAAAAAAATATATATTTCATAATTAAGAAACAATTGCTTTTTATATCAACTTACAACTCAAACATGGCGAGCATTGATTGGATGACTAGGTATGTGATACGCTAGGCATTATAGCTTGATTTAACTGGTAGAGCTGAAATATTTTCATTTTTTGTCTTAAGTGGAGAACAAAACAGTCCCTAGTGCCTCGAATACCCAAAACACATACAGATCATGTTTATTAGGCCACAAGGCACTATTGGTGTCATTTGCGACACTAAAAATCAATATGTTCAAAATGGTCAAAAGGTCAAAATTTTGAAGGGTTATTATCCAGGACCTGCTTTTCATACTCCGCTATTCTGGCTTCTTTTGAGCTTTATGACACAACGGCTAAAGCTATCGTCATGATTCAATGCTTAAAATATGCGCCAAAAGCTCTAGTTTTTGTTGGCTGCTTTTATGTGCGCATCATGTTAGGAGAAAGATGAGATAGGTTTGAGAACCCCTAAAAAGTATTTTGTAGTGTGTCTTTATATTTTGCTAGTAGAGTTGCTGTATTCTTTGCATCAATAAAGTTGAAAAACAAAGAACTACAACTTTTGTTAAGACCTTAAGATGAAACAACTGCGTTTTTAGTCATTGTCAACAGATGCTTATTTTTGGATGGCCACAAGAAAATTTGAAATACCTCAAATTTCACTCTCCGATAAAGGCTGCTTGTATAGGTGTGGTGCCTTTCATGGGCTCTAGATGCATAAAAACAAAGAGATAACAAAGAAGTGTAGTAATGAAAGACATAAATGCAGCAGATAGGCAACCAGCTATTTATAAATAATGGTACAAATCATGCCAAGATGGTGTGCAAATGTTTGGCAAAAGCAAAACAGGGCTTAAACATGCCAATCTTTGATGTTCCATTACTCGACAACCTGACTATCAAACCGGTCCGTTTTTTTATTTTTATTTTTTTGACCATGGAGGATCACGAGAGCTCGTGAAGATGAAAAAGACAAAATTTTTTGAAATGGCCCAATGTAGGTCTGATCTAGCCATCCTTATCAAACAGGATTTCTCAATGACAGATTTATTAACAATAATGGAATGTTGGTGCATCTGATACTACAACAAGCAAGATACCAAAACCATCCTGTTATCGGCTTACTTCTTGATCAAGAGAAGGCGTATGATCGAGTTCATGCCGGATATCTGACTCAGGTGCTACGTGCTTTTGGCTTTCCCTTTTCACTGATTGATAGCATTAGTAGTCTGTTTTTTTTTTTGATAACTCAGTCTATATTAATGTTAATAAATTCCTCACGGAACCAGTCAATCAGAAGCGAGGTCTACGTCAGGGTGACCCTCTTTCACCAATACTGTTCAATCTTGCTTTGGAGCCACTATTATTGTCTATGCTTCAAGTTCCATTGTACCAAGGTTATTCTTCTTCGAACTCCTCAAGCAACCAACAGATCAAATGCCCAGCATATGTGGACGACATCTGTGTCTTTGTTCACGACCAAAATGACTTTGTACGCCTTCAGACTCACTTGAACAATTACGCTAAGGTCTCTAATGCAATTTTCAATCAGCACAAGGCCGAAGCATCTTCACTGAGTGGTGGTACTGTGTCTTCCTGGTCAACACTGTTAAGGCAACGCCGAATTGACACCTACTATTCCGAATCTTCACCAACTATCCTGAGGTATTTAGGTTTCTACATGTCTTATACTAGTACGCAAAGAAATTTTGTTCAGGATATGCTATTTAACAAAGTGCAAACACTGATTTGCGTTTTCTCACAACGACGCTTGTCTCTTCGAGGAGGTCAAATGATTGCAAACACTCTCATCCTGTCCCAACTATGGTTCTGTCTGCGGCTTTTCCACCCGACACAAGCATTTTTAGACCAGATACGGCGGTTGATATACAAGTTTGTCTGGCAAGAGAAATATCCCAAGATATCTTTCAATCAATTATGTCTTCCCGCCTACAGGGTGGCATTGGTCTTCTAAATCCTGCGCGCCAACACTTAATACTCCAAATGAAATGGCTTTTTGCTCTTCTTGATCGAAACCAAGGTAATACGCTGCTGAAGAGTGCTTTAAGCCATCATCTACTGTTTATGTCTACCAGCTCCTCCTTTCCTACTCTGCCTTTTTTTTCCCCGGTCTTGCGAAAACATGATATCTGCCATCAGTTCTCTATCATTCCTGTCATATTTCAAGCATTTGACCATTTTGGGATTAACTTTAACCTACAGCGAGTACCTATCCAAACATTGCTGCATTTTCTTTTAACTAGGATGTTCTCTGACCTGCCCTCTGGCCATTGGCTCTATCGACATACAGAATTGCCTGCAATGATCTTCTTCAAGTTTGATGAAAACACGCACTGGCTACGTTTACAAGTACGCACAGAGTATTCCAAGTTTCCCCTCTTATGCCGTTCACTGTACAACGATATACTGATTCGACATTGCGTGCAGTTACAACCCTTTTGATTCCTTATATCTATAATGAAGTGGAGCAAGTAAATGTTGAAGAAAACGATCAATCATTAGTGAGCTAATTGCATGGCTCTCCTCTCTGGAGCCAATACACGTCCAAGGCTTACAGGATGCATAATTATTCCAGTGCTTCAAATACTCAATTGGATTTGCCATCTAAATTGCTGCGTCTGTTCTGGTCTTCCTCAATGCTTTTACCTTCTAGAACTTTGTGGTTCAGAGTTATCAATAAGAAACTACCTACAGAAGCACAATTGTATAAATCAATCGCGTTCACAACAGTAATTGTCGCCTGTGTTCTTCGAGTATCGACTCTTTTGAACATTTCATTCTTTACTGTCCTTGAAAATGGACCATTTGGATTGAAGTCCTCACTTATTTCTATCCACAGATGTGTTTTTTAGCTGATACGGTTTATCGCCTGCTCTGTCTCGAATCCTGCCTCCTTTCCTACTGCCTGACAGTCGTCCCTTTATGGTTCTATTTGTCTGCCAATGGAGAATATGGTCCGCTTACTGGCGTTTCGCTTTGGACAATCAACCCTTCAACCCTGAGTGGATCATTTCCGACATTATTAGTCAGACTTTGATCTCACTATACAAGCATTCTTTACTCGTAAACGTTTTCTAAGTCTCTCAATGATTACTTCTTATACGCTCCTTTTTTTTTTCAGTCTATCCACGTTACACCCCTCTGTGATGTGTAACTAAAAAAATACTATACAAAAAAAAATATTATACAAAAAAAATCTGATCCAACCAAAATCAGATAAGGCCATATCTAGGTACTTCTGAGGAAAAGAAAGCGAGTTTACTAAGATGAAAAAGGTGACTTCATTTGAGCATTGCCTTGAAAAATGCAACCAAAGTTCATTGCACACCATAATCAATACAAGAGAGGCCATTTTAGTAGATAGCAATTAATAAATAGGTACTTTTATTGATACCATTTGATCTGAGTATTACAGGCGAGCAAATCATATTATAGTACTTGGCTATTTTGAGACCAAAAAGAACGGCTTTGGATATGGCAGATAATGAATGTTATGCAAAAACTATGCTTGGTGTTTAAATACCAATTTTCTTACCTAGAAAATGTAAACAGTCAAACTGAAGCTATGAATATAGGGCAATGTGTAGCATGTTTGATGTATATGCCAAAGGTTAAGTGTAAGAGGATCAAAAGCTTTAATAAAGCTTCTTATGTATATAAGTGATTCGGTAGCTCATCATTTGTTCTTGTAGCAGAGACTCCAGATAAATACATGTTTTAACAATCAAGTAAACAATTCATACAACTTTTGTCTTTTTCTTAGGCAACAAACACCTGATTTGGAGGTGGCCAGACAAAAACTAGAAATGACTATTCGACGACCAGCATTTTTTGTATATGATGCCTTCTTTGGACATCATATATATAAAGCCAAACAGATAATGAATAAAATTACTGAAAGATAAGTAGAAAAGACAGCTATGTAATTACAAATACAGTTGTTATGATAGAATGGCTATAAAACTCATGCACAGAGGTTTTACCAGAGCGCATAGCACAGTCAAAGGCGATTGTTTTTTTTTTTTGCACATGTTTATTTAATAAAATGAATTGCATGACAGTTCAATTACGGATTTCCCTTAGTAGCACAAAAGAGGCTTTGTGAGAAACTCAACCCAAATGCTTCCATTTAACACTGCCAACATGAACAGGAGGATTGATCTTTTTTGAGATCCTTTGTAGGTATGACTCTTGCCTTTATAATAGGGCTTTTCATACAGTGTTACTTGAAGAAAAGATTCCGTCTTGAAGGAGGCAACTTCCATATTGCCATTTTTGGCCCCTGCACTACCACCAGGCGATACTTCACCAGAGACGATTCCTGCTTCTTGTTTATAATTTGGTTTCTTATAGAACTCAATAGTGAAATCGTCAGCACAAGCACACAATATCAAGAAAAAAACAGTCAAAAGAAAATAGAAAGATTTCATGTTAAAGACAATAAAAAGAAAAGAAAGAAGAAAAAGAATGCTTCTTCTTTCCTGGATTCATTGCTATTTTTAAGCTATTGTCAATAAGTCAAAGTGGAACATTCTATCTTAATCTAGTTCTAGGGTGACACGAAGCGAGTGCAAGTAACAAGTTCTAGCCTGTAATGCCTATCAAGTAAGAAGAGTATGTGAATAGGTATGTATTGTATTTCAATAAGATGTTTTAAATATCTTGTAGATCTCAAACTTATAACTCTGCATCAAAAAGGGAAAGTAACTCTGGATTTGTTGAGATTTTAGCAGCCATGCTTGAGCAGGAAGGGTATTCTGCAATTTTTTCCACCTAAAGATTGATTGAGAAGATAAAGTTGGGTAGTGAAGAGCTGCTTTTTTTCATTGGCAGCCGAGGCATACGAATAGGTTTTCATGTTAGAAGATTTCGTAGAGATAGTGAAAGGAAACTTAGCACAGTAGCTATATCAATGTGTGTATTACAAACGAGCATATATCATCTCAAATATATGCTTAATGCTTCAACAGGCTTTCACATTCATTAGTGTTAAGAATAGTCAAAGAAAAATAGAAAGTTGAGGAAAAAAAAGGAAGTTTTCTGTGTAAAAGTGATCTTTGTGTCTTGATGAAAAAATGACTGCTACATCCCAAGACGCTCATTTTGTTTTGGCAATTGATATCACTAAGCTCTCTAAAGCAATTCTCGCAAAAGCAATCACCACAACACTTATTTAATTTGACCTTATCCTTGCTGACACCAAGAGATCGATTAGAATAGGCGTGAAGTAAGAGTAACAAAAAAAGCAAGTTTGTCGGACTGCTAATTCGGTTGTATAGATTCAGCTTCTTCAAAAAAGGGACATTGGTCTTCCTGACACGTACCAGTCTTTTATTTTTATTTCTCATCTACTATGGACGAAGAGTCAATCTTGTTTGGTATTCGCAACCTTTTCAGTGTAGGCAACTACCAAACTGTTATTAACGAATCAAACTCAAGCCATGGCTTATTCTCTACTGAAGCCAAGCTTGAAGCACAAACCTTTTTATACCGTTCCTACATTGCCCAAGGCAAATACAACTTGGTCATCAACTTTACTGAACATAGTGAAGAAGCGCCTCTGAAGGCTATCAGATTATTAGCCGAGTTTTCGTCTAACAAGACTAACAGTGCAGAGTATATCACTAAAGCCAACGCTTTATTGGAAGAAGGTGCTAACCGTATTGATCCTGTTGTTCAAGTAACTCTTGCTACTCTTTTCGTTCAAACAGGCCAACTTGAAGATGCTTTAAGAACGCTTCATTCGCGCCAAAAGAAATTAGAATGGTAATGAATAGAGTTATATCTTATTGTCTCATTATTCTATTAGTTGCGCTTTGGCTGTTCAAATCTATCTCTTGATGGATCGATTAGACTTGGCTAGAAATGAAGTTGCTAGCGTCAAGTCTTGGGCTGAAGATGCCTTATTGTTACAAATGATGGAAGCTTGGGTTGATCTTCGTGTGGTAAGTGTCATTGTAGGATTGAATATACATTAATGCGTTGATTAGGGTGGTGAAAAATATCAAGAAGCATTCTATATCTACGAAGAATTTGGTCAATCAAGCACAGCACAAACAGTCAAGGTGTTGAATGGTCAAGCTGCTGCTAATCTCACCTTGGGCAGATATCCTGAAGCAGAAAGCTTATTATTAGAGGCACAAAACAAGGTAAAAGAGTCAACAAGATATGCGTTTTTTTTTTTTTTTTTTTGTCTAATACGCTTTTCTCATAGGACTCTAATGATCCAGATACGATTATTAACATGATTAGTTGTGCTATCTTAACTGCTAAACCCCAAGATGTTGTTAACCGTTATGTTGGGTAAGTCAAAGCATAGATAAAGAGGGTGTCTAATTCATTTTACAGTCAATTGAGGGAGGCTGTTCCTGAACATCCTTATTTACAAGATCTTGATTTAAAGTCAAGCTTATTTGATCGTAGTGCTTCTCGCTATGCCCTTGTTGAATCTGCTTAATAAAGCTCCATTTGATTGGCTAAATGTTGTGACAGATATCTTCCTCCTATTTTTTTTCACACATAAGTACACTTTCTCCCCCTTTTTTTTTACATAGTTGTGAGAGATGGGTGCGGGTGCTTCAAAAAACAAAATCACTTCCCAAGACAAGGCTATTCTCGATTTGAAAGTACAGAGGGATAAACTGAAACGATATCAAAAGAATGTGAGATATATAAATTTCTCCTTGTTTTGAGTCTTATTATTTTGTAGCTCAATGTTGTTATTGATAAAGAAGTAGAAGTAGCTAAACTTGCACTACAACAAGGAAATAAACAGAAGGCCTTATTGGCTCTAAAGAAAAAAAAGTATCAAGTTCAGCTGCTTGAAAAGACAGACCAACAATTAATGAATTTAGAAGAACTTGTAAGTGTAAATTTGAATTTGTTGATATGCATAATCATTATTTATTTTAGACACATTCGATTGAATACGCTCTTGTCGAGAAACAAGTGTTGGAGGGGCTACAAAAGGGCAATGATGTACTAAAGGAAATTCACAAAGAAACATCCATAGAAGCTGTTGAGAAACTCATGGACGATACAGCTGATGCGATTGCTTATCAAAATGTAATTTCTGCCAAATTACGAATCTATGACTAATATGACCCAAATTATAGGAAATCGATGAAATGTTACATGGATTAATAAGTGCTGAAGAAGAGGAGGAAATAGAACGCGAATTAAACGAATTGAGAGAAGAAGAGGTAGAGTTCTTTATTTAGAAATATAATACTAATCGAGTAATCAAATTAAGCTGAACGCCAAGTTACCCGAAGTGCCCAAAAACAAGTTGCCTGAACCTGTATCTGATCCTGAAATACCCAGTGTACCAAATCATGTTCCTGCTCCAGGTAAGCACAATTGAAAAAAAAGGAAATCATTTTTCTTATCATTTTGCCTATTAATAGTTAAAGCATCAGCTAAAGAAAAACAAGCAATGTTGGCCACTTGATAGAAAAAAATTTTTTATCTCCACATATAAATAAATTTTCTGTCTTTTCTCGGTCATTTTTTTTTTTTTTACTTTCCCTCTTTATACAATGCTTAAAGAAGAAGACAAGAAGTTTGAAGCAAACTTTAACGTCACAACGCAGGTTGAGTTTGAGGCCAATGACAAGGAAGAAAAGTATCAAAACACAAGCAATTTGCGTCGTGTAGCTGAAGGTGTTCCTATTGCTGCCTGGTTTATTATCATTAACGAATTCTGGTAAGTAAAATAATACATTCATTTCTTTGTTGATACTCATTGTCTATAGTGAACGGTAAGCATTCAATTCAGGGTTCAGATTAAGGGAAAATTTTTTCCTCGTTTAGCCTATAATTGGCAGGGTAGATTTCTCACGATTGTCTATCTAGCTTCGCATATTACGGTGGCTCTACTCCTTTCCAAAACTATGTTCAAGTAAGTTTAATATTACATTTGCAAGTTGATATTTATTTTTATTATAGAACGGTCCCATGGACGATCCTGCTGGTCAATTGAACAGGGGCCAATCTACTGCTACAGCATTGCAAAACTTTTTCACTTTTTTTTGTTACTTTACCCCCATGCTTGGTGCTATTGTAGCTGATCAATATATCGGCCGTTATTGGACTATTATTATTTTTTCCATTATTTATATGGTTGGATGGTTAATCTTGACTACCACTTCTATTCCTGTTGCTCTTGAAAGCGGTGCTGGTTTCCCAGGCTACATTGTTTCTCTTGTTGTTATCGGCTGTAAGCGAAAACATATATATATATAGGAAGTGTTACTTATTTGTGTTACAATAACTATAGTTGGTACTGGTGGTATCAAGGGTATTGTTTCCCCTCTTTGTGCAGATCAATACAGAAGAACCGAGAATTATGTCAAAGAACTCAAATCTGGTGAATTGGTCATGGTAGATTATGACCTTAGTATCCAACATCTGTATAACTGGTAAGAAAAAAATACAACTCCGTTTGATATCGATAACTTAATTTTTTTAGGTTTTATTGGGCGATCAATGTCGGCTCACTTTTAGGTGGTATCATTTGTCCTCTTCTTGAGAACCATGTAGGCTTCTATGCTGCTTTCTTGTTGCCTACATGTATGTTTGCAATTGCCATTATAGTATTTATTGCAGGTACCAAGCTCTACTATAAGCCAGCTGCTACTACTTCTGTCATTTTGAAAGCTTGGGATGTTATCCGATTCGCTAATAAGCAAGCTAAACTGCCCGAGAACAAGGAAGCCCGCAAGCAATGCAAGGATGTTTTGGATTTTGCCAAACGCGATTCCGAACTTCCAGCTGTCAGCGAATGGACTAATGAAGCTGACCAAGCTGCTTCCAAGTGGGACGATACCTTTGTCGATGAATTGAAACAAGCCGTCATGGCCTGTAAAATTTTTGTTCCCCTTTCAATCTATTGGGTATGCTACAACAATTTGTCAAACAACTTAATTTCTCAAGCTGGTGTTATGGCCAGACCTGATTCTCTTCCTAACGATATCATGAACAACTTTGATCCTATCGCCTTGATTATCTTTATTCCCATCACTGATATGTTGTTCTACCCCATGTTGAGACGTTTCAAGATCCAATTTGCTTCTCAAATGCGTATCACTGTCGGTTTCTTTTTGGGCTGTCTTTCCATGGTTTATGCCGCTGTTGTTCAATACTATATTTACAAGGATCCTTTGTTTATCAGCTCTGGTGGAGAAGCTTCTAATGTCTCTGTCTTCATTCAGATTCCTTGTTACTTCTTGATTGCCTTTTCCGAAATTTTTGCCTCTATTACATCCATGGAATATGCTTACACTCACGCTCCCAAGTCCATGAAATCACTCGTGTCTGCTCTTTCTTTATGGCCCAACTGTGTTGCTGCCTTGATTTCACTTGCTATCTCTCCTTCTGCACACGATCCTAACATGGTCTGGGTGTACACTGGTGTGGCATGCGGTTCTTTTGTTGTTGGTTGTCTTTACTATTACTTGTTTGCTCACTATGACACGTTGGATGAAGAATACAGAATCAAGAAGCTTTTGGAACAAGATAATATGGTTCCTGAAGTTATTGCTGAAGCTGAAGCCGAAGCATTGGAAAAGCTTCATTAATTGTACTATATTTTTTCTTGTATTTTATTAATATATAATTTATATCATTGAACCTACTTTCTTTCAGCTGTGTATGATAAACAAGCACATTTGCTTTATTATTGCTTCTGTTGCTCACTATTGTAGACAAAAAATCTTCATTGCTTAGGCTTTCTAAGTGCGTCACTTTTATATGTAGAAAGAAAGCGGCACGTAATAACATTGGAAAGTAATTAACGACAGCGAGAAGAAATTGCTGGTATCTGTGAGAAAAAAATGTTAATGTTTGAAATAGACATCCATTGTAGATTATGTCTAAAATTCTCTCATTGTCATCAAAAGTGTCAAGCGTTATAGTAGATTTTACTCGCATACATCTTACGCATCTATAGATGTAAAAATCAAGGCTTGTTTGCTATTTGACATCACCAAAAAGGGGCCTCTCTTGTATTGATTATGGTGTGCAATGAACTTTGGTTGCATTTTTCAAGGCAATGCTCAAATGAAGTCACCTTTTTCATCTTAGTAAACTCGCTTTCTTTTCCTCAGAAGTACCTAGATATGGCCTTATCTGATTTTGGTTGGATCAGATTTTTTTTGTATAATATTTTTTTTTGTATAGTATTTTTTTTAGTTACACATCACAGAGGGGTGTAACGTGGATAGACTGAAAAAAAAAAGGAGCGTATAAGAAGTAATCATTGAGAGACTTAGAAAACGTTTACGAGTAAAGAATGCTTGTATAGTGAGATCAAAGTCTGACTAATAATGTCGGAAATGATCCACTCAGGGTTGAAGGGTTGATTGTCCAAAGCGAAACGCCAGTAAGCGGACCATATTCTCCATTGGCAGACAAATAGAACCATAAAGGGACGACTGTCAGGCAGTAGGAAAGGAGGCAGGATTCGAGACAGAGCAGGCGATAAACCGTATCAGCTAAAAAACACATCTGTGGATAGAAATAAGTGAGGACTTCAATCCAAATGGTCCATTTTCAAGGACAGTAAAGAATGAAATGTTCAAAAGAGTCGATACTCGAAGAACACAGGCGACAATTACTGTTGTGAACGCGATTGATTTATACAATTGTGCTTCTGTAGGTAGTTTCTTATTGATAACTCTGAACCACAAAGTTCTAGAAGGTAAAAGCATTGAGGAAGACCAGAACAGACGCAGCAATTTAGATGGCAAATCCAATTGAGTATTTGAAGCACTGGAATAATTATGCATCCTGTAAGCCTTGGACGTGTATTGGCTCCAGAGAGGAGAGCCATGCAATTAGCTCACTAATGATTGATCGTTTTCTTCAACATTTACTTGCTCCACTTCATTATAGATATAAGGAATCAAAAAGGGTTGTAACTGCACGCAATGTCGAATCAGTATATCGTTGTACAGTGAACGGCATAAGAGGGGAAACTTGGAATACTCTGTGCGTACTTGTAAACGTAGCCAGTGCGTGTTTTCATCAAACTTGAAGAAGATCATTGCAGGCAATTCTGTATGTCGATAGAGCCAATGGCCAGAGGGCAGGTCAGAGAACATCCTAGTTAAAAGAAAATGCAGCAATGTTTGGATAGGTACTCGCTGTAGGTTAAAGTTAATCCCAAAATGGTCAAATGCTTGAAATATGACAGGAATGATAGAGAACTGATGGCAGATATCATGTTTTCGCAAGACCGGGGAAAAAAAAAGGCAGAGTAGGAAAGGAGGAGCTGGTAGACATAAACAGTAGATGATGGCTTAAAGCACTCTTCAGCAGCGTATTACCTTGGTTTCGATCAAGAAGAGCAAAAAGCCATTTCATTTGGAGTATTAAGTGTTGGCGCGCAGGATTTAGAAGACCAATGCCACCCTGTAGGCGGGGAAGACATAATTGATTGAAAGATATCTTGGGATATTTCTCTTGCCAGACAAACTTGTATATCAACCGCCGTATCTGGTCTAAAAATGCTTGTGTCGGGTGGAAAAGCCGCAGACAGAACCATAGTTGGGACAGGATGAGAGTGTTTGCAATCATTTGACCTCCTCGAAGAGACAAGCGTCGTTGTGAGAAAACGCAAATCAGTGTTTGCACTTTGTTAAATAGCATATCCTGAACAAAATTTCTTTGCGTACTAGTATAAGACATGTAGAAACCTAAATACCTCAGGATAGTTGGTGAAGATTCGGAATAGTAGGTGTCAATTCGGCGTTGCCTTAACAGTGTTGACCAGGAAGACACAGTACCACCACTCAGTGAAGATGCTTCGGCCTTGTGCTGATTGAAAATTGCATTAGAGACCTTAGCGTAATTGTTCAAGTGAGTCTGAAGGCGTACAAAGTCATTTTGGTCGTGAACAAAGACACAGATGTCGTCCACATATGCTGGGCATTTGATCTGTTGGTTGCTTGAGGAGTTCGAAGAAGAATAACCTTGGTACAATGGAACTTGAAGCATAGACAATAATAGTGGCTCCAAAGCAAGATTGAACAGTATTGGTGAAAGAGGGTCACCCTGACGTAGACCTCGCTTCTGATTGACTGGTTCCGTGAGGAATTTATTAACATTAATATAGACTGAGTTATCAAAAAAAAAAACAGACTACTAATGCTATCAATCAGTGAAAAGGGAAAGCCAAAAGCACGTAGCACCTGAGTCAGATATCCGGCATGAACTCGATCATACGCCTTCTCTTGATCAAGAAGTAAGCCGATAACAGGATGGTTTTGGTATCTTGCTTGTTGTAGTATCAGATGCACCAACATTCCATTATTGTTAATAAATCTGTCATTGAGAAATCCTGTTTGATAAGGATGGCTAGATCAGACCTACATTGGGCCATTTCAAAAAATTTTGTCTTTTTCATCTTCACGAGCTCTCGTGATCCTCCATGGTCAAAAAAATAAAAATAAAAAAACGGACCGGTTTGATAGTCAGGTTGTCGAGTAATGGAACATCAAAGATTGGCATGTTTAAGCCCTGTTTTGCTTTTGCCAAACATTTGCACACCATCTTGGCATGATTTGTACCATTATTTATAAATAGCTGGTTGCCTATCTGCTGCATTTATGTCTTTCATTACTACACTTCTTTGTTATCTCTTTGTTTTTATGCATCTAGAGCCCATGAAAGGCACCACACCTATACAAGCAGCCTTTATCGGAGAGTGAAATTTGAGGTATTTCAAATTTTCTTGTGGCCATCCAAAAATAAGCATCTGTTGACAATGACTAAAAACGCAGTTGTTTCATCTTAAGGTCTTAACAAAAGTTGTAGTTCTTTGTTTTTCAACTTTATTGATGCAAAGAATACAGCAACTCTACTAGCAAAATATAAAGACACACTACAAAATACTTTTTAGGGGTTCTCAAACCTATCTCATCTTTCTCCTAACATGATGCGCACATAAAAGCAGCCAACAAAAACTAGAGCTTTTGGCGCATATTTTAAGCATTGAATCATGACGATAGCTTTAGCCGTTGTGTCATAAAGCTCAAAAGAAGCCAGAATAGCGGAGTATGAAAAGCAGGTCCTGGATAATAACCCTTCAAAATTTTGACCTTTTGACCATTTTGAACATATTGATTTTTAGTGTCGCAAATGACACCAATAGTGCCTTGTGGCCTAATAAACATGATCTGTATGTGTTTTGGGTATCCAAAGGCGTCATAAATAGTGATGATATGCTATATAGGAACTTCAAACGGTCAAGTTTTCATCTATTTGAGCATTTTTACTCTTTTTCATGCACTGAAAGCGTTAGGGAGATATTCTTGGAGTAATGAGGTGTGCGTGTTTATGTGCATGTGTAACATTTTTATCTAGAGATAAAGTTTTATGACAGAAAACCTTAATTCGAGTTAACAACGTCTTGGTATAATGGTGCCTATGGAATGTTAAGCTTCACCAAATCATCAACATACTTTTGTTAATATTGTTTTTTTTTTTATTATGTTCTTATCTTCAGCTAGCCATATTTTTTGAGTCATATTGTACCTAATACAAGTAATACAATCGGCGCACAGACATGAGGTGATGTATGTGCAGAAGGAGAAAAATGATACATTTTGATAAAGTAAGGTTATCATTCATTGACGATAACAAAATGAATACAGGTGCGACTATGAGAAGATCTCTTACACTGCTGTCATTTAAACGCAATTTTGGACTGTACCCAATGACGAACGTCAGTATTGGGTTGTGATGCTAAAGCACATACTCTAAGCGTGTGCTTATCTGGTGCAACCAATATCAGTCATACCTTGTTGCTGGATTTGATTTGATATGGATGCCAGAAAAACTTCAAGTATTCAATCTATTCAAACCTCGTTTTTTTACGTGTATATAGAAAGGATGGTTAAAATAAAAAGAGCAAATTTCCGAGAACAACCAATGATTCTTCGACTACGCAACTAATGTGGCCACCAGCATCAGTCAAGATGTGTGCTGGTGTAACGCACTACTGCTGGCTTTACACGCTGTGTAATCTTATCAAAACAACTCTGAGCTTCAAGAAGAACTTTGTCACATGTTCTTGAAAGAACAAATTTTACCTTCAAGATGTTCCGTTGCTCTTACATCGAACAGAAAAGCCATATATTTTCCCCAAATATCGTTACCTGATAGCATATATTTGGTAAATAAACAGTTTTCTTTCTTGACTGTTCTTCAAAGAGCACTTAACCAATTATCTTTTCGAAATTTACATATAAACACAAGCGTGGTCATTTTTTTCAAGTGAGCATGAGAGTGATTGAGAAGCTTTTACAGCTAGGAATATAGCTCGACATATACGCTAGTCTATCTATATCAGCTACGTGATTATAATTTTACACAGGTTATGCTAATTCACAAGCTAAACTAGATCCTTTTCTATTGAAGAATTTCGCATTGGAACAAGTTCTTATTAACTAAAGCAATTCTAACATAAAGAAAACTTATACATCATCTTCTGAATCATTATCGCTTTTTGCTTGATCTAGTCAAAGGGCTTTTCTATAACAGCATTTAGACAGTGAGTTTAACAATGAAATTTATTTAGTCCATCTCATTCAGACAGGTTTGATATTCTCGTCAAATTCTTTTGCAACGGACTCTGAAATTGCATTGGACAATAAGACCTTGAAAGGAAAAGCGTGTGTACCCTTTTTGAGTACAGAATTCTTGTAAATGGGAATACTGATGTTCACCAAGATTTGTTTATCCCAATGTTGATAAACTAGTCATATATAAATGATTTTGACAACCATGCTTCTTGTCAAATCTCTGATGTTTCAATAAATGAAAGGAACAAAGACAATTGAAGGTATTCACTCTGAATTCATGGTTCTTTTGGGCCTGTCTCTAGAAAAAATTCACAGGTTTTACTCATTCAGTTATTACTGAGAAGGGAATGAGTAAGTCGTTGTTATGGCTTACCCCTTTTTTGTATTATTCATTATTGATAATGGATAAACTCCGTCTCACCACATACGATGTTTTTTTTAGAATCCCGAATGGTTATGATTAAATAGAAAGTTTGGATCCAATAGTAAAATTTTTCTTTCTTCCTCTCTCTCTCTCTATTTCTTTCTCTTTCTCTCTTTCTCTCTCTCTCTCTCTCTCTTTATGACTCATTTAGTCAATCAACGATATGATGTTGTTACGCCTGAGAGGTCAGTTCCATCCAGCCCATCATTATCTCCAGCAGTTGTGACGCATACGATAGCCACTAGCAGCAAACCACAGCGTAGATCTTGGGATCCATCCGCTGTAGACTTATCAGAATTATCAAAACTACTTGCAAAAGGAAGCAATAACAGCACAGGCAAACAAAAGAGCTCACGTCCTCGTTCACAACTCTTTCAGTCTTCTAAACCACCTTCACCCACACTCTCTACGTCATCTGCAGAACCCACTTTTTACACAAATTCCAATGCAGCAGCACCTATTCTTTCTCAACATCAACAGCCCCGACCTGTTTTATCACACCGACCAGCAAGTACTTGTTCAACACCCCCACCATCTCAATTCGTATTTAAAAAACCTGAATACAACGAAGCGTATCACCAAACACATTTTCACCGTAATAACCCACCTCCTCAATTGCAACAAGACCGCAAAGATCTGTTTTTGGCTTGGTCTGATTTGAGACGGTTTTTTGTCAATACACAACAACAACAACAACAGCAACCATACCCTGTGTCACCATCATCGCCAACCCAATCGAATCACTCTCAAGAAGAATACACAAAGCCTGATACGTTTGCTAATCAGTTCAGACAAGATATTGGTGGGCGTTATGGCACTTGGGGTAAACAAAAAGAACAGAGGCCCTGCTTGTCATTAGCTTACGCTTTATGTTTATAGGAAGATATATTGGAAAAGGAGCTGGAGGCTCAGTTAGACTGATAAGACGTTCAGCAGACCAAAAGACATTTGCGGTTAAACAGTTCCGGAAAAGATTATCTCATGAAAGCGAAAAGGACTATATAAAGAAAGTCACTGCCGAATTCTGTATCGGTTCCACACTTCACCATCCCAACGTTATTGAGACACTTGATATCATTCAAGAAGACGACACCTTTTATGAAATTATGGAATATGCACCCAACGATTTGTTCAATGTTGTCATGAGTGGCATGATGTCTCGAGAGGAAATTGCTTGCTGCTGGCGTCAATTGCTAAATGGCCTGGAATATTTGCAAAGTATGGGCATTGCTCATCGTGATATCAAACTCGATAACTTAGTTTTGGACCACCTTGGTATACTAAAAATCATTGATTTTGGCTGTTCAACAGTATACAAATATCCATTTGAAGACACAGTTACTCATACCAAAGGTAAGAGAAAGAAAAGAAAAAAAAGACAAGGGAGACTGATTTGTATAGGCATTTATGGCTCAGATCCTTATATTGCACCTGAACAATATACACAACCTACTTACGATCCCCGTCTCTCCGATATTTGGTCATGCGGTATTGTTTTCCTCTGTATGACCATACGAAGATTCCCGTGGAGGATACCTCGTTTGACAGATCCCTCGTTCCGTGCTTATGCTACAAACCATAATCAACAGCAATTTAGACTTTTAAAGCTTTTACCACGTGAATCAAGACCTGTCATGGCCGGCATCTTGGATATAGATCCTAGTCGAAGATCCAATCTACAGACTATTTTAGCAGATAAATGGGTACAGCAGATAGATGTCTGTCAAGTCCATGAGCCAGGCAAGCGTCATGTTCATCATGTCCTGACGCTTTCTTCCTCAAGCAGTGGTCGAGATAATCTAGTGGTAGTTACACCTGAACCTCCTGGTGTGATTGCTGAAAAGGAAAAAAGAAAACGATCAAGTAGACCGGCTTCACCCTCAATACCTCATAAGGCTGTCATCAACGCAGCGAATCAGGCTGCTGCTGCTGCCGTTAAAAATTCAAGTTCAGAAGAGAGCAAAGATGTTTAAGCCAAAGTAATAAAAATTGTATATATATATATATATACGCACGAGTGTGCTGAAATACCTTTCTAGAAAAAGAATGAGGCTGTTTTCTATTTTATTTAACTCAACCATGTTTTCTAACATTGATTGTTTATTCGTATCACCCAAAAAAGGCGTATGTATGCATGATTGATATAGAAGCAAAACTCCTTTTTGTTTTCGTATCCCGTTTTATTTGTTTGTATAAATAAAGCTTTTATCACTCAAGCTTTTTCTTCTTCTTCTCTTCTCTTTTTTCATTTATTAATAGATTTTTATTTCAACATGGAAAAGTTTAAGGAGGTAAGTGTGAAAGAAAGAAAGGAGAAAAGGGGAAAATAGTGGGCTTATACTCTAGTAGAAAATTGCTGCCCTTCGTTCTGAGACAGAAGAAGCTAATGCACGCGCTGATGAATATGAAGCTCAAATCAAGCAACTTGAAGCCGAACATACTTCCAAAGACCATGAAATTCTCTCTCTTCAAAACCGCATCAAGGTCTTGGAAGAACAGTTAGAAACAGCTGAAGATAAAATCAAGACAATAAATGAAAAGTAAGTTTATTGAGTGTGAATGACTAAATAAGCTAATTATGTTTAGTTTTAATCAAGCCGATTTAAAGGCAGAAGAAGCGGAAAGAAAGGTGTCCAGTCTTGAACAAGAATTGGTAGACATGGAAGAAAAGCATGAACAATTAAAGGAATTACACAAGACAACTCAAGCAGAATTAGATGAGCTGACACGCCAATTTGATGATATGTAATAAAATACCCATTTTCTCTTAGTTTTTTCTGTTTTTATTCATCTCAGCCCGAATCTAGATTAATGTAAGCTAGATAGTAAGAATGCTTCTCTTTCTTACCTGAAACATACGCAACACTCTGCGTGTCTTTTTAACTCTTCCCCTTTCAACCTTGCTGGGTTCATCATCTTCGACTGGCTTGGGTTCTTTGACAATACCAAGTGCCTGTTTTCTGTAAAGCTCATAGGCAAACATGTTGGATTTAAGTGTATGACGGCCTTTTAATCGAGCATCGCCTTTCTGCTTCAAAATCAATACATATTCTTCTTCTTCTTTCTACTTGCCTTGATTTTCTCGACTTTGTTTACAAATAAACTCATACCGTCATGTCTACCCCATTCCCTTGACTTCAATTTGTTTCGAATTGTGCTTGCATAACTTTGTAAGGTAGGCAAGACTCTTACGGTCACTTTAAGGTCATGATCGGGTATTAAATGATCATGACGATGTACATATTTCTTGCCACTCATGGCCAATTTCTTTGCTGCTTCTATCGATTCTCTTTGCTTACCAGCAATAGCCAATGCAAATGGGTCTCCAGGTTCTACGGTAGGCTCAATAAACTCTGGCTGATATTTGCCTGAATGAATAGCCACTGTACAAAAGTAAGTATCACAAAAAAAAGGGGGAGGGGTCCTTACTGGCTACAATGTCTGAGTCATCGGTGTAGATATCTGTGCCCCAAATAGCTCTTTTCTTGACACGCACATTATCAAATGTCAAAAATCGTGCTGGCACACGAATCTCCATTAAACCATTCACACAATTTTCTAAATTGGGAAGTAACAAATGAGGCGAGTATAGTTGAAATCCCAGTGACTTTTCTTCAATGCCCTCGATGGATTTCCAGACTTGATCATTCTTGACAATGAGTTTAGGCTTACTTTGACTCACTTCTTTTGTAGGGACTGGCACTAATTGCTGGGCAGGCTTCGCGTCAGTCTTATTTCTTCCTAATGAAATAGCTTGATCCAGCATGGTAGAGAAAGCGGCAATTGAACTCTTGCGACGTTGTGTTGGCTGTTGCGCTTGACGAGCTACAGCAGCAGCTAATTTCTGTGTGTCTTCTTGGCTGAACGAGTTTCGATGGAATCCTCCTGAATGAAGCAAATTGCTGATATTAGCAGTAATGGCTGCCAGATTGCCAATGGCTGTTGCAGTTGCTTGTGCATTGCTACTTTGTTGTGGTTGTGATGGTTGTTGTTGTGACTGTGATGATTGGTTGGATCGTGCTGCGTTAGCTGCAACAGCAGCTAAAGCATTACCCAAAATTTCCGAAGGAGACACATCGGTCATTGACCCTTTTCGCTCGCCTAAATGACCAACATTAGGTAATCGAGGGGATGAAGACGAAAGTTGTTCAATCACAGATGCAGACACATTAGCACTACTGAGACGTCGTAAAGCAGCACTGATATCAGGTAAATTATTAAGTGCATTGGATAAAGAGTTATTAGTTGTATTTGTATTAGTGTTCGTGGTTTTTAAAGGAACTGATGGTATCGTTGTGTTTGTTGAAGAGAAAGATGTTTCTTCAGATTTAGGTTTTGGTTCCGTTGGGTGTATTTCGACAGGTTTGATTTCTTCTTCTGTTGTTTGCATAGGCTCTTCTTCTTCTATTGTGTTTGTCTGCACAGGAGGAACAGAGGTCAATGCAAACAGTAACTGTTCACTCGTGATGGAGTTGTCTTCAGCTGTGTTCTTTTCTAGCGATTCAGGCACAGACGCTACATAAATCAATCAGTACGACATTAAGGCATTGATAGTAGTTACCTGGTGAAGCTGTGACTGGCTTTAATTCGTCTGCTGACACCATTTTTTGTTCTTCTGTTGAGCTCTTTTCAACTATCACTACAACAATGTCATTAGTTTGTTTAAAAAAGCATGACTTACAAGTACTTGTCTTTTCTTCTTGAGACTCTTGTTCTGTTGAGACCACTAAAAAAGGATGAGTGTTTCTTTTCTATATTTTTTTTACGAGATGCATATGGCTATGTATATATGTATATATATGTTACCTTGAAGTGCATCACCACTATTACTACCTTCTAAAAGTTCGTTGATCGTATCAGCCTGGTCCTTATCAAGTAAAAGTGTATCAGGTAGTTGAGACTGCATGAGTTCTTTTGTTGGGTCAAGGGAGTCTTCATTGAGCTTTTGTCTTTTAGATTCACTTTCTAAAGCTGTTTCTTCTTCTGAGCGCTTAATGCCAATATTGTTTTCTTCCATAACTGCACTGATTCACGAGAGTAAAGGAGTGAGAAGAAAAGGGAAAGTATATACGAACATACTTTATTGCAAAAAAGACAACTTTTGGTTTGTTCATCGTGACTCGTTTTGGGTGCTTATTGCCCATCAAACGGCTGACTTATATAAAAGAGATGCCGTCACGCCTCTCATTAAAAGATGTATTTATTTAGAACACTAGTCTTCATCTTCAGATGAAATGTCCATATCTACACTATGATCATCACTTGTAAGCTGTGGTTTCTGCGTGGATTGTGTGTCTTGCGAATATGGATAATAATACAGCCAATTCTGATATTCTTCCCATTGTTTCTGCTGATATGTCTCCCATTCTTTCAACTGTTGATTGTATTCTACTTGGCCTGAATCATCATGAATATTGAGTCCAGGGTATTCTATTAGTTCTTCCTTCGGTATGAAGCCTTCTTCATCATTCCTCACTTCATTGCCATCACCATCATATATTTTTAGTATTTCTGGTTCTCTTGTTAAATAGCCAGGTGGAAATCCAAAGTAGCGCATATGCTTATAATACGGAGGTTCTTGATTGTTGTCCTTTATGCCCAACGCTTCCTTGAGTTTTTCAGACAATTGACCTGGCTTGAAGCCATGTTCTTTAGCAAGATCTTTTGGAGGTACTGACACATGTTCACGCCTCTTTTTTGCTATCCTGGCATTGTCTTTAGGTAAAGGACAATGCTGATATGCATGACCACTCTCTCCACAATTAAAACACGCTTGTGAATCATAAACCAAGTATCTATTGAACACTAAGCTCCCCCTTTTTTTGATAAAAAATACGAATGATACCTACGTGTCGTTTTCAGATTGTCGCTTCCCTAATGGTTCCATATCCAGCACATCATATTCATATAGCTGTTTGCCATCCTGAGTTTGAGCTCGAGAATGCTCATTATCAATGTAAAACCTACCATTATTGAATATGACAGGCTGCACCTCGAGATATTGATTATCAACGCCTTCTTGTTTGACAAATCCATACGGGTCTGTCTCAAAATATTCAGCGTGTTCTTTAAGGCCTACTCGGGAGAGATGACTGTTGTAATAGAAACGAGCTTGTTTGTCTATAGGTATACAATATGCAAGATATTCAAGAGGGTATTCGTTTAACACGGTGGCCATGTTTCTTAATAGGCTAAGAGAAACAAGACCGTCTTTAGATGCTGAGACAATTTGTACTAGGAACTTATCGCCATATTGAGCAGGATTTTTTAGGACATTGTATAGAGAATCAAGTGCTTGTTGACGTAAAGAAGACATAAAGAAAAAAAAGACGGCATTTGAAAACAGTGAGATTGCATTACAGATTGACCCTGGAAGGAAACAGGTACCACTCTTTATTTTTCCTGTTCTTTTTGTTTAAAGAATCTGACAGAAAGAAGAGTACACATAAGATTGAGTCAACATGTCTGTCAAAGACTTAAGGTAAGATCATATCCAGATGATCAGAGACTCACTTGATTAGGGAAAGCAATGTCGATGTTGACAGACAACGATTGTTACAAGGTAGATAACATACGATCCATGAGGCCTATCCTAACATTCATTAGCTAATAGAACTGTCATTGCTGCTTCAAGTGCTGCGGTAACATCTGTTTTGGCAGGGTTTCCTGTGAGTTCAGAAGGCATGTAAGAACCATCACTAATAATTTTTAGTTTGATTCCATTAAAACTCGCATGCAAACCCATTACTATACATCCATTCTAGATTGTGCCAAAGTAACCTATGCTGAAGAAGGTGCTCGCGGCTTTTTTCGTGGCATGATTCCACCACTCGTCACTGTCAGTATCATCAAATCCGTTTCCTTCTCCATTTATGAAGGCACTAAGAAACACTTGCTTAGCAATGGATTTCGCTTTGACAATTTAAATTCTGTAACACAAGTTGCTGCTATCGGTGGTGGTGTCAGTGGAGCCTTTATCGGTATCTTGAGTTGCCCTTTGGAGCTTGTCAAGATCCAACGTCAGTTAGAACAAATGATACTTAAAAGCGAAATAGAATCAGGCCGTGTATCAGCATCAGAAGCAGCCCCAAATCAGTCTTCTACAAGCTGGCATGCTGTGAAGCAAATTGTAAAGCGTAAAGGCATATTTGGCTTATGGAGTGGATTAGGTTGTCATTCAGGTAATTTAGATATATATATATATATATAGAGAGAGAGAGAGAGAGAGAGAGAGAGAGAGAGAGAAAAGATGACTCATCCTGCATTAGCCCGAGATGCACTGGGTACAAGTATTTATTTTGGAGGCTATGAGTCTATGAAATATATACTATCCAAACAGGGACAAGATGGAAGCCCTATAGTTCATTTCATGTCTGGAGGGTTTTGTGGTATTCTCAGTTGGCTTTTTGTGTTTCCTGTAGATGCTATCAAGACCAATCTACAGAAGGACATCATGATGCCCAAGCCGAAATATGCTGGTGTTCTAGACTGCACACGGAGATTGGTAAAGAAGAATGGCATCAAAGGTCTTTATAGAGGTCTTAGTGTGACACTTCTTCGAGCATTTCCTATTCATTCACTCAACTTTTTGGTTTATGAGCAGGTTCTCAAATCGATACCACCTTTACCATCCACAGTACACCACTAGTTATTTATTGTTTTATAGATAAAGTCTCCAAAGACAATTTTGTTCCATTGACTGCAATAGCCTATATAGTACGACATAGTTAACAAAATAAATGCATTTACCATAAAAATAAAATGTTTGAATAGATTATTTCGCTTTGTTGGAGCAGTTGGTCAGATTAAATAGAATATACTGACTTGATCAAGCTTACATTGGGCAAAAAGCTACTTTTATATATATATTGTAGTTTGAATAAATTGTATGTATCATTCGCTAGTCAATTCCATTGAGAATTACAATGCGATAGATGCATGAGATAGCTCATAATGATGCATTGCAATCAAATTACAACTATCAGCCAAAAAAAAAAAAATAGTGCAAAAGAAATGCTCTGAATTAATTTCATCCAATCATGCAAATGACATTGTGCCTTTTGCGCTGGATGTATTTTTTACTATAGATAAAACGAATAATAAAGTTGAATATGTGAATGTATTTCATGTAGTAGAGATATGAAACATATAAAATGCTTCAACGGGGGGGGGGGGAGATAAAACAAATTTTTTTCTTTTTCTTAGACATACAAAGGTAACACAAAATTTGTTTATACCTGCGTAAATACTTTAGGTACCTTCAAATAATGTTTACTAACATCTATGGTACCTTTGGGGTTGATTTGGACTAAAAAAAGTGACATGTCCAAAATGGTCAAAATATGCCTTCGACCAAAGGGTGCTACTCATAAAAATATTGAACTTGACAACTCTTTGATATTCTTTTTGACGCTACAAGATGAAAAATAAAGCTGTTCATAAGCTTAAATACCCAAAATAACCGCCAGACGCTCTAACTTTTGATCAAAGTGTTTGATTGCTACTTACACTATGCAGATGATGAGATGGAAACGAAAACATTAGAAACATTTTTGCCTATATTCTCAATACTCTAGCAGTAAATTTGCTATTATTCTTATTGTGATAGACTCAGAAGCTAAAGATCTATAGCTTTTGTCACTGCAACAAAGCCAAATAACTACGTCTTTATGCAGTTCTAACCAAAAGCTCGATTTTTTTAATGATTTTATTTGCCGCACATATTAGTGGTCTTAGGAGGGACCCACTAAAAGAGGTGCTCGGTAATTATTTATTGTAAGAGAATATAAAGAAAAACAAAATTGGTACGATAGTAAGAAAGTAGAAAAATATAAAAGGAAAGAAGAGCAGCTATTGCGAGGAAAGACCTCTCAAGATGAAAGGTCATTTTCAGCATAATTTGATAGCGAGTGCTACGAAGAACAGAGAGATAATGGAATGGTTGGTTCTGCATGGTATGGGTCCAATGGGCCTTCCAGATTTCAGAGAGACCGATCGAGGTTACCATGGCTACTGAAAGAGGACAATTGGTTTGAGACCGAATCCGAGAAAAATTGAAAGATGCAAGTGCATCAGAGACTAGATCCAGAGAGGTGCCTGGCCATAGAAATTCCCTGATCAAGGCATCCCAGAACGGAAATTTTTGGGGGCAGCGAAAGAAGAAATGGTACACAGTCTCCTGATCACCACACAAAATGCAGACAGCAGTAGGGAAGCGAGCAGGAAAAATCTTGGATAGAAATAAGCGAGCGGGAATCTTGCGAGTCAGAAATCGATACATCACATTTCTCTGCAATGTTGTGATAGGTATGCACCAAAAGTACTTCCAAGCAGCAGAAGAAACTTCTTGCCGAGCAATGATATCAGACAAGACAGCTTGTGTGATGACCTTACGGAAAGTATAGCCACCATTTTTGAGGGCAATGGAATTTTTATTGTCAAAAGGCAGTTTCAACATACGCACAAAAGAAAAGAAACCAAGAGACCGCTGGATTGCAGGATTATGCACAGGATTGTATAAGTCTAATGAAGTACGAACGAGGCATTGACCAAAGAATGGCTCCAGTTGACAATGATTTTGATTCACTGCTTGAAGGTATTTTCTAACACTACGACGGATATCCAAGGGAAAGGAAAAAACTGGTATTGGTGCCAAATAGTGATCCTGTGGATGGTACTCATATAGATAGGAAACTGCTACTGTACGTAGCTTGAGAGGCAAGTCAAAAGTGTCAGATGGCAAAACAATTGAGCGTAATGGTAGTAAAAGGCATTCGGTAGGGTTTAGCATGTATGGGTACTGTTTCCTAGGAATAGCATCCATTAACCGGCAGCACATTGTGACAGTGTTACTTGTCAATTGCCTGAGTTGGCCTGGGCGAGAACAAGGAAAGAGCAGACCCAAGAGCAGATGTTCAGTCTGAAGCAAAGCATGGGTATGTGCTGCTAGAAAATCTTGTACCAGAGAGCTTTCAGCTTGAGGACACAAAAAAGGATGAAGCCAATGGTAATACAGTGATTTCTGCTGAGAAAACAAGTCAAGAATGCCAAGGCCACCATGCCACTTTGGTGTAGTCATCGTTTGCCAGCTAATGCGAGGAAAGATTTGCCGGTTGACAAAAGAAGTAATGACAGTTCGAATGGTATTAAGGATTGCTTGAGTGGTAGGGATCACCCGCAAAATATACCAGCATTTAGACAATAGAAGCGAACTGGCAACTGTAGCTCTACCAACAACAGAAAGATTGCGTGAGGCATGAATATCCGCCAGTTGAGTCAGTGATCGAGTGAGGGACGAAAAAAAGTGAGCGCGCTGGTCCAAGGATTGGATAAGGGGAAAACCTAAATAGATAATGGGTTCAGCATCTGTACGGCACCATATCTTGGGAATGTCAATGGCTTGTAGAGTAGTCAGCCATTTATCATCTAGATTGTGGCCAGAGAGAGAGATTGTTCGCACTTTATGGTAGTTAATCTTGGCATTGGATGCTTTACTGTAGGTCTGCAAGTAAAACTGCATTCTGCGAAGGTCACGGATATTATGAAGAAAAAAGTAAAGTGTCATCAGCATAACTAAACAATTTGATAGCAGGTAAGGTGATAGCTTGACTAAAATCATTATGCTTAAAGCGATAGCCAGAAAATTGAGTGTCATCCAATATCGACTGGAGAAGTGACTCTAAGGCAAAATTGTACAAAATACAAGAGAGTGGGTCACCTTGTTTGAGGCCTCGGCGCTTTGGAACCAACTGCTTAGGGATCCAACCATTGATGATGATACAAGGCTCGATTTTAGATGTAGTGGGATGAATTGAAGTTACTTATATTTTAATCTCCGCATAGACACTTTATGTGCAGGATGCTTTGATGCCACTCTCCTGGATCGTTGTTTAATTTTTTACTCCAGTCTTTTCACATATCAGCTTTCCATACTGTGTAGTGAAGTAATAGTTCTGTACATTTAACTAAAAAAAAAAAAGAATGGATACCACTCTAGGCACACAGCATTACAGAGATAGCAAGCAAGAATGCTAGTAGTAGTGATGTAAGAGTTAATAACGAATTACAACAATTACTTTGTACTCATTGTAAAGACAATATACAAGAGCTCCAAGACCTTTAGTTGTTGATTTCTCGATCAATACTGATCCAATTCCATATCTACTTAAATTCGATGTAAATTATTGACTTCGTTTGCTGAGACATCGGCTATCTCATTTAATGCCTAGCAGCATTTATCCTGTGTAGTGTACATTTTGGATACGAGCTATGTGTTTCGTATTGTGCAATCTCTATACTGCGTCAAACCTTGTTCTAAACAAATGCATCAAATGTATATTATTGCTTTTTATTTATTTCTTGAAGAAATGTAGAGTAGGGTAATAAGCGAGCAAAAGAAAAAAAAAATACATAAAATATAAAGCATGTTATGCGTGAATAATTTGAGTGCGTAAATATATATGTGAGTATGGGTGGCTGTGTATGTGCGTGAATGACAAGATCTATTGAGTTGCTTTCTAGCGTGTTAACGCAACATTCTCCTCTTCCTTTTCTTCTTCCCATTCGAATTGATCTTCCATATCTTCAATATCTCCAATGTCAGATTCGTCTTCGAGATCAGAAACAAACTCAACATCCTATTAGACCAAGTCAGCATATAGCTATACACAGAGATTTTCTTTCTTTACCTCATCTTCTTCTTCCTCTTCTTCTTCTTCGTTCTCGTCATCTTCATCTGTTTCATCAGCTTCAGCATCGAGCTCTTCGTCCAAAATCTTTTGCCAGATCTCTTCATTCACATTCAATGGAGCATCACCATAAGCTTTGCTCTTTAATCTGTCAATCAATTCCTTTTCAATCGATTTTTCTATTCGTGCCGCGGCTTCAGCCTTGCGTTCACGATTAGCTTCACGTCTTTCCAGCTTCTTCTTGATACCAATAAGTTGAGGTCTGTCACTGTTTAAATGGTCAATACCAGCCTCTTTCTTAACATTCCTCCCACTTACTTTTCTTTAAGTTTTAATTTACGCATACGGATAAGGTATTGAGTAATCTTGGTGAGACGCTGCTTACATTTATGAGATAAAAAGTTGGGCCAGTATTGTAATTCTTTATCAATCTATAACGTCCATTATTACCTCAGTTTTTTTTTTTTTTACTTGTCCTGCAATATTTACCTGTGCCAAAGCTTGTGCGTAGTTCTTGGAAAGCTTCTTTCTTTCCCACATTTTGGCAGGTGAGTGTGCACGTTCAGGCGTCTTCATATACAAATAGACGATACCTTTATAACAGTCAATTGATATGCTTTTTTCCATAAACTGATTTCCGTACCTTTCTCTTCTCTGATAGTAGCATATCTACTATTAGCTAAAGGACATGATTGGCGGTTACAGAGACCAGTAACGTTGTACTGATTACGACAAAAGTTACCAGTAGGTGTCCTAGTTTATATAAATATATTTTTTCTGTAAGAAGAAAGTTCTACTTACTTGACTTTGTAAGAACAAAACTGGTGGTTAATAACCTGCCAAATAACTTCGTCAGATTGCATGATCCAAGAGAGGGAGTTTGGGTAATGAAAGAGGTATGCTTCTTTCTTTTTTTTTTTCGAAGGAAAAAGAAATATGTCAAAGAAATTGTGACAGTTTTTCATGTGGTAAAATTTCGAAGCCACCACTCTTCAGGACTTTGAAACGGCTGTGTGCATAAAAGCAAAGTGGTGTCTTGTTTTTAGTCTTGCAGTGCTAGAAAACTACATCCATTAGGGCTTAAGGATTTTGTATGGATAGACGTATTAGACATCCCATCTATTGCTAGCTAATAATTGAGTTTTTTTTATCCGTTGACTGACGTTCAAGAAAGTCAGTCAATGCTTTCTAATCCTTGAAGACGAACACAATCCGGAATAGAAGTTATTGCCATAGGCGATGGATAGTTTCTCATTTATTGTCTACTCAAAGCTATCCTCAGATGTGACTTCTAGCGTGAAATGACCTTTAGGAACAACGCGTGGTCAGATAATCATTGATTGTTCTACTGGTTCATATTACTTATAAGCATGGACTTTAGTAGGTATGATATGGTCCGAGTTGAATGATATAAGTTAATGCGTACCTTCCAAATATAAAGTCAATATCTAACGCAAGGGTTAGTTTGACTATAAAACTATGCTCGAGTGCTTTCAATTGCAAATAAATGTCTAGTCTCTGCTCAAATTGAAATAAAAGGCGGCTTATATGTGACGTTTTGCCTATTGACGACCAATGCGTTTGTACTGACATTGACCCCAGATATAGGAGTAACCATATATCTTTTTTCAAGTAACCTCATAAGGTATAACATCAAGACACCCTGAAAAAAAAATAACTCTAAATGTTTGGCTGCATAATTGGTTTAGTGATGTCTGTTTCACAAAAAAAAAAGACTTGTTCCTTTCCTCTTTAAAATGATTACACTAGAATATATAGCAGAAAAGCACATAAATTAAATAACATATACATTAGGTTTCAAAAACAGTAGAGGATCGCTTTATAATAACTGATAACAGTTACATGTTTTTCTTGAGATGGATTTCTTCAAATTTTACTAGTGTCCTTATAGGTCTTTTGTTTTATTGCCATTTTGATCCACTCTTAAATCAAAGGTAATTATTACTGAAAAATGATACACTGTTTATGCACTTGATGATTTTCTCAAAATGGAAAGAATAAGTGTGATTGTAATGTATGTCTCAAAAAAAATAGGCTTTGGTTTTTCTTTATTGTATGCCTTTTTTGGTGAACCGAGAAAAAAAAAAGAAGCGTTATTCTTCAAGTCTTTATTTACACAAATTCATAGATCTATGTAGACACAAGAACTTTATTGGAGAAGAAAAGTACATCATGTTATCTTGCTGAGTTATATCTTTTTTCCCCGCATTTTTTTTTTGGGATACAGGTCAAAAATCATGTCATGCTTAAAAAGGAAACAACCCACAGGCACTTTTCCAGGTACAAAACGTCTGTCATTCGTCGTTTTAGAGACACACATAGTCTTTTTGGGATCGCATAAAACAAACAATATATATACATGCAGGTCCATGTACTATGTTTATGATTTAGGTCCATAGGTCTCAGCTGAACGTGCTTTATTAAAGTGTGATGAAAATGATAAATACCTGTTTTGGGTTCACAAAGAGTGTTACATATACTGAGACTTTTACCGTGTTTACCCGCCAATTTAGTTCAAACTTAAAAATAAACAATAAATCTCTTGTCTATATGGACACACACATATCATTTATTTTTATATATGCTCCACAACATGTTTAACTAAAAGAGTAAATATTGTTTTATTCTATATAAAACTAGGCCAGCAGGTTGTCATGATTTAGATATTAAAAAAATAAGTAGAAGGATAAAGGAATTACAAGACATATTTTTAAGAAAAAAAAGGAAAAGAAAAATGGGTGTATATATATATATATATAAAAGAAACGTAGTGCTATTTCGATAGAGAAAGAAGGGAAAGGGGAATATCTTAAGGAAGGTAGTATCATAGTTTTTTTCTTTTCGTTTTACAACATAATGCTGCTTAAATTATCATTCAAAATGATATCAGAAACAGCCATCATGACATGTTGCAATAATGTTGTGTCTGTGGCATCTGTAAAATGAACATAGACTCGCTTGTTTGGCTTGTGATTCAATCGCTCAAACCGTGTTCTAAAATAGTTTTTGGCAGTTTCAAAGTTTTCAACATGACCTATGACTGTGAATACATCCACTAGAATCTTCTATACTTACCTTTATAGTCCGGAAAATATTTAGCAATAGGAGAATACGTAATCTTATTCTTAAATATATCAATCTTGTTCAACAATAGAATCATGGAAGTCTTTACAAACCAGTGCGAGTTACAAGTTGTGTCAAACAACATAAGTGCTTCATGCATCTATATCATTGTTATTAGACGACATCACGTTGTCTTTACAGTATACCTGATTCTATATCAAAGTAAGTTAATATGCTATATAAAACTATTCAGTCTTCTTACCGAATCTCTATCTTCAACCAAACATTGATCATAACCACTAATGGCCACGACAAACAAAATGGCTGTCACATTGTCAAAGCAATGAATCCATTTCTTTCGCTCACTTCTTTGTCCACCCACATCAAACATACGATACGTAAGTGGGCCAAGATGAAATGTAGTCTCGACAATGCCTGTTGTCTTTGCTCTACAACGAATAATATCCTGATCTGAAGGAACATAGTCGGGTTCCCAAAGCACATCCAATTTTTCGAAAAAGTAAGAAATGTTGTCATGCAAAGCGAACAAGTTTCCTTTTGAGATGGCTTGTTGAATATTTTGGTCTTTCCATAACCGCTTCAAGGGCTCATAATAAATTTCAGGAAAAGGTTGATTTTCTTCTAATGAAGGTGTTTCAGAAAACAAGTGTATGTAATTCTAATAAATAAATAAAAAAATGAATAAAAGCGCCGAAAAAAAACTTTTTTTTTTTACCTTTAAAGATGGATCAGCAATATCTAATTGCAAAACTTCCAATGCTTCTATTAAGGTTTGTACAGTTGAAAACAAGTTGAGAAATACGACAACTCGGAATCCTTCTCTTTCACTGTCTTTGAATCCAGAGGCATGTATAAGCCTCATTTGTTTCAATACAGTTGATTTTCCGGATTCACCAGCACCTAAATTGCGTCAATATATAGACATCCAATGTGATGACTAACCAAGAAGTAATAGCTTGACTTCTTTCTTCATACGCTTCTGGTCAGCCTTAATCTGTTTATCAATGCTGCGGCTTACAGCCGTCGTCATACTCGAAGTTGCAGTTGAATTGCCTTTCAAACTGCTTTTGATATTTCCCATAATAGAGCTTAGAATGAATGAAGAAGGAAAGAATAATAAAAAAATAAGAAGAAAAAAGAAAAAAAAAAGTACACAAAAAGAAGTTTTAGGTGGTTGTAAACTTTCTTTTTAAATGCTTTTTTTGTATAACAATTACTCACGCACAGATTGATAAGCTCATTCAGTGTGAGTTTTCATATGTTACAAGTAAACCAAATAGAGTAAGTACCGCAAAAAACCAAAAGATTAAAAATAGATCTTGGAATTGTCATTCATCTCATCAACAACGATACTCGGAATAAAGTGTCCCTTTTTTTTTCTCTACATCCAGGCCTGTCTCACGGTAAATGTCGGTATTAACCCAATGCCATGGTATTCCAAACTAACAGATATCTTTATGTGGGCGGTTGGCCCAAAGTAGGGACACTTTTATTTCAAATGCTTGTTTCTACATAGTCAATTTACTTTATTAAATGCAATTTATGTTAGTTTTTCTTTTCTTCAATCATGTTCCAAGTATCTCTCCAGATAAGAGAACCATAGTTTTCAATAGGTCCCGTCAAACCGAAAGAAATAGGTGCAAAATGAATAAAGGTAAAGATCACAGCAAGATAGACAGGCACAAAGACAGCGTACTGAACGGCCTTTGAACTTTGACGAGTGAAATGATCCATCAAGAAGGGAACCATGATGATACTAAAGTAAAGAGCGGGAAAATAGTGATGCAGGTAGGTAACACGACCCATGATAAAGAAGGGAATGTAATGAAAGAACCATCCAAGGAACAAAGTCTTGCCAGCATAGAAAAAGTGATCCCATTCAGCATGGGTCAAGTCAAAGATCTTGCGTTGCATGCGCACAATGTAAAAAGCAGTCGTCAGACAAAAGACGCCAATGGAAGCAATGGAGAGCCACCAGACAACAGGATTACCCAACAAGTAATATTTGATATCGTTTTCTCCCCAACCACACATGCGAAGACCTACAGTCACAAATGGCCATTCAGAAGGAACAGACGAGAGAATATCGTACTTGTCAGGATCAGGCGTCAAGGCATTATTAGAGGTCCACATGGCCACATTCAATGTAATAAAGTCACGGAAAAAGTGGGTCTTGTAAGCATTGGGTGGAGCAGGAGGTAGCTTTTCGTTCCAATGTTCTTCTACGTTCCACATGGCATGAGGGTTGTCTGTGTTGTTGTTCTTGTCACAATAGACTTCAGTTTGTTTGAAACCCCATTGAGGCAAAGTCGTACCGTCTGCTGTCAAAAGACAACCTAAATGCTCATGACGAAGACGAAAACGTGTGGTCAAAGAACGAACACGGTCCTTGCTGTGATGAACAAAATCATCCACAATTTCAACCTTCCAATTGTCTTGGTTATCGCCTACAGTATCGTTACCATAACAGCTTACTTCCCATTGAGAGGTCGTCAAGGGCGCATTGACAGGATGACTATGTAAATTACGACCTGTGGAAGTATGTTGAAGACGAACAATATCACCATCTTGAATGAAACGTAAAAAGCTTTCATCTTGCTCATTTTCATAGGCATCCACATCATACTCTCGAGGAGGGCGAATCAACCAATGATTGTTGTCATCTTTATGATGATAGCATGTCACTTGTTGTTGTTTAGAACCTTCAGGGTAAGTCTGGACATGCGAGTGAAGTAAACCACCACCATAACCAGCATTTTTGATCGTCAATCGAGATCCATAAGCAATTTCTAATCTTATCAGATCAAATAAAAATGATAAATGATCACTTACCAAGAGGATTTTCAGTCATGGAGTTTCCTTGTAAGTTAGCTTGGAAAAGAGAACTCATTTGTGCGTCACCAGGACCACTTTTGTACAAGAGACCGAAATGTAATACAAAACTAAAGATGTAGATACAAGCAGGGATCATGATCAAGCCAAGCACACGGGAAATCCAGTGGTGAAGGTATGTTTTCTTGGGCATTTGTAAATCGCCCCACATGTTCCAGAGATCTTCAATTGTATAGACACCAACAACAGCAACAGCAAACAAACCAACCCATTTCACACTCAAAACACAGCCCAAGGATGCACCAGTCAAACAGAGCCAAGTCCACCATTGAGGAGTAAATGCCCTAAAAGAATTTAAATTAGCAATTAAATATGTTTTAACCAGCGACATCAATCTTACTGGGTACGCAAATTATGAAAGACAGTGAGTGTATAAAGAGAAGTACAGGTAAAGAAAAGAAGCATTGAGTCCAACAATATAAAACGACTGATTGTTAAATAAGCATTATCTATCTTGATCATAAGCGAATGTATTCCATATGTATATATACAATGAACTTACCCAATAAAACCATAGTGGCAGCCAAGAGAGCGGCTTTAGTCGACATTTTTAATTGAACAGCTGTAAGGTAAGCAATGGGAACCATCATGGCGCCAAAGAACGCGTTAAAGATACGCATGACACCATAGTTAAGATTTTCAGGGTAAGTAGCACCCGATTCAAAACCGAATGAACCATCATAACCAGCTAACCAACCTGAAAATCCAACCAGAATTTTACCAAGAGGAGGATGGACATCGAAATAGAAATCATGATTTAAATAGTGTGATCCAAACTGAAATAAAGAAAATTAAGCTTACACACTTCTCTCGCTATTTACTTACTTTGCCAAAATGTGCCTACAAATAAGGAGATAAATCAGCCTCGATGTATCTATTTTATGTTACTTACTTCGTCCCAAACCACTTGGTTACTCAACGTGATCTTTCTGAATCTTGTCCAAAAAGACAAGAGTGTTAAACCAAGAGTAATGAGTGTGTGTTGATTCTTTTGAAGAAATGCAATATTCTAATCAATTCACGCGTCAATAAAGAATTATCTTTTTGTTTATTGTGCATATGCTTGCCTCGTTTGAAGAATAAACCACTTGAGGTTGCAGTGATCGAGGATTCTTTTCTTTCAGGTCGTCATTATCCAAAAGCGAATAATTGACTGCCTGTTTTTCAGACATATTAGGAATATGTCTTCTTTTCATAGTAGTCGCCATACTGAAAGCAAAGTGAAAAAAAAAAGAAAAAAATAATAATAAACGTGTGTTAGAATTACATTTTAAATATCAATTTTGTGTTACCAACTATAATTATTTTCTGGGCAATTGTAAACAAGAAAGTATTTGTTTGATAGAATACATATATTCATTCATTCATTCATTCTTAATTTTACATAGTTAAATTCATATAGCGTTGTTTGGGTGTCTAAATAAATAAATATATATATATCTTTTTATTGCTAAAAAGGCACATTACAATTTTTGATTATTTATAATCTCCTATTGATTTTACAAGTCATCCTTCTCTTTTTCTTCTTCTTTATCTTTATCATGGCATGTGGACATGAGTATGCAGATGAGCATACGCCTCTTGTTAGACCTAATGGCGTCCTCAGTACTTCTTCTTGTTCTAATCTTGCAGAGAGATCTCAAGTAACCAACAAGTCAACCAAGAGAAAACTAACCATAGCAACCACGATTGCACTGATGTTCTTTGCTACTGAACTTGTTGCTGGTTATTTCGCAAATTCATTAGGTACTATAAATCATAATCAAAACAATGTGACTCATTTCTAATTTTAAGCTTTGATGTCGGATGCTTTTCATTTGCTCTCGGATGTTGCGAGTTTTATTGTAGCACTTGCTGCCATCTATTTGGCAGAAAAGCCTCCTACCAAAAGTAAGATACATCTGTAAAGATAAGATATGAACCATTTATTATAGAGCATACCTATGGATTTCATCGAGCTGAAGTTATTTCTGCCCTTGTTTCTGTATTGACTATTTGGGTCTTGACAGGTTTCTTAGTATTAGAGGCTATTGAGAGAATTCGAGCACCTCAAGTGATTGATGCTAGATTGGTAAGTAAGAAAAAAAAATTTTTTTAAATATTTTTCTGTAACATTTCTGTATGACAAAATCATAGATGTGCATCACAGCCACCATTGGTGTTTTAGTCAATATTGTGTAAGTAAAAGACCGAATAATTACATGTATGTTTCTAAACTGCAACGAAAGCCTTGCTTTTGTATTAGGAGGACATCATCATCATCATCATCATCACGATCATCATGAAGAATCGCATACACATCATCACAAAGTAATATGCAAAAAAAAAAAAAAAAAAAAAAAAAAAAAAAAAAAAAAAATATATAAAATTAACTCTTTTTTAGGATGTTAATATTAACCTAAGAGCAGCAGCACTTCATGTCATTGGTGATTTGCTAGCATCAATTGGTAAGAAAGAAAAAAAAAAGACGTAATCATGTACTCATATAATTTAGGCGTATTGATTTCCTCCATCATTTTGATTTTCAAGCCCGAATACACCATTGTGGATCCAATCTGTACATTTGTATTTTCCATCATTGTACTCTACACAACCTATTATCTGGTAAAAGACTCTATTGCTGTCTTAATGGAAGGAGCACCAGGCCATATTCAACCTGAATCTGTTGAAAACTCCCTCTTGAAGATTCCAGGCGTCACTGCTGTTCATGACTTGCATATTTGGACCTTGAGTCCAGGCAAAAGTTCACTTACAGCCCATATCACTGTCTCTCATGAAAAAAAGAAATATTATGATGATATTCTTGCCCATAGTCAACAAGTGATTTGCGATACATATGGTATTCACCACTCTACACTTCAGATTGAATCTGAAAAAGCCAATTTTACTAGTCATTGTAGACCTGACATGTGTTCACCTAGAAATTAAAATATTGTGTAACTACACGGAAAAAGTAAGGGTTTTTTTTTAACTTTACGGACAATTTTCATGTAAGAAATGTACCAATCAAATTCATATTCATGTGAGAAAAGTCGATCTCTGTACACTCCGACCTTTTTTTCCTTTTTGTATTTAAAGGTATAACAAAGCAAACATTTTTTTTGTATTCTTCTCTTTATTTCTCTCTTTTTCTTTAAAAAAAATAATGCCTCGATTTATTGGCTCTATAGACCAAGGTACTACTTCTACAAGATTCGTTATCTTCAATGAAAAAGGACAAATTGTTACTTTTCATCAAATGGAATTTGAACAAAGCTATCCTCAGCCTGGGTAAGATTTAAGGAGAAAAAAAAAGAGAAGAATTTTTCCTAACGATTTTGTAGATGGGTTGAACACGATCCTTATGAATTATTAGACTCTGTTCATACATGTATTGAACATGCCATTAGTAAATTAGCACTGATGGGCTATGATGCTTCAGACATTGAATGTATTGGCCTTACCAACCAAAGAGAAACACTCATCACTTGGGATGCTCTTACAGGCCATCCTTTGTATCCTGCTATTATTTGGAGTGATGCACGTACCATTGAGACTGTGGAAGAACTTGCCAAGAAGTCTGATAAAGGTGTTGATGCTTTAAGAGATGTGTGTGGTTTACCCTTAACGACATACTTCACTGGTGTGAAACTTCGCTGGCTTCTAGACAATGTTCCCGTTGTGTCACAGGCTCGAAACCAAAACAGACTTCGTGTTGGTACTGTGGACACTTGGTTGATTTATGTAAGAACTACTTTTTAAGGCTAGTTGAATTCTCATTGAACTAAATATCATTTTCTATAGAATCTTACTGGTGGTTTAGATCATGGTGGAGTTATCGTCACTGATGTCACCAATGCCAGCAGAACCATGTTGATGGACATCAACACACTCAATTGGAGCCCTAAATCCATTGAGTAAGTTACTTGACCTTGATTTGATTTTTTTAGCTAACACATGATAGATTCTTTGGATTCGAACAAGTCTTATTACCCAGAATTGTTTCATCTTCTGAAGTGTATGGTACCCTATCAGAAGGCTCGCTTAAGGGTGTCCCTATCGCAGGCTGCTTAGGTGATCAACAAGCTGCTCTTGTTGGCCAGCAATGTTTCCAAGTAGGCGATGCTAAAAACACATACGGCACTGGTTGTTTCATGTTATTCAATACCGGCTCTAAACCCGTACATTCCAAAAATGGTCTTTTGACGACCGTGGCCTACAAATTTGGAGATGCCCAACCCGCTTATGCTCTAGAAGGTTCTGTTGCTGTTGCTGGTTCATCCATCAACTGGCTTCGTGACAATCTTGGTGTGATTGCAAACACGACCGAACTCAACGAATTGGCTTCTAAGGTGACTTCTACCAGTGGTGTCTATTTTGTCACTGCCTTTGCTGGTCTCTTTGCTCCCTATTGGCGATCAGATGCTCGGGGCACTCTTTGTGGTATCACACACTTTACGAAACTTGAACATATCTGTCGTGCTACCTTGGAGGCTGTATGTTATCAGTCGCGTGCGATTCTGGAAGCCATGAATATGGATGCTCAATCGCCTCTTCGATCCCTCAAGGTCGATGGTGGCATGTCAAATTCTGACTTGGCTATGCAAATTCAAGCTGATGTCTTGGGTATTCAAGTAGACCGTCCTTTGATGCGTGAGACAACAGCCCTTGGGTCTGCTATTGCTGCTGGTTTTGCCATGGGTATCTGGAAATCATGGGAAGAATTATCAGAAATCAACAAAGAAGGCAGAACTTATTTCGAAAGCAAGATTTCTGATAAAAGACGCAAGAAAATGGTCAATGGCTGGGAACAAGCTGTGAAACGTTCTTATGGTTGGGCCAATGCAAAGACAACTGCACCTACTCATGATACTGTTGTTGTTGAAGCTTAGATTTTTGTTACATATTTCATTTGTCTTGTATTATAATTTTATACCCTTATTCATTCCTTTTTTTTCAATAAAAAATAACATTTAAATAAGTTTTGGTTTATAAAATACATTGGTTTATTATGTACACAATAGAAGAGACAAAAAAAAAGAGAAAGAGAAATTTAAAGACCCTTGTCTTCACCTTCAGAAAGGATCTTCTTGACAATATCATCAACATTGGTGGTGTTAAAAGTGCTTTCTAAAAGACCCTTGGAAGGACTAATGTATTCACCTGTGTTACTCTTGTTGGTGGTAGTAAAGACATCAAAAGATTGAACAACATCGACGAGAGGCACAGTCTTGTCGCTCTTCCACTTGGTGACCATATCAGCATTAGCAATGACAAAGAATTCGTTACTGTCGGCACCCTTGTAGACAACTTTGACGGCGTGATCAGAAGGCATGTTTATAAAATAAAATAAAAGAATAAAAGATGTATATAATGTTCATGTCAATTTCGTGTTTGACTTTTTATACTTTGTTTGACACGTCATTTTCACAAAATGCATAGATTGAAATGACGTTTGCATGAAATCACTTTTATGAAATCATCATTAAAAAAAAAAGTTGCTCCGCGTAGAGATTTAGTGACACATACATAATTTTTATTTCCTTGGAAAACTAACAAGACCTCTACAATTGCCTTGTTCCAATACATTTGTGATCTCATAATTGCTTTTGCCTCTGACATAAAAATTTAGGCTTACTTCAGACAGACTTCCTCTGACACAGTCTAATTTGGGTTCAGCACCAAACGTACTTTTAATAGCATCACGAATGGTCTGAACATTGTAAGAGCGACCAGGTGTAACGCCGTTCAAGCTATCAAGCTAATAAGTAATCTGCATAATCTCACGTATGTAACTCTTACTTGAGAGCACCGTAAAGATCGAATTGATCACGAAGATCAAGTGTTTTCTATTGATACGGTTAACCTTTTTTTTTTTTTTTTTTTTTTTTTTTTTTTTTTTTTTTTGAATATGTTTGTTTATACTGTACCTCAAAATAATCAAGCACATCATCGTATTTTTTATAAGACGAGCCGTAACATTTAGGTCGAAGGGTGCTGACACAGGTACCATGTTTTGTCCATTCATGTGACCAGAACCTATCGCGATTGTTAGCAACCACACACACTCTTTTGGTAAACATACCAGTTGTGGTCACCTTTGTTACTGGGCCAAAACGTAAGCATACGGTTATAGAGTGTAGAGTTCATTGAGCGAATAATAGTGCCTATGTTGTTGGATCTTCTACTAGCATCACAGCCTCGAGAAGGTCCATATCCTCCTGAACTTTTTTTTTGACATAAATGAACATGCAAACAATTAAATTCAATCTTACCAAGTATCGGGCCATAAACCTATACATCTCTATAGATTAGAAACGAGTACATACATATATATATATATATATTTATATATATATTAACTTAGTTACCGTGAAGTGTGAATTCGTCAGCAGGACCATAGCCTGGATACCATTGTTGAGCTAACACAACCAAGCCATATTTAGGTGAACAACAAGCATCCACAGTACCAGACCAATGACAGGATAAGGTGTCAGCTATTTACTTGAGTCACTTCTTTTTACGAAAATTTTTGTTACGCTTACCTGGACAAGAAGGAGAATCGTACTGAGCACTAACAAGGCTCAAAGCAATAAAGAAAGGCAAAAAAAGTTTCATGATAAAGAAAAGAAAAAGAGAAAGAAATAGTCTGGGAATAGATATTTAAGCGTGAACAAGATAAGGCATGAGCGTCACGATGCTTTTACCATGTCCAATCAATGCAAAAGCATATTTGAGCATGATCAAATGGCTTTGTTGGTTGGAGTTACGTACAAGGTCGATCAAGGACATATATGCGCACAAAGAAAATGTTGGTATATGTTTCGCAGACATAGGTTATTACACCAAACGGAAAAATTATTCGCGCATTTCTGAAAAAGAAAATTTAGCGTAGTATTTGAAAAAAAATTAGCATGCTTGTGTATGCGCAAAATGCGTGAGTTTATTAAATAGGTCTGCGTTGAAGGCAATCTTCAAATTTGGCAGCAGAGTATCTACAGAAGCCTTTAAGATCACTGTACAAAATTCTATTACAAGCATCTGCAATTCTCGAAGTCAATGTCTCCTCTTCCAAAAGCTGTTCCCTCTTGAGTTTGCTTTTGCAAACCGACCAGAATTGCTCAATGGGATTAAGCTCAGGCGAGTAGGGGGGGGAGGTATACGCACTTATAGCCTCGGCTCTCAATGAGATTCTGAATATCTTGATGCTTATTAATAGGAGCATTGTCCATGATCAAATAATGGCCACGGAATTCCTCATGACGATCCATGACATCCAAAACACTACTGATGAAATTGAAGTAATGTCCAGCAACTGTACCACTGTTACTGGCCACGTTTGCATTCGAACCTCCTGCTGCTTTTCTTTTCTTTGATGAGGATAATGCTCTTGGTCTTCTTACACTAATGTTAACAACACCAAAAGGCGAGATGACACCCAAAATGGTAGTAGTTTTTGCTCTTGTTTTGGGCACTTTCACGCTCGCACGCTCGCCTTCTTTGGACCAAGAGAAATTTCTCTTAAGGTTGATATGGAAAGCAGCTTCGTCAATGAACACACAGTTGCTAGTGAAGTCCATATCTGTTTTCATCCATCTCTTCACCCACTGATAGCGCTTTTCGATTTTTTCAGGGCTGTTTCTCTCGAAAGCTTGGAAACGAGCCTGCTTGAGGGTAATCTTACACTTATCCTTGACAAACTTGTTGAAACCGCTTTTACTGATATCGAGTTTGCCAAATTTTTCTGTCAATACGTCAAGCATGTCGTCCAATGTAATGGAATTTATGTTCTCGTCTGCCCATTCGATCATGAAATCTCTGTGCTCATCAGTTAAAATGGGCGATCTGCCTACAGGTCTTCCACTGCCTGTAGCCCTTTGGATATACTCCTGAGGATCTTTGTTGTTCTTGGCTACCCAGCCTTGTGCTGTTCGAACATTAATGTTGAGGGCCAAGGCAGCAGCACGAACACTCATTCCTTTTCCTTCAAGAAAAAAGACTTTTCTTTTTCAGCATCCTTGTAGTGCTTCTATGCTTTTGTTCTCGCAGGTGTTTGCTTCAGCTCTGCAGGTAACTCAGCTTTCTTTTCGATCCCTTTCTCGGGAGGCTTTAAATCTGTGTATCTATCGTAGTCTGTTACGCTTTCGACTGGATACATCTCGTTGTCAATTTCCATTTCAAACTCTACAACTTCATTTCCTTCAATGTCATAGTGTTATTCATTTTCGTAAAACTACGCCATTTTTTTTCTGTTGAATATGCTATTTTTTTTTCAAATACTACGCTAAATTTTCTTTTTTTTCTGTGCGATTTATTTTTTTAAAAGTACATCTCCCTTTTTCTTGGAATTTCTAGGTCCGTTATTTGCACAGCATAAACTTGAAATTGTTGCAAACATCATCTGACAATCCTTAGGGAATGTAGTACATGCCGGCCTTAGACTACCCAATCATCTCGAATGAATTTCTCGTATGTTGTTCCCCGCACTCGGATACCGGATAAATTCCAAACCACTAAGCTTTTTATTATTATTATTTTTTGGATGTATACAGAAAGAAGAGGGGGGGGGGAATATAAAGTATTTACATTGATCATTGTTTTTTTGTTTTGCAAAGAAAAAAAAGTAGAGAAGAGTGGTCAACAATAAATAAATAGAATGCTTTTTTTTCTGAATATGCTGCTTTTCTTAAATGGAATCAAGATAATTGAGATCGATTGACTTGTTTTTCACGAATCATTTGCAAAATGTGTTGCATTCCTTTACGGGCCTAGAGAAAGAGAACAGGGTTAGGACAAACAATACTACAATGATGATTTTACCTTGGCCGCATTGGCAATAAAAGAACTTTGTCCAAAGCCTTCGATACGACCTGTCATGCCCCAGCCAAACTTGGATACAATACGAGCCTCAGTCTTGCATGAAGTCCATTCTGAATTTTGTTCGTGTTGTCTAAAAGTTTGGGTCTCGACAACTTGCATGATACGGACATGATTCAAGTTCTTTGTACGAGTAACCATAACTTTTGATTTAGGATCGACTTCTGATTCTTCAATAACAAAAGCTTCAGAGTTTTTCAAGAACTATATTTTGTTCATTAGAAAAAAAAATCAATGTGCGTATGATATTTACAGATTCAGGGAACCATTTAGGTGCTTTTCCTTTTTTCAGTACAAGTCTGGTTGTTTTCAATACACCATTGTGATCTACATAGCGATCCAATACATCCACAGCAAGAACTATGACAAAATGATTAAGAAAAAAAATTTTTTTTTAAACATTGCTCTTACCATGTGAAGCAAAAGGGTTGGGATATCGTAACCAAAAAGCAAAAGTTACATTTTGCCATTGATAACTATTTTACAAAAGATTGAATTAGATGTCATGTTGTAAATGACCATTGAACCTACTCATAATTAAATACGTGTTGATAGAATTTGACCATGATAAAAAAAAAACGAATGAGAAAAAAAAAAGAAAAAAAATCGATGACAAGAGAAAAAAAAAGCAACAAGGGTGAAACCAAGCCGAAAACAGAAAGACTTGGTTTGAATAGAGTTTGCTGTACAAATAAGAGTGCATTACTGTGACTGTCTAAATGTCTCTAGTAGTACCAATATTTGATTGGCTGTTTATCTGGTTCGGTCATTTATTTCCTCCTGTTTGAATTATTCAGCAAGACACAATTTTCTATCTCTTTCCTTTCTTTTATTTTTTTCTCAATTATGTCTATTGCTTCAGAAGCGCTTCAACTGACTTTTAATGATTCTGCTTTGGATCTATTAAATGCAGCTATTGCTAGTCACCATCAAGTGAATATTGAAGACAGTCCAGGACTGATTGACACTAGTTCCAAAATAATCAATTCAGAAGAAGATTCACCAAAATCATCACCTACAAAAAAGAAATCTTCAAATGGTAAAACTATTTAATTATTTACACTTCTTTTTCTAATGTATGTGTTCTAGCCTTACATGCTAAGAGAGAACTTGATAAAGGTAAAAAAAAAAAAAGAAGCCAATCGGGAAAAAGAGATTGTATATTTATTTGTTGATATATAGATGAACAAACCTCAACAGCTGCGCCCAAACGTGCGGGACGCAAACCATTGGACAAATCTGCTACAATTGTAAATATTATACATATATATATATATATATATATATTCTCATACGCTTTGTTTGGTCTAGGATGCTCAGCTGGACCCCAAGCAAAAGAGAAAAGCACAGAACCGTGCTGCTCAACGTGCTTTTAGGGACCGTAAAGAAAAACATGTTGCTGAATTACAAGCTCGTATTGAAGAACTAGAGGCCCTGAATGCAACAAAGGATGAGGATCTCGTCAAAGAAAATTCAAGATTAAAAGAACAATTAAAGAAACTTCAAGAAGAAAACTATGCACTCAAAGGAGCTCAATTTACGTTTGAGTTCCCTGTGACTGAGCATCAACACTCATCGTATCCTGTTACCAATGAACCCATTCAACCTTCCAACTTTTATCAGACAAGTAGCAGCAGCATGAGTAGTGGTAATAGTTACAGTGGAGAAGATGGCGCAAGCTCCTCAGCTGAGCAATCTCCATTGTCCAACACAAATACACATGAAGACGATTCTGCTGATACTAGCTTATTTACATCCACTCCATTACAGTTTGGATTGCAACCCGCTAACAACACACTTGATTTCTTGGCCGTATCTGATTCAACGTATGGTCTTGGCAATGGGTTTACCACAAGTCAAAACTTCCCTACAAGCAATGATAATAACTTGGGCTTCCCTACAGTGGATCTCTTCCATGGCAAAGATGACTTGTTTTCAAACTACCAAGTACCTTCTACCAGTAACTTGAATGATGACTTTTTATTTGCTGATGAAGACTTGACCAATCTATTTGGCTCTACAGACGATCTCTTTGGTGGTAACCAGTTCTCATTAAACGCACAATTTGGTCTGCCAGAGACACCAGCTATTCGTCGTAACAAGATCTCAGCTGAAAACAAGAAGCGCTTGATTGAAAAGATGAAGAGTGGACAAAAGGAAGGCAAACATGTGTATCAAATCCATCAAGAAATGGTACAAGAATGTCCTGATTTTGATCTAGATGCTTTATGTAATGATCTCAAGAAGAAGGCACAATGTAGTAAGAGTCAGTTTCTAGTTACAGACCGTGAAGTGGAAGCTTTTGTAAAATGTCTAGATCATGTTTAATTACCTATTTATATACACACACCAACCCATCCACACACACACATATATACGCACATACTCTCCTTCCCTCTTTTTCTTTTCTCTATTATTATTCTACATATATATCATTTCATTATCATAAGTACTTTGTTGTAAATCAAAATAAATCATGAACATCCTCATTATACTTGAACAAATAATCATATGTTTATTTATACTGAGAAATTTAAAAGAGAAAAAGAAAACTTAATAAATGACTCTTTTGTCAAGCTATAGATAAGAGTTAGTATTGAACAAAGCAATGATAATTTACTTGCCTTAATCACAATAGGTGGTTCATGCGTATTTGGTCTAGAAATTTCTGCTAATTCTCTTCCAGCCTAAACAAGATGGTGAGTCAATCAAAAACAGACAAACAAGATACTTACACTCCATGTTCCACCTTGAATCAATTGACTGAGAGAAAGAAGCTTTTTACTCAGTCTAAACGACTGTCGAACTCGCTCAGCAATCAGGTCTAGATAGGCTACAGTCAATGCACGCCATTCTGTGACCACTGGATCCGACATATCAAACATCGGAGCGACTTCAACTTTAGGCTGGTAAGGTAATAAAGAGTTGGCATGGTAATTCTTGATACCTCGTTCATAATCACTCGGTTTTAAAGTCAAGAAGCCAAAATCAATCAAGAAACCACCGTTACAATAATCAGGCAAAGGTGTGAGTAGATCTGTACCTTCAATCGTGGCACCCAAGAGTTTTTCCATGGGTTCAATAATAGAGAAGACAATCCATTGAGATAGTTTGTGGAAGGAAACCAAGTTGGTGTTTTCGTCGTTGGAAATAGCAGTACAGGGCCAAACATCGCCTAGACCAGGTGTGCCACCAATGTTTTCTTCAGATGCCCAAATTTCACCCATTTCTTGAACTACTGGCCAAAGCGTTTCAATGCTAATTAAGGGACCCTTTTTTGTCTTGATGGTTGTAGGATGACTCAGTAAATAATCTAATTTTATGAGTAAAATGATACACTCCCCTCTTTTTTTTTTTCTTACCCATTAAATTGCCTGGCCTTTGAATATCTTTACCAAAGTAGTCTTTACGGTTTTGCAGCACTTGACCAAGATGATTTAATACTTCATGACGTTCTCGAATACCAACAAACGAATTGGTTTCAGTGAATTGTAAGCCATTGGTAAGGGATTCAAGTGACATGTTCAACAACGCTTCAGCTATTAAAAAAAAGTAAGATAAATTATGCAAAAAAAAAAAAAGAGGTTACTTACAGTCAACTCGATGGGGTTGAGTAGGATCACTTGAGAAAAACCCCTTCATGAAGAGATCCAAGATAGCAATGGCAATACCATCCTTTCGCTTGAACACTCTACCTGTAGAGTTTTCAGCATAAGTCCAGGTCTGACAAGGCTTCATGTCCATCAGACAAGCGATGACCAGAATATCAATCAGTTTTCGTGTTTGCTCAAGAGCATTTTGACCAAGACTTGTCCAGGTTTGGATCAGATTACCGAGACGAGGTCTTCCACCAATATCAAAGTGGCGCCATCGACCATACACTGGGATATCTGAGGGTGTATCATAGTCTCTTTTGATGATTGAAATCACAAATTGTACCATTTCATCCAGTTTTGAGGGATCAATATCAAAGTGTTTTAAACGATTGCGTGTGGCTGCTTCTTGAACTTTGTAGCATCTTTCACGGACAGAGTTTAGACTCAATAAAAAGTCGTTGGGTGTTGAACCATGATGATATGGAGCCATGTTTATATTAGAATGAAGAAAGTGATTAATGTATTAATTATATATTAGTGAAATAGTATCTTTATGACAAAAATCATAAAGCAAGAAAGAAAGAGGCAAGTTTCTATTCTTCTTTCATGAGCTCTATTTTATGTTACTCAAGTAAGGAGTTATTTGACATTAAACAAGTTTTGTTGTGTGGCCAACCTTGACAAAAAGAGGAGGTTGTCATTTCATGTGACCGAGGCTCCACAAGCTTTAATTATAACAATAATAAAAATTAAGGGGGTGGGTTGAAATCAAGTTTGATGAACGTCTTTTCTCCCTAAAACGATGGTAAATCTTGAGTTACAACATGGCGGAGTTTTGCATCGATCTCGGGGGGGGGTTTTTTTTTTTTTTTTATCTCGCAGACAATAATGATAGTCCATCTTGTTTTTTTTGTTTTCCCTTATATTAAGCAACTATGAGTTTACTCGAAAAGGAAGTAACGAAATATATGATAACGGCGGATAATTCCTCGGCAGAAGCCATTGAAGCTGTTCGAAACCTTGTCACAAGTAAATAAAGATCAAGACTCTTTCACTTGATAACTGATCTTTTGTCTTAGTTGTCAACCAAGGATCTGTTCAAGACAAACTTTTGCAGCTTATTCAAACTATGGGTGAATACTTGACAAATGATGATGAATTTGTTCGTGCTAAAGGTTTGAGTGAACGCGTTGTATTCCTTTTTATTCATTCTTTGTTAAATCAATAGCCACAGGACTCTTGTCAAGCACATTGACAGATTGTAAACAAGAAGATATCAATGAATCAGCTGGTAATCCAAACTCATTGTCGATCCAAATAACTGAATGCCTCCTTAGCGTCTGTGCTTGTTGATTTCTACTGTGAAAGATTGACAGACAAGACTTGTGTTCAAAATTTATTAGATGGTCTTGTTGCTTTGACAGGTTACTCGAATTTCACGGATAAAAATGCAGTCTTTGTCTCAAAAAGGTAAAAGCTCTACAAAAATAGCTGTACTTAATAGCTTGTAGAATATTTCAACATGTACCAGTACAACAATTCCCTCAACATACTCGTAATTCTGCTTTCAAAGTGTTTCATCAATTGATTCAAAGACATGTCAATGCACTCAAGTCAATTAACAATGAATTTGTATATGGATTTACTCAAATCTTGGATGGTGAAAAAGATCCTCGAAACTTGATGTGTGCTTTTCAAATTATGAAGAATATTGTGTATCATTTTGACATTTCCAGTCATGTCGAGGTAAAAAAAAAAAAAAAAAAAAAAAAGAAGAAAAAAGAAAAAAGGAAGTAATGTGTATATGTGTCTAATAAGATTTCAAGGATATATTTGAGGTCACATTTTGTTATTTCCCCATTACATTCAAACCACCTCCAGATGATCCTTATGGCATTACTGCTGATGACCTGAAGGTCAGTCTTAGAGAATGTATTTCATCCACACCTTATTTTGCCAAGTTTGCTTTACCTTTGATCTTGGAGAAGTTGTCTTCAACATCTGGCAGTGCAAAGGTATACATAAAAACAACACAGCATATACTGATATCGTGACTATAGAAAGACTCGATGGAGACATTGGCTGCTTGTGCTCCTGTGTATGGTGCCTCTGCTATATTACCTCATATCACCGAGATCTTTAATTGCCTGAAACTAGAAGTATTTCATGCTATTGATGCTCCTCTAGAAGATGCTGCTGTTGAATCCATTCGTGCTGTTGTGAGTGCATTAAATTCGGGCTTGACAACATCCGAGGGTGATCCCACTGAAAAAGCACTAGAGCCCTTGATCGAAGAATGTGCTACTAACCTGAAGGATCCCGATATGAAAGACTCCAAACAAACAGGTCGTATCTTGAAGGCTGCTGCTTCAGCCTCTCCTCCTGCTTGTCATTATGTTGTGGATCATACTGCTCCTTTAGTGTTGAAGCAATACCGTGAAACAAGCGTGGCTACATTAAAGAAAGCAAATGTGGATATCATGATTGATTTATTAGAAGCTTGTAAATTCCTTACCTCAAACATCAAAGGTAATCTTTTTTATTGTTTATATGTGCAAATTTGACTAAAAGTCTATTTAGATTATGAGTCTCCTTTGTTGGAATACAAGGATCGATTTTTTGGTATCTTTGAGTCTTGTTTGATTGCTTCAAATGAATATAACTTGCTGCGTCTCTCTGGATTACGCGGTTTACAACTTATGATCCTTTCGGAAGGCTATTTAGAAGTAAACGAAGTGGGTCTTGCTATTCAATCTATCAATCAAATTTTGTTGAACGAACAAGACCAAGAACTTAGGCAAGTCAAAACTTTATGTCGATCCTAACTAACACTTTGAATAGATCTGCTGCCCTTGGGGCCCTTGAAGCTACCTGTCAAATTCATAGTAAATATATTATCGAGTTGACTTTGCCTGCTCTTATCCAACAGCTGCCTGATACAATGACGAATGAGAATTGTATTGATATACTTTATGCGTTCAAAGTACTGGCCCCTGTACCTGCTGTTTACCCACATGCTATGCCTCTTTTGACTGAAAAGTTTGACAAGGTGTGCGAAAATGGTAAATATATATATATAACAAAATTGTGTGTGCGAGGCTAAGTCTTACAAATTAGATCATACTCCTTCATATGCACTTGCCATGATTGATACAATGTTGCACATCTTTAAGACAAAAGCAGCTCAAAAACACACTGATTTGGCTGAAGGAGTAAATACGTTTGTACCTCATTTTGTGAAAAAAGCAGTAGAAGCATCGCTTGGTCAATCTTCCTTGATCTTGAGTCCCCACATCTTGGAAAAAGTGGCGCTTATTATCATCACCATTTTCTCAAAGGCCGATGCTAGGTAACAACGACACTTTTGTATAACATTTACTTACTTGGTAGTGCTCAAAAATCATTTGTCGACAAAATGTTTCGATTGTTTGTAAACGGTCAATTACCTGAAATCGGTGTGACCCAAACAACTCTTTTTAACCCACTTGATGGTACTTGTACGAGTAACGAACAAAAAGAGACATGTCGACTCTTTAGTGCTATTGTATGCTCGTTAAGAAGAGATGTCCAACTCCCTATTTCGAGCTTAGAAGATTATTTAAATGAGCTAGTAACACTTGCTCTAAGTGCTTCTAGACAGGTTCAAGTGACTTGTGCTTCTAGAATCATTGGATCTTGTGTGAACAAATGGAAAAATAGTAAGTGAGATGGTATGATTTGTTTTTTTGTTGACTTTATATAGATGCTGCCTTGACTGAATACGTCAAGTCTACTGCACTTGTATTGGAAGATGTCATCACACAAAAGACTGATAATAGTAAGCATGCTTTGGAGGTTTATTTGTGGATCACAAAAGCACTTGTTTTGTGCACACATCCCTTGGGTTACGAGCTTACGAACAAGTTGATTGAATGGTGTGGTGATAACACAGCCGGTCTACAGGCTCCTCAAGGATTCCATGTTGTTATTGGAGAAGATGAATTAGCACTGACTAAAACCACGTTTGCTATCACTACTGTAAGTGAAACCAAACCCAAATCACAATGCTCACCCTGCATCAGATTCTCTATAAGCAACGTTTCTTTAGCTTCTGTTTACCAAAATTATTAGAAGGATTCCGCTCAACTCAGGATGGTAAAGCTTCACTTTCATTTGAAAAGTCATCTAACTCTATGCTATAGATACTATCAAACCCAATTATTTGATTGCCCTTTCTCATGTGTTGAGAAATGTACCCAAACAAATCTTACTGAGCGAACTACCTCCTCTTGTACCCTTGTTGATTGAATCTCTTGCTTTAGAAGATGGTGAACTCAAAGTATCCACTTTAGATACATTTAGTTTAGCCGTAGAAGAAGCATCTGATGTAATTGCGCCTCAAATCAGAACCATCTTGCCTTCCTTATTGGCTCTTCTTGGTCCTGATTTACAAAACTCGATCCGTGTGCGTGTGGCAGCTCTGGCTTGTTTAGCCAAGTTCCCCATGTTTGTTGCTAAGGATGCACTTTTACCACACGTTCAGTTTGTCATTAGACAGCTCAAGACACCTTTAGATGACAAAAAGCGTGTAGTTAGAAAAGAAGCTGTTGACTGTAGATCAAAATGGTTCACTATTACTGCTTAAACAACTTGTAAAAATAAAACAATATCTAAACTTACATATTCGATACCTGGTCTAGCCAAACTAAAACTTTCTCTATTTTTGTGATTATGGACCAAGAACAAAAGGAGGTGGCATTTAAATATGTTAACCTTGACAAGACAGTATGCAAAGTATGCTTAAACTTCAAATGATTGATTTATTGTGCCTGGAGTTTAGTATGCATCTTCAATGCATTTTTACAACATCAGGCGAGTTTTTGTGTTGTTCCCAAAATTCAGAAATTCCTCCCGTTTTTTTTTGAGACACTTGTTATTGTGCGCATAAGGTTTGTGGTTAGAGTTTATTGCTTTAGATGCAGTCTCGCCTTGTTTTAGACCCCAAGGAGAATGAACATCTTGGTATATACTCTCTTCTAGGAGTAGAAAGTAACTCCTCTGTAGATCATGTCAATTAATATCTCCCTTTTCGTTTTTATCTATGATCAAGTGTGTATCTATAAAAAAAACCAGTATGTTGTTCCAATGATTAGGCAAAACCATTACTTTTTCAAAAAAGTAAGAAGATTATATTTTGTGTAGCCCAAGATGGTGAATTCAAGCATTGGAAATCATGTGAAGCCAATTCATTTTAATTAATTTGCACTTTCTCATGTACTAAACAATTCTCCCCTTTTTTATACAAGTGCCAAATTTAGTTGATTGCGCCTCTATCCCATTTTATTAATGATCTTAAACTGTCAAGAGTTTTCATCCCGTCTACCCTCCCCCCTTTTTTTTTCTTCAGTTAAATAATCCCAGATGATTAGATAAGATGTATTGAGAGATTGGAATAATTATTATTTATTGAGAAAAAAAAGATAGTATATTAAAGAGTGAAGAAAAAAAATAGAATTTTGTAATATTACATATATAAAGAGGTATTGAAGAATCCAGTCCTTCCCGTTCCAACGTTTTGCAACTAGATTGTGATTATCAGTTTAAGCTTCTTCAGCCTTGCCATCTTCAAGACGATCAGCTTGCTTCTTTTCGTTAAAGTCAAGTTCAGATTGCTTTACATCCTTGTAAGCAAGAATACGACCAGAGAAGACAATATCCATTTCTTCAAGAGAACGGCCCTTGGTTTCAGGATAGAACAAGAAGACACAAGTAGCCATGACCATACAACAACAACCAAAGAAGATATAAGTACCCCAAGTGATGGTAGTAAGCATGACAGGCACAAAGAGAGAGATGACAAAGTTCATAAGCCAGTTAGCAGCTGTGGTAATTGAAGTACCCTTGGCACGAATAGAGAGAGGGTAGATTTCGGCAGGGTAGACCCAACCACAAGGACCCCAAGAGTAGGCAAAACCAGCAACAAAGAAGTAAATCATGACAATACAAAAGTAAGAAGCGTGTTGGTTACCAGACATGTCAACTTCCATTTGACCGTTGGTTTCATTTTGGTAGACACGAGCAGTGGCGGCCATGACAATACCACAGAGTAACATGGCGGTACCCATCAAAATAGCACCGGAGATCAAGACAACACGACGACCGAGGCGATCAAGGAAGAGAATAGGAGGAATGGTGGCCAATACGTTAAGAACACCATTGACGCCAGAGGCGATCAAAGAAGCAGAACGACCGGGAACACCAGCTTGTTGGAAAATAGTAGGAGCGTAGTACATGATGGAGTTGATACCAGTAAATTGTTGGAAGATTTGAATAAGGACACCCAAAATGAGACGTCTGAGAATGTTACCCTTGAAGAGTTCGAGGTAGCTAGAGACAGATACAGTGCGTTCGTGTTCAACTTGGGCAACAATTTCTTCGTATTCAGCAACAACGTGAGGAGCTGTCTTGTCACCAGCAGAATGAAGACGAGCAAGGACGCCCAAAGCTTCTTCGTTACGACCCTTGTTGACCAACCAACGAGGAGAGAAAGGAAGGAAAATGGCACCGAAGAAGAGAACAGCAGCAGGAGCAATTTGGATACCAAGAGGAATTTGCCATGAGGCATTGGATTCCAAGTATTGAGTACCAGCACCGACCCAGAAAGCAACCATGATACCAATAGTAATCATCAATTGTTGAAGAGAAATAAGACGACCACGGATTTCCTTAGGAGCCAATTCAGACAAATAAAGAGGAACAGCCATAGAAAGGGAACCGACACCCAAACCAGCAACGAAACGGCCACCAATCATCATATCATAGTTGTGAGCACCGGTTTGGATACCAGCACCGAGAATGAACACACCAGAAGCGAGAATGATGGTGAACTTACGAGAGAGTCTTTCACACAATTGACCTATAAATTGTAAAGGTCAGACAAATGTTACTAATATACTTCGAGCTAACTTACCGGCGATGAGAGAACCAACAAAACAACCAGCTAAAAGTAAACCAGTGATAACAGAAGTTTGAATAGCAGTAAGGTATTCAACACCTCCTGTCATATTTCTGATAAAGAAAGGCATTGTCAAGACACCGGAGATGACACCAGTATCATAACCGAAACAAAAACCACCTATGGCTGCAAAAGCACAGACTATATAGAGTTGTAAAGAATAACTCATTTGATGATGAATTAAATTATAACAAGAATAATAGAAAAATAAAGAAAGAAATTGAGTATTTATACTTTATTGATTTATACTTTGTGTTACTTACCAAACTAAGCAAGAAGGAAGAGAAGGAAGGTGTGGATCCAAGGTACAATGGGAAAAAAATGAAAAAGTATGGAGAAATCGTGTAACCCGCCTTATACCATAACCAATCAAACTATATGAAGGTAGCTAAGAATTCCACTTGCTTTCTTTTTTCATAAAAATTCAACGACATTCACACACACATATACCATTTATTATGGTTTCTCTCTTTCTTCAATTTCCCAAGTTCTTGTTGCAGATACATAGATCGAGAATATATAGATAGAATTCATTGTAATGATAAGTTTCTTTTGTTTTTGTTTCTAGATTGGTTTCATTCTGTAGAGAAAAACAAGGTGATGTACTCTCTCTCTCTCTTTTTTTTTTTTTTTGTTAGCTGTTTGAAATAAAGCGGGATTTCATAGTGACAACAACAGGCTTTGTTTCTTGTCGTTCTGTAACTGCGATTCACTTTTTTTGGACAGATTTATGCTGATTTGTTCTAGTTTTAGAAAGTCTGTTTTTCTCGGGTGCCTTTTCATGAGAATATTTGGGAAGAAACGGTACCATAAAAAGTAAAAAAAAAAAAAGAGAGAGAGAAACACACACATACCCATACACACGCACACAAATGAAAAAAAAGGGATACCTAAATCAAGTAATTCGAGTTTCAAGGGTCCTTCTACAGCACTTAGTGAACATGAAATTCGAATCAAAAAGAAAAACACAAAAGAAAAAACGAAAAGAAAGCAATGGCTATTGAATTAAAGTTAACTTGAGCAGTGTGTGTCTCATGAAACCAAACTTTCTTCAAATCGTCGTCTTAAACTTGCCCCACATTTGACTGCTGGTTTTAAAATTGCGTGGGTAGTACATCATTACAAATGAAAAAAAACTCAGAAAGGACAAATAGCAAAGGACCCTTTTGAGAGGAGCGCGGTAAAAAAAAGAGAAAGAGGCATGATCATGTCATTCTTGAGAAAATTCTAAAGTCTTTATTTACCAACAATTTTTATCGATTTCCATCTTCCTATAGGACGGGAAGGACTTGCTGTAAAAGGAAGGGAGATTTCAGTAAAAATAAAAAATAAAAATAAGTACACATTGTTGTAGTACTTACAAAGGTTACGTTTACTGGGCGCTGTATTAGATCGTTTGAGGGTAGTGGTGATCATGGTATTTAAATCAGTAGATGATCTGGAGGGTGTATACATGGCGTTACTTTGATCATCTGTAATTTGATTAAAGAAGCAGTAAAGTTTAGTAAAACTTACATTGGTAACTAGAATATTGAAGTACATCATTTGCTGATATGCGTGGTATGGAAAACCTGTTTTGATTGATGATCAAGAATTCAAGTACTCTTTGTGATTCTTTGTATCCTTCTAAATTAAGACCATCACTTGGATCTGAAAAAATGACCTGTTCTCTATGAGTTTGTGGAAAATATAGAGCACCCATACTTACTGGTGCAAATGCTGTAGCAAGTGAACATAGATCCATTCGTGTCGTATCAGCATAAAGTGAAAATAAATAAAGCAAGTCAAGCAAATAGAGTAATAAGAATTGATGAACGATAGGTAATTTCTGAATTAAGGACTGAAATGCATTCACTTTGGCTTCTATAGTAGGAAATGAAGCATCTGGGTTTATATATTAGTATATGACAATATCATCTTTATTAACACTTACCTAAGGTTGTTTTAAACAGAGACTGATATTCTAGATTGATCACAGGCTCAGGAAGTTGATTTAAAAAACGACGCATCACATTGGACACGTCATGAACTGTGTAGCCATCCCAAGCAATGGTCAAGCCATAGTCATCATGATCAAACATGGTTTGTAACATTCCAACTCGCTTAGCATTGCCAGAGATACGAAAAATACCTTCTGTGGATAATGCTAGCATATCTATATTTTAGTACAAAGTGGTACAAAATAAATTCATTTAAACCTTTTGCTTTTAAGAACGCTCCACATCTCGCCACCACGATGGGGAGGATCCCGTTGCAAGTAGCACCCGTGGAGTCGGTATAAGTAATTCTTGCATGAGCATATCGAAGAGATTCAGTTAAAGCCACACCAAACACATTTTTATCTGTTATTCATGAGTGATTCTGTCTATGAGAGTGTGTGGTTGTACCTATGTCTATCATGTCTTGTTGACTGGTGACTTTTTTCCACCATAAAAGTGCTTTTTGTGGATCCATCGACATGGTGTTGAAAATAAATAAATAATAATAATGATAATAAAAAAAAAAAAAAAGAGTTAATATTCCATTTAAAATGAACACTGTGTGAGAGTGTGTATATGTGTGTCTGTGAAACGTAAATTTAGTCTATTTTTTTTATTATTAAACTAAAATAGATGAAATGTAATAATGTATGTGTGTATAAAAAATGGGATGCATCAAACTATGTACAAAAAAAATAAAATAAAGAGCAAAGAAAATATGAAATTATGATTGTTGTTGTTGTATTGCCTTAAGAGCTGAAATTGTGTCCATGCCCATCTTGCGTTTTTCAGTGTAACAAGGTACCTTCTTCTTTAACTGTGCTTCTGTAAATTTACATAATTGTCGTGCATATTCATTTTGAGCCAACACCATCAAATCTTCTCTTGTCATAGATGTAGTAATTGTGTTTTGATCGTAATCAAATGATACTTTTGAATGTAAAGAAGCCATTATGATAGTGATAATGATAATGATAATGATAATAAATGAAAGAAAAAAGAAAACGAGACTAATGTATGATCTTGGAAAAGGGCCTTTTTATAGAATTACAAGTCAGAAAGTGTACCATGACATCATATATAGTCTTAGACTATAATTTCTAATTTCTATATAATCTTTTCTCTCTCTCTTGAGTCTTTCCAGATCAAATCTATTTTGGAAATATATATATATATATATATATATGTTTATACAAACAAAAAAGCACATCTTTAAGTGCCATTGATTTTCTTTTTAAATGTATGTCATCAGGCTATGCATGTTTATCATTTCCTTTCTTTGTAATCTGATACATGAAAAATAAGAGTTTTTCTCAGGCTAATTTTTGATTTAACTTTGTTAAGCATAATCATTCGCATCTTGTTTTAGAAAAAGCCAATTGACTAAGTGATGTCATCAAACACTTTTGACAAATGCTGCTGAATCATATGTTAGCATTTAAAGAAGCCAATGAGGCCTTCTTAATATCAAAATAACTTGGGTTCATCTTTGTACTGTCGTTTTTTTTTTTTTTTTTTTTTTTTTTTTTTTTTTGCGTATAAAGAAAAAAAAAAAGCAGAAAGATTAAAGCAAAGACAGCCTTGGTATTTATCTTTTGCTCTTTTTTCTTGATTTGTTTCCTTCTCCTCTTTCTTGTCTCTCTCTCACTCATTTTTCTCTCTCCTTGATTTGATGAATATTGTGAAACAATAGAAACGGGTTCGAGTGTTGATGTTAATTAGCTCCTTGGATCTCTCTGTCTCTCTCTCCCCTCTTTGTTTCTTTTTATTAAGGTGTTAGTTAGGCAAATTATAATTTGTAGTTCTGAATTTCTCTCGAGTTTAACATTGTCTTTTTAAATAAAAACAAGAAATAACAAGTTAGCGAAAATTTAAAGGAGTAAAAAATGCCACAAAGGAGAAACACAAAAAGAGATAAAAAGCGAAAGGGGGTGGAAGCTAATTAGGGAGTGAATGATGAGTGTTATGTATAGAAGGAGTTGAAATCATTTCCTGTTCTTTTTCTTCTTTTTCTTCTTTTTAAACGAAAAAAATAATAAGATGGGTTGTTGTCAATCAAACGAAGTTCATGATGGGAAAGCCCGTAATGAAGAAATTGAAAACATTATTAAGCGAGATAAACTCAACATGAGAAATGAAGTTAAAATGTTATTGTTAGGTAATTTCTCATCCTTTTTTGACAACATTTAATTGTTTTCATTAGGTGCTGGTGAATCAGGAAAATCAACCATCTTAAAGCAAATGAAGCTCATTCATGATGGTGGTTATTCCCGGGATGAAAGAGAGGCTTTCAAAGAAATCATTTATTCAAACACAGTTCAATCCATGAGAGTCATCATAGAAGCTATGGAAAATATGGACGTAGCCTTTGCTTCTCCTCAAAACAGAAATCACAGCCATATTATTCTTGATTTACCTTCTCAAATTGAACAAGACTCGCTACCTTCAGAAGTGACTCTAGCCTTAAAGTCATTATGGAAAGATGAAAATTTGCTCAGTGTGTTTGATAGAAGTCGCGAATATCAATTGAATGATTCTGCTAAATAGTAAGTGATTTTGATTTAAAAAAAGAAAAATATGAGACTTATATTTTATCAGTTATTTCGATTCCATTGATAGAATAGGAGATGTAAACTATATACCAACAGACCAAGATGTACTTCGTTCAAGAGTAAAGACGACAGGTATCACTGAGACTACCTTTGTGATTGGTGATCTTACTTATCGTATGTTTGATGTTGGTGGTCAAAGATCTGAAAGAAAGAAATGGATTCACTGTTTTGAGAATGTGACAGCTATCATTTTTTTGGTAGCCATTTCTGAATATGATCAAGTCTTGATTGAAGACGAAACAGTGGTATGTAGATACGTTTGTGTCATCCAAGTTAATTTGTTTGCTTAGAACCGTATGCAAGAAGCCTTGACTTTGTTTGACTCTATCTGTAATTCTCGTTGGTTTATCAAGACTTCCATCATTCTTTTCTTAAACAAGATTGATATCTTTAAAGAAAAGTTGCCAAAGCACCCTTTAAAAGAAAGCTTTAATGATTTTGAAGGTAAAGATACAAGACGCATTAGGCTTTTATTCACTGTATGTAATAGGACCAGAAACGTATGAATCTGCTAGTGACTACATCTTGAATCGATTTGTGTCTTTAAATCAATCTGATTCTAAACAAATCTATACGCATTTTACTTGCGCTACAGATACTCAACAGATTCGGTTTGTTATGGCAGCTGTCAATGATATTATTATTCAAAATAATTTACGAGATGTTGGTCTTTTATAAATGTATATCGTTTTTTCTTACTTATTTTACTTTTAATATTTATATTTATATATATAAAATCTGTTGACATTCACTAATTAATGAGATGGGTTATAAAGAACCCTTATTTTTTTTTCTTTTTTTCTTTTTCTTTTTTTTTTTTTTTTTTTTTTTTTTTTTGCATGTATCAAAACTGGGAAGAAGCAATAATTGAAGCATTTGAATGGTATCCAGTGCAGGATATCATTAGACATTTACATGAATTACGACGTTTCATTATACGTACTCAAGGCGCATTTGCAATCACTTATCTTCCAAAACTGATAGGTAATGAAGACACGAATGGAATGTATACTTTACCTGCTTCAAAAATAAGACGATTTCCAGCAAAACAAGAATATCTCTGTGAAGCTATCGGTGAATGGGGTATCATTAAAGATAAATTAGAACTGGTGGCCGATGTGCTCTGTCATCCCAATCGTATCAATAGAAACTATCCTAAATTTGACACACAAGGTGAAGCAGAAGAATATGCGTTTGAGCTGGTCAACCAGTTACTTCAAAAGATCGAAAATAGAAAAGATGTTGTCAACCAAAGTATATTTGAAGAAAGGTATGGACTAAAATGGATAGAAGAAGACCAAGTTCAGGAAGATAGAGAGGAACAAACGTTGGTGGTTCTAGAGGATGGGCAGCGTTCTACAGATCGAGAAGATCATGATAAACAAACCAGTAGTAATGGTGTACCTAATATTGCTGAAAACAGCCTGTAAAAATCACAAAATAAAATAGCTAAATATCTACTATTCAAGTGTGTGTGTGTGTGTGTGTGTGTGTGTGGCAGCAATAGCTTTCAAAAAAAAAAAAAAAGTACAACTGCTCAAGGTGAAGCAAAATAACTTTAATGCAAGAGCAGAATAGACATGAATTTATCATTTATGACAATGACGAAATCATTTGATGGGCAATGAAAATAACGACGACAAAAAGCAATTCTTTAGACAGATTAAGAAATGATTCGCCTCCCCCTTTTTATTTTACAAATAGAATAAGTAGGAGCATAGCATGATTTCATTCAGACAAGATGTGAGGCAGGAATAAATTCAATCTCCGACTTAAATTGGGAGACAGTATATCATTAAGGGAGAGTCTCCCCATGTGTTTTTAATACTCTTATTTACACGTGCCTGAACTCGTTCTGCTCTGCTAAACACACACATACTTACTTTAAATAATTCCCCCAGATTGCAGAAATAAGCAAATTCTAAATCTTTGCATAGTTACACGAAAATGATGATGATGTATTGGTAATACAAACATTTTGTCATTTAAAATGCAAATTTAGCTCACTTTACACTTTTGTTGTTATTGTGGGAAAACACTACATGAGTTTTCTTTATTTCAGAGGTATATGGTGTGAATATATATATATATATGTATAAAGTAGAGATCAAACTACGATTACTGTTTTTTTTTGTACAAATTAAAGTTCTTTAAAAAGTTGGGTATCTTGTTCTTTTGACACTTGTTCTTCTGTCACTTCCATTGTTGGTGGTAATAAGTTCCACTGAGAAGGATGTACGCCATTTCTAGGGCAAGATGTCTAAAATACATGTTAGAAATCGCGCTTATTTAGTTAAACCTTTACTTGGTGTTCTGGTAACCAGTGACCACATAATTCGCATGTTGCAGGGCAGACAATAAAAGGAAGCATGATGAAAGCAAGACAAGGATAGGAAGAGAAGAAAAAAAAAGAGAAAACATCATCACGTATTTATACTTTTTTTTTTCGTATGACCAGAAAAAAAAAAAAGGGGGTTGTGTATATTCTTCCATATACAGCTAGTAAGGTTCCTTGCCTTCTCATTCTCCTTATCCTACAACACACTCACCTCAATGCAAACTCTGTTTATGGTCATTATTGGCTAAAAATCAGGAACTGCGCTTTAAAAATAAACAGGGAGATCCAAGCCCGAATTCACATGTGTGAATACACGTTTTATTTTACACATTTTTTTATTAAAAAAAAAGATGGTCAGAGTTAAAAAAAAGGGAGCAATCTCTATTTTATGTTTTTTTTCCGCGGAAGTCCTTCTATATACAAGTATGATATATATTATCTGCATTCAATTTGACTCGAGTGATACAGTGCACAAAGTTTATCTGTAAAGAACCAATGGGCAACGTGAAATCAGAAAAACTTCATTGTGACTCTAATAGATAGAAAGGGCCAACTGGTTATCATCCGTGCGCATATCAAAAATGGAAACATGATAATGTCAACATGAGTCACAAACACAAGATCCTGTGAATTTGATTTGTATTATGGTCTGGTTGCTATGGCAGAATGAATGTCATAGCAACCAGGCTTAAATAATCAGGAACGAAAAAATGATAATCAGTTTGACAGATTGGTCTAATGAAACATTAGAGAATTTGGAATTCATGAGCAAAATTACTTTCTGTGAACTCATGAGAATGTTTTATTGAATGCTGGTATGTCTATAAATTAAGAAAAAAGTGAGAGAGAGAGAAATGCTGTCTCTACATCGAATAGCATACAGAGAGGCATGAAGGTGTCTTTCTATCAAAGTCCGCAATAAGCGGCAAACAAGTCACAGTATCCACCCTCGCAAATTTTATTTTTTCTTTAGCCCTGCTTCTCTCTCTTTTTTTTCCTCTTTATACAGCATGTCTATGTTACAACGTATCACACGCTCTGTCAACTGGAACTTGAACGTTCGCTCCTTCAGCACTTCAAGAGCCGCTTTATCAACAGAAGCAACACCTGCCAAACCTACCGGCTTGTACCAATTTTTCGAAAATAATGAAGCTTTACCGAAACAAAACTGGACAGGTACACAGACTATGATAAACCATGTTTTAAAACTAGAATAGGTCGCGCTTGGAAGGCACAAGAACTTCGTCAAAAATCATTTGAAGATCTTCACAAATTATGGTATGTCTTGTTAAAGGAGCGTAATGTTCTTGCAACCCAAAGAGAAGAAGCCAAGCGATTGAAATTACCAAAGCAAATCTGGACAAATCAAGGTCGTTTACAAAAGGTAGGTAATTCATAGACTGATATCGTGATTGCTTATCAACCATAGTGTAAAAAATCAATGGCTAGAATCAAGTTTGTGTTGAATGAAAGACAAATAGAATATGAACAACAATTCATCAACAAGCAATCTTCGTAAATACTGTATTGATATTCATCATAATAATAAAAAAAGCATGGGCATTTCTCATTAGTAGATAACAACAACACCAACAACTGTTCTGCATGAATCAACAAGATAATTCTATATTTTGTCTAGACGTGACTCTACAATTATCACTTGTTAATTCAAGATCCGAGATGAGTGATGTTTAAGCCTATCGTTGGTCCAAAATTTAGTCTTTTTTTTTTTATTTCTTTCGTGTTCATCATGACTTTGGAACAAGGGAACAGATGGGCAGGCTCACTTGCAAAAGTGTCTGCTTTAGCCTTGATGGTTTCTTCAGTAGCAGCTGACATTATGCCAGGAACAGCAAGTGCTTCAAATAGCTCTCTTTTGTGGGGCACATATCGTCCTAACCTTTATTTCGGCACGAGACCGCGTCTTCCCGAGTCTTTGATGACTGGTTTGATGTGGTTTGATGCTAACAACTTTCAGGGCTTTCAGCGTATGTAGCCCGGTTGAAAGAAACAAAAAAAAAAAAAACTTAACCTACATATTAGGTATAAGACATGCATGCGACCAAAATGATGGTATTGCTGGTTATGGCTATCATAAGCACGATGGTAGAGAATATGCATCTCAAGAAATCAATGATGCTCCTAGCAATATTAAGCTGAGTACAGAATTCATTAAAGTACCTAGTGGGAAGCATGGTGGTGATTGGGGTGTTCGCGTTAGTGGAACACCTTTAAATGGGTTTGGTAAGTTGTGCTCTATAGACAACTGAAAGTTAATAGACATTGTCAGATACAACTACTTCTGTTATTTTCTATTTTGGTATTGAAGGTGCAGGCGGAATTGACATTATGAGTAAAATGTCGAAAAAGGTATACATCTACTATAGGCACCGAAAAGATATTAAAATGCCGATGGGGTATTAGGGCCTTGAGTCGCCTATTCGACTCGAGGGAGATACTCCTGATTTAGGAGACTTTGAAATTCAGATTATAGATAATCCCTTGAACACATATCCACAAGAAGGACTAGATCAAGACCTCAAGCGTACTCAATGGTTAGGAAGAGAAGTGCCCGAAGGTCAAATCTGGAGAGCAAAAGGTAAGCAAAAACAAATAAATACATGACAAAATTGACTAATTTATATAGATGTTGTGATGGAGAATATCGTTTTAGGTGCTCGTGGACGTCTTGCTCATGGAACCCAAGAAGAAGCAATGCAAAAACCTTTCAAATACTTTACTTTGAGCAACAAGTTAGTCGAAGAAGAAGGTCAAGTAGCTAATTTCTATGTCTTTCAAAAAGTTTTAAAAGGCGAATTTCAGGTACAATCTTTCCCTCCCCCCTCCCTCAGATTGAAACTCATACTCTTTGTTTAGTTTGATGTCATTTTCCGTTCTCAGAGTTCAAGCAAGCCCTTGACGAGTATGTCATCATCAAAGTTACATAGACTAATCAAAACCATTAGGTGAATCATTAAGCTCGGGATTAATTGAAAAGGAAAAGGCTTTCCATGATAGATTTGAAAAGACATTTCATTTAAAAGAAAAAGGGTTCTCTTCAGATGAAGTTGAATTTGCTCAATACTTGTTGAGTAACATGCTTGGTGGCATTGGTTATTTCCATGGCTCATCTGTAATTGACCGTTCTCATCCTCCTATGCAAGACGAAGAAAGCTTCAAGGGAGAACCTGCTCGACCAGAATTCTCTCCTCCCCAGACTTTATTCACTGCTACTCCCAGTCGTTCTTTCTTCCCTCGTGGATTCTACTGGTAACGTATGAACAGATTGGTAAAATCATACTCATTATCGTAAAGGGATGAAGGTTTCCATCAACTGTTGATTGGACAATGGGACAATGATCTTAGCCTTGATATTATCAAGCATTGGACTTCTATGATAGATGAGAATGGCTGGGTTGCTCGTGAACAAATCCTCGGTGAAGAAGCACGTAGTAAAGTGCCTGCCGAGTTCCAGACCCAATTCCATCACTATGCTAACCCACCTACTTTGTATCTCTCTATCAAACGTTACATTGACCGTCTAGAGAAACACCAACAAGACAGAACTCTGTTTGATAATCAACAGGTTCGTATGGGAACCTTGGACGATACAGACATGTTAACCAACTTGCACCTGGATCATGCTGAACTTGCAGATGGATGGCTCAAGTTGATATACCCTAAACTTCGTCAAAACTGGCTTTGGTTCCGAAACACACAGTTTGGCTACATTGACCGTTTCGGTCGTAAGGCACCTAACAAAGAAGCATATCGCTGGCGAGGTCGAACACTTAACCATACTTTGACTTCTGGCTTGGATGATTATCCTCGTGGTGAACCCAGTGTGGGTGAGCTTCATTTAGATCTTCATTCATGGATGGCCTTTGGTACAGGTCTACTTAGAGACATTGCCTCTAAACTGGGACCTGAGTTTGCTGGCGATTTTGAAGAATATGATCGAGTTCAAAAAGACATGTTAGTTAACTTGGACGCACTTCATTGGAATGAAGAAAAGAATATGTATTGCGACCAATCCCTTCAAGATAATCAACCTGTATTCATCTGTCATAAAGGCTATCTTTCCTTGTTTCCGATGATCCTCAACCTTTTGCCTATTGATTCTCCCAAGTTGGGTGCTATTCTCGACATGATTGAAGATGAAAAGGAATTATGGTCTCCCTATGGTCTCCGCTCCTTGTCTGCATCGGATGAATTCTTTGGTACCGCCGAGAATTATTGGCGAGGTCCTATTTGGCTCCCAATTAATTATTTGACCCTTCAAAGTTTGTACAAGGTATGTATAGGTGGTTTATTGCAACACATACTCAATCTTGATAGAACTATATGCACGTCTCTGGACCTTATCAAGCTCGCGCTCAAAAAATCTATAGTAAATTAAGAGACAACATTATTCGTAATGTCTATAGAGTAAGTTTGCTTGACATGTTTGTTCCATTATTGACTTTTTTTTTTAATAATAGGATTACAAAGAAACTGGTTATGTGTGGGAGCAGTATTCTGAAAGTACTGGTCAAGGTTTACGTAGCCATCCCTTTACAGGCTGGACAAGTTTAGTTTTGCTTATTATGGCTGAAGAATATTAAAATGAAAGGAGATGCATAAATACATTCTTTTAAAGAGTATTGATTCATATCAATGCAAACGAGTTTGTGTCGTACATACTTTAATGATCATAACATTATGCAATCTTAGCCGCGGCAAGTGAAAAAAAAATAGAAACACAATAACAATCATCTTTTCCATTGATCTTGATACCGCAAACACAAACATAAAAGGGGGATTGAATAATATAAAAAGGAGGGTGGGGGGCTTATTTTGATGTGTTTGTATATCAAAGCCGCACATCATTTACACCATCATATCACTATGCTGAAACTGAATTGTCCAAATAGTATTTTTAACGATTGGCTAGACTTTTAAATTATTTATAACCGAATTTGCCCCTAAAAAAACTTATTTTGTTACTCAGCCTATATTTTTTCTGTTTCTGTAAAATGATGTTATTCTTTTTTTTTTCTTCTTCTTTTTCATATACCACAAAAATATCAGCCAGATCGACAGTAAAGAAAAAAAGAAATGAGTAGTACAATCACTTATTACTTTGAAGCATTAAATTTCAATGGTATCTGTAAAAGCCTTGCGCTTGATTTATGTCCATTGATTGGCCAGTACGATGGTATTGAACCTGTCTGCTATTCTCGTAACGTCGAACTAAGCGGCAACATTATCTTTCAGCCATGTAATGATTTATTCTATTGAAGCTATCTTCTCTAACCTTTTGTTTTCTGTTAGCCACTTTGATTATCGATGTCGTTGCTATTATCATGACAATGATCATGATTTATCACATTCGTTCTAAATATACAGCAGTTGGTAAAATAACGATACATTCAACAAAAGAGCTTGGCTAAAAAAAATTTTTTTTTGTTCATAGGTCGACAAGAAATCGTCATGTTTTTTTACTTGTATATGCTTACAACATTACTTGATATGTTGCTTGTTACTGGCATTATTCCTATCTCGTCAGCTCCATACCCTGTAAGAAATGCATACATAAAAAAAATTATATTCTTACATTTCCGTATAGTGGTTTACAGCAATTCATGTTGGTTTGACATGTGCAACCTATTGGTGTCTATTATTGAACGGATTTGTTGGTTTCCAATTTGCAGAAGATGGTACACCATTATCCCTTTGGGTAAGCAAAACGCACCTTGATGCACACTGACATATTAACGTACATGACGATAGTCTATTCGCATTAGTTCGTTTGTTTGGTTCCTTGTTACTGGTTTCCTTGCCATTGCCACATTCAAGGGCGTTGCTGGTTTGAGTTATACTAGCCAAGGTCCACTTTGGGTCTTTTATCTTGTATTAAACTGGCTCATGTTCTTTATCTATATCATCTCTCAAATTGTACTTGTCATCAACACCTTGGATGATCGCTGGCCTTTGGGTGATATTTTGTTTGCTGCTGGCTTCTTTGCTATCGGCCAAGTCTTACTGTATGTCTTCTCAGTCATCATTTGTGAAAACACAAAGCATTATGTTGATGGTTTATTCTTTGGTGCTATTTGTAACTTGCTTACTGTCATGATGATTTACAAGTATTGGGATTCCATCACTAAGGAAGACCTTGAATTTTCAGTCGGTTCCAAGCAAAATGTTTGGGAAGTCAAAGAATTGTTGGGCGAAGATGAATTATCTCAATCTTACAACAGTTATCAACAAACCCCTTCTACTACACCTCAACATTATCAACCTTATGAACAACACCCTTATTAGACCTATTTTTTCTTCGTTTTCTTGTAACTTTCTGCACACATCTATATATCTAAACACACACATATACAAAAAAAAAGAGACATTCTATTACCTAATAAAACTGTTATTACATTGTTTTTATTAAATCCCCCCTTTTTTTTCTTTTCTCTTCTTTTCTTTTTATATATAATGCCAACAGAAGATACAGAGCTACCTTTAGAATCAGACTTGTATCAAACACTTGAATGTGGAGCAGACGGGAAACCTGGAGGAATTTTAATCACAAGCTTCGGGCAACAAGTTTGGCCACATATTTGGCTTGGAGGCTACAAAGCGCTTGAAAGCCACTCTTTTTTGAAAAAGAATAATATAACCCATATTCTCACGTTAGGTCACTTCAAACATACTTATGAGCCTGACCAGTTTGTTCATAAGGTAAAGAAGCCATATATTGTTTGACATGAAGCTCATTGCTTTTCTTCATAGATCATACGCATCACAGATAACCCGGAAGCCAATATCATACAATATTTTCCAGAAACCGTTGAGTTTATTTCACACGCAGTAGACAAAAATGAAAATATATTAGTTCATTGTCTAGCCGGTGTATCGCGTAGCCCGACAGTAGTAACAGCCTATCTTATGGCTACGCAAAAACTAAGATATAAAGAAGCATTGGCGAAGATTAGACAATCAAGGCCTTTTGTAAACCCTAATCCAGGGTTTATTCGTCAACTAAAGCTATTTCAAGACATGGACTATACGTTTGATTCACAGCATTCTGCTTACTTAGAATATAAAAAGCAGCATCCTATAGACGCTGGACATGTAGGACACAGTGAATATGAATAAACAAGTTAATACCTATGCTTGTTTTGTGTAACGAAAAAGTAGGTCATGCAGACTAAACTTTGATGTTGAATGGGTTTTGTGCCGTAAACTGAACCCTAACTATGATATATGATACGCGTACATTGAAATCGAATAAGATATCATTCTAAGCAAGCTGAGCGAGAATTCTGATTTAGTTCAAAAATAAGCACCAGTATAAATTAATGCAGCATTTTATCTTTTTTTCTCCCTTTATCTCTCTCTCTCTCTCTTTTATATATACACACGATATGACAAACATTCAAGTTATCTCTCCAAGCAATCAACAAGTCGCTTTTGAACTCCCTACTCTATCTCAAGAACAAGTAGACCAAGCTATCAAACGCTCAGTAGCTGCTTTTCCTACATGGAGAAAAGTACCTTTAAAGGAGCGTATCTCTATTTTTCAAAAGTTCTGTGAATTATTTGAAACCAAAAAAGACGTTATCGCTTCTTCTATCACTACACAAATGGGACGTCCTATCCGTTATGGCCATGGTGAAGTCAAAGGTGTTCTTGAACGCGCCAACTATATGATTTCTGTTGCTCAAGAAGCCTTGACTGATGAAATCATTGAAGATGTACCAGGCAAAGTGAAGCGTTTCCAACGTAAGGAGCCTCTTGGCCCTGTCTTCTTGATTGCTGCATGGAACTACCCTTATCTGACAACAGTGAACAATATTGTACCTGCTTTGCTATCCGGCAACACAGTCTTGTTAAAACAGTCACCTCAAACACCTTTATGTGCTGATATCTTTGTGGACACATTGAGAGAAGCAGGTGTTCCTCACGATGCTGTTCAGGCTGTTCATGTATTGGACAAGGAAGCAAACTATATTGTTCAGCATCCTTCTATTCAGTTTGTTAATTTCACAGGTAGTATTGCAGTTGGCAAAAAGATTCGTCAAGCAATCGGCGATAGACAACATTTGATTGGTAAGTTTAATAATACCCATACGGATGATGGCTCAACTCTCTCTCACATGGTAGGATCCGGCATGGAATTGGGTGGTAAAGATCCTGCTTATGTTCTGCCTGATACCGATTTGGATTTTGCTGTGGAAAATATTGTGGATGGCGCCTTTTTCAACTCAGGACAATGTTGTTGCTCTATTGAACGTTGTTATGTGCATGAAAGTATCTATGATACATTTGTAGCAAAGGCTGTTGAGATCGCTAAAGTAAGAAGCAAAAGAGAAGAAAATAAGTGTACTTATTTCATCTTAGAGCTATGTTCTTGGAGATCCCAAAGACGAAAAGACTACACTTGGTCCTATGGCTAATCTTAAGTTTGCTAAAGCTGTCAGAGCTCAAATTCAAGACGCTATCGATAAAGGAGCTAAACCTCTTTTGGATACCAAAACACTTTTCCCTCTTGATCAGGTAAACTACAGCCTGAAAGACCATGGATATATTTACATCTTTGTATAGAAAGACAATGCTTATGTTAGTCCCCAAATCCTCGTCAATGTTGACCATTCTATGCTTGTGATGAATGAAGAGGTGTGTATATACCATTCGAAATACACAATGCTAAAACATTATAGACATTTGGACCAGTTCTTGGTATCATGAAGGTCTCCTCAGATGAAGAAGCCATTAAATTAATAAACGACTCTCGATACGGTTTAACGGCCAGTATTTGGACTTCGAGTGAAGAGAAAGCGCTCGAAATTGGCGATCAAATTGAAACAGGTACTTGGTTCATGAACCGATGTGATTATATTGACCCTGCTTTGGCTTGGGTTGGTGCTAAAGAAAGTGGGTTGGGATTCTCTATGAGTAAGCAAGGCTTTAGTCAGTTTACAAGGTAAGACTATAGTGTTATATTTTATAGACTGACAATACGTTTTAGACCCAAGTCCTATCATCTCAAGCTTTCTCAAAAGTAAATAAGAGTGTTATCGCTTAAATAAAGTATCGTTATATAAAAGCCTTTTATTTGCAGTCTGTCTTGATTTATTAGATGTAATTCTTCTGCTATTCCTCAATTCTTTATAGTGATTTTACAATCAAGTATATCTGTTTTCAAGAGATCAAAAGCTTCATTTCCTTGGTTTAAACACGCTTTAATCACAGTAAGCTCCGAAGTAAGCATCCTTATTTTATCACGCCGGATAAAGTTTAGCTGAAGGATTGTCCTCAATGACTTGTTTGTTTTTGATGACTTAGGCTCTTTTCAAGCTGTCTCCCCAAGTTGGCGGAGATACCATCTAAGTTAATCGCGACACTAGATTATTTCAATAAACAGAGAGTTTCTAAAAGATGAAAAGGCATTCCTAAAATTTCGGGAAGATCATAAGAGGAAGTGCCAAAATTATTCTCGCAATGTCAAGGGCGCTAGAAGTTGATCTCAAATTTAAAAAAGGCTAGCCATTCAATACCTCATCAGAGGTCTGGCTAGTAAGTCTCTAAACATATTCCTGCTCTACTATCCTAACTATTTAGAAATATTTTGAAGTGGTCAACATCAAAGGTGACTATGTATATACATACATGATAAGTAATTTGTTCCAAACAAACGGCGCAGAACTACTACCAGAAAAAATCGCTCGAAGTACAATCTCCATCAAGATATTTTTGCGGAAGATATCTATAAAACGTTTAACCTCCCCTAGGGTAATGAAAACTATAGAGCAGTTGCCTTCTTTATGGATCAAGGCAAAACTGACAGCTATATTGAAAACAATCAATACTTGAATTTCAGAATAAAAATGCCTCAAGCTTTTGAAAAGTACAAACATATTTATGTTTTGCGCTTTGACAACATAACATTAAAAGATTATAGAAAAAGGCCCTAGAAAAGTGTTTACCCCTCGCGGTTTTATTCTCCTGATTGAGCTCAAGTGGCAGTAGATGCTTTTGAGGCTCCAGTGTGCATATATACTTCGTCTGAATTGCATCGTGGCAGTGCGAATGTTCCTATCACATCCGTACCAACTGATATTCCACACAACAATAAACCGGTGCCAATTTTCATGCAGACCATCTCAAACTATCACTGGATTGGCTTCAAAATAGTCCCCGATGAACTACCTTTGCCATCAGCCTTTAGTTTTTACTTTAGAATGATGGTAAACAAAAAGAATACGAAGATTACTGGAGCCAATGGCTAATGTTTACAACATCGATGATTAGAAATAAAATCTTCAAATCAAACGTTTTCGCATATAATTAGTATATATTTGAAAGCTGAACGAGCGGACAAAAATCAAGAAAAGACGTTCTAAATAGTTAGATGACAGAGAAGTGGACAATGGAGTAGATGGAGTGTTCCCCTTTCTCTACGAAAAACCAAAGCCTGCTATTTTGGACCGCAAAAATAAAAGACATTACAAATCTACATAACAAAGCCACCAGGCAAATAGGTACTTTAATGACGATTTATACAAATCTTTTCTTTAGACAATTGAAAGTGCTATAAATCCTATTTATACCTGCATGAATATTATTAATATCTACAAACAGTGTTTAATATCACTCATAATATCTTCAAAGCTAATTTTAGCTGAAAAACTCGAATTGAAAAAAAAATGGCCAAAATGACCTCTGATCCAAAGGATACTAGTCAAGAAAAAAGCTCATTTTGACAGTGTTCGACCTTCTTTTTGATGTTACAGAATGAAAATAGAGCTAGTAACAAGATTTCGTACTCAAAATGAGCGTAAAAAGCTCTAGTTTTTGGTCAATGTGTTTATTTGCCAACTGTACTACAAAATAATAAGGTATGCGTAAAAAAAACCTCGAAACCATTTTTTTTCACGTTGACGCAATATTTCACCAATAATGACGTTATCTTATATTATTTACGTCAGTAGGTTTAGGAAGCAAATACATAAATTTCTTTCTATTGCACCAAGCCGAAGCTCGATTTTTCATACTCCAATACAATTTATGCCGACTTACAAGTATGCCACTTGTGTACTCAAAGAAATATTTCTATGATTTTTGAAAATGCTTTTTTTTTGTAAGCCCATCACACTGATCATGAAGGCCTGGGGTGCATGATTCTTTCCATAATCTCTTTCATTGCTCTAGCTACCTTTTCTGTAGAGTTATCACTACAGCGTAAGCGATGGAAGAAATCTTCCACTAATGAAAGAAAAATGCTATGGTTGCTATGTTTTATTTGAAATTGGGAGTCGCTAGCCAATGACATCCTTCCATTGAATAAATTGTAGTAAGCGACTGTCAGTAGTCAACAACGTCTTCTCTTCCCAAATGACAACAACAATGGTTTGTGCTCTTCCTTGAATGCTACTGATCATCACTTTTTTGACCATGTTTCCTGTTGTAGCAGAGTGATTACAACAGCCATAGCAACCATAGCAACCATAGCAACCATAGCAACCATAGCAACCATAGCAACCATAGCAACCATAGCAACCATAATAGTAACCACGGCAACCGTACACCACAGTGTAAGCAATTATCCTTTTATTTCATCGGGTGGAACAAATTTTCGATCAAATGCCTTTCTCTTCCACATTTGAGTGAAGATTTGGCCAAAACTCTCCATCATCTATTTCTGGTAGAAGATTTCTTCCATTGCTTACGCTGTAGTGATAGCTCTACGGAAAAGGTAGCTAGAGCGATGAAGAAAATTATGGAAAGACTCGTACACCTTAGGCCTTCATGATCAGTGCGATAGGCTTGCACACAAAAAACAAAAGCATTTTCAAAAATCATAAAAATATTGACAGGTATGCCGACTTACGAGTATGCCATTTGCGTACTCAAAAAATATTTTTGAAGAATAATAAAAAAAAAACATTATTCTAAAATAAATCAAAAACATTTTCTGCAATGACAAAAAAACATAAAAAGTAGAAAATCTCTATTTTTCTGCTTAAAATAAAAAAAAAAAAAAGCTTATTTTTCAATTTTTTGTTTTAAATTAAAAAACGAATCTACCAGGCAGTAATACTCTTTTTAAACTAAAACAACAAAAGCACCATCCGGTAGACTCGTTTATTTATTTAAAACAGAAAAATTGAAAAATGAGCTTTTTTAATTATTTCGAATAAAATATTAGAAATCCTCTTCTATTTTATTTTCTGCCATTACAAAAAATGTTTTTGATTTATTTTAAAGTAGTGCTTTTCATTTTATTTTTTTCTAAAAAATATTTTTTGAGTACGCAAATGGCATACTCGTAAGTCGGCATACTCGTAATTTCGGCATACTCGTAATTTCGGCATAATTTTTACGGAGTATGAAAATTTATATGTTTCTTTGTAGATCCATTACATTTATGAGAAGCATGGTTCTTTCACGTAATAATCAGACCCGTACCTTAGCAACTTCTGACTCTAATACAGACAAGAAGACAGCAACAAAAACTCATTCCTTATCTTGGTCGAAAGTTGTCTCTGGACAAGCACGTACCACACACTCCTTCCGGCCTACCATCCTAATCCCAGTTCCAACTGCAACAGTAGAGGATACAGATGAAGACCCTTCATCGTCCGCGGAACCAACAGTCGAATTCATCAAACCATATTTGAAAGGCATTGAAAAAAACTCTATTCTCATCGACATTACTGACATCAAAGATGCTCATATGTTGCGAAAGGCACTTCAAACCTTTAATAAAGACGCTGATGAAGAAACCGGCTGCGACGACTACTGCGGTAGACTCCCTTCTACCCGTAGATATCTTAATCGTTCATTTATTGAAACTGCATGGACAAAAGATTCACCTGGATATAAGGCCGTTTTGAACACGGGCATCCGTTTGGAGGATGGAACCTTCGTTAAAGGCTTCCTAGTTTACCTGCCGACGCAAAGATTGTTCGCCTCAAATTGGATAGACTTCCCCTAGAGGCCCCTCAACGATTGAGGAAGGATATGAAAATTGCTTGTCCGAATATGGTCGAGTATTGGATCTTGGGATTAATAGGAGCCATGACTGTTTTAATGGTCAAGGCTATGCAACATTGAACCTTACTCCAGCCAACACCAATGACCCTCCTTTTGAATCACTTCAACGAGTCATTCCTTGGATGGATGATGATGGAGAGATTCGCCAGGTATTACTTCAATGGGAAAATATGCCAGACTTCTGTAGACTATGTCAAGCTTCTGATCATTGCCGTGCAGACTGTCCTGACTTGAAAAACTACATGAAGTGTTTTAATTGTAATGAGAAAGGTCATATGATGAGATAATGTCCTCGTAGTAATACAATTGAGACGCAGCGGCTCCTAACAAAAAGGTTAAAACCATTGTTGTTAAGGACCGTAAGACACCGGTAAATACCGCAAAACCTAAGGAAGTCACTCCTATCACTACGAGGATAAAGAAGTCGAAGAGGATAACATGGACATTGAGGCCTCTGAACCCGAGAAGCCAAAGGCTACTCAAGAGGCACCTTCTCCTCCTCGTTCTCCCGTATTACACATCAGAGGCTTCAAGCAAATACAGGCGTTTCCGTGGACAAAACGCAGAGGATGAGGTTAGTCAGAGTCGTCCTACTTGACAAATATAGACAGAGAAGCGATGAAGTGGAATTTTGAGCAGATCCAATTCTTGAAACAACAACATTTGATTTTGACCAGCGAACAGATACGAATGATTGAGAATGAGCAACCAGTATCATACAGCTGGGAGCAGCTAGAACAACTAGCTAATGCAGGTTTTCAATTCACAGAACACGATTAGCCGTTATGAATTCAGTTCCGACTATGGAACTAGGGCAAGGTGGTCTTAGCGACCAATTCTAAACAACTACAATATCCATTAAATATGTCCAACACATGTAAAATAAGAATTGCGACACTCAACTGTCGCAGCCTACGAAAAACTCTAATCCCTCTCAACAAAAACTTTTTATACGATATCTTCGCTCCTTAGACATTGACATTATCGCTTTCCAAGAAACACATGCCGATAATGCTCAAATCATGAATCAATTAAATATGCAGTTTCAGACGAACTCT